AGGCGTAAGAGTCTTTGCTGTTGGCGTGGGTGGTCACACTAGACCAAGTGAACTACGCTTGATGGTTGAAAGACCTGATGATGTATTCATGGCAGCAGACTTTGATGATCTTTTAAAGAAGACTTACGAAATTGCTGAAAGAACCTGCCAGGAAATAGAACGCCCGCAAGGTATTTTGAATCCTAGTTATTCCTTTGCAATCTTTCTATTTAGCAACTCTTATTAATCATACAACTCTTAGTAACAAACTGCTCTTAAACTTACCACTCTCCCTCGATCACACTTCACGACAAAAACCTTAGTAACAAAATCATAGTAGAGGATACATAGTAATAAATGGTGAAACCATATGAATGAAATTATTCATTATTATGGAACTGAGAGTTTTTCTGAGTTCTTATTTCATATGACTGAGTTGTCGTGAATAATTTCATTTCGAAAGTTAAGATACTTCCATTTTAGAAGTATATATGTTGAATTATTTTTTGAATTTTTTCATGCGCAAACGTTTTACCTCGAGACCCAACTGTAAACATTTAAGCATATTTAATAGTTAAAGTCAAAACACTCGTAGCCGTCAACGCTGACTAACTGCCAACAATGCGAGGACTTGCTGGAAGCGTGGAACATAGATTAGTGTAGAATAGGATACATTGCGTTGAGACGTTTGATTGGCACTTTGATCCAACCAGACCTCTCCTAATTTTTAAGCTACGTCTGGTGCTGTAAAACAAAATCTATTTGCTCATTCATCTTAATTTTAAAATGATAAGTAGATATAAGAAATACACTTTTCTTGGTTTACCAGTGGATGGTAGTTGGTCATCGTGGGAGCCTTGGGATGTCTGTATACCATCATGTGGGGGCGGTAAACAAAGCCGTAGACGCAAGTGTAATAACCCATCTCCAGCAAATGGAGGACAAAATTGTCCAGGATCAAGTATAGAAACACGAGCATGCAATCAGCAGCCGTGCCCAGGTAAACATGCCGCGTATATTATTAGATTTATATAGTGTTTTCCCCTTGTATGAAAATATAGACGCGGCACGGTCATGGTACGACGATTCCAGATTCGCTGAACCAATCAGAGCGCGCGACATTGGGGCCCATCTAGGAAACAAAATATGCTCTAACTGGTCCAGAACAAAAAAATAAGAGCAAGAAGTGCTAACACGTTGTTACCATCAAGTTCATATTCTAAGTTTTTTGTTGTTGTTTGTTTAGGAAACCTTGTAAAGTGTACCGCAAGAGCTGACATTGGATTCGTCATGGATGCATCAGCCAGCATTGGAGAATTTGATTTCCAGAAGGAAAGAGACTTTGTCAAGGCTGTGGCAGATTCATTCACCCTTGCAAGTGATCAAGCTATAGTTGGAGTCATTACGTACAGTGACAACGCAAAGCTCGATATTCCTCTCGGAAAATATATGTCGGCAGAAAGGTTCAAACTGGAGGTCGATCGTATTCCATACATCTTAGGACGAACAAGAATAGACAAAGCCCTGAAGCTCGCGAGCACGGATTTCTTCGGTAAAAACGGAAGAAGTCGACCGGGTTTTCCTAAAATCATGATCATTCTCACGGACGGCGTGCAAACTCCAGATCCAGACGCAATTTCTTTGGATCAGGCTGTGATTCCTCTCCGTCGCGCAGGCGTAAGAGTCTTTGCTGTTGGCGTGGGTGGTCACACTAGACCAAGTGAACTACGCTTGATGGTTGAAAGACCTGATGATGTATTCATGGCAGAAGACTTTGATGACCTTTTGCAAAAGACTTACGTAATTGCACAAAGAACTTGCGAAGGGGCTCAAGATAAGCCAGGTAAGAAAGTGCGTAAAAAAGTAAAAAATACAATCAATGATGATTTCTCTTTTTACCAGATTTTTTTATCGTTGTTTATCCACGCTAACATCTTCACCAACTGCGCGCTTGTACGTTATCTTTTCTCCCTGATCAAGGGCTGCTTAATTAATCCGAATTTAATAAAAATAAGGTTTAAAAGGCAAAGTTTAAAAAAGAAATATTCTGATAAAGTTATTGTGAATAGACCTTCTCGGCTCGGGCAAGATGTTTTCCCATTACAGACCACGAGTCATTCTCTAGAGTATCATTTCTTTGTTTAACAGCTGCGCTCGGTTGCGCATGAGAAGATACATGAATATGGATACAAATCAAACAAAAAATCTTATTCTCCAGGGAATGACACGTGGTCTGAAATCGAAAGCATTACGCCCGGGCCGAGGAGGTCTATTTGAGCTGGAATCCTCGTGGCATAAAGCGCGCGTATGAAAGTCACGGTATGAAAGTCATTTAGGTTTGAAAACTGTAACCAATCATAGGGTAGGAACGCATACGACAACTGTTCATTGGTCAAGTGAAAACCCTTGAGATCTTGGTAACGTATCTTTTTACTTGTTCGCAATAGGTCGTTTGCACCGCCACTACCAAATTTTCAAAGCAATATGCTAGTTGTGGTAACATTACGTCATGATGCTCTCCTAGATCACCCAACGGCTCTCCTAGATCACCCAACTTTAACCTTTTGTGTGTGTTTTTTTCCCGTTAGTTGATGGTGGATGGTCATCATGGCAGAATTGGGACAAATGTATCCCTGAATGCGATGGAGGCCAGCAAACCAGGCGAAGGTCGTGTAACAATCCCTCCCCGGCCCATGGAGGACGCGCGTGCCCTGGATCGAGCAGTGAAACAAGAGCTTGCAACCAGCAGCCTTGTATTGGTAATATATATATATATTCGAAAGAAAATTTCCAGTTCTTCAAGAAAAAATAAAATAAAATAAAGAAAAATGATTTTAAAAAATCATCATGTAAAATGAAGCTATTTTTAAAAATTTATCTCATTATTGCTTTTCATAGCCTTTTTGGTTGAATTTTTGTGATTATTTTGTTACATCAACCAACATGGTCCGTATATCCTTCGTTTTCGCATTCTCTTGGAAATAATTGCAAACCATTTATGCAGAAGTAACGATTTCCTTCTTCTATTCATTTTATTCATAATATGACTTCGACTATTGCATTTATTTTTATTTGCCTTGTTTTTCAGGAAAAATTCAGTGCTCTGCAAGAGTTGATCTCGCTTTTCTAATGGACGCATCGGGAAGCATCGGAAAATGGGATTTCCAGAAAGAAAGAGACTTTGTCAAGGCCATGGCGGCATCCTTCAACTTCGCTCGTGACCAGACCTTAGCAGCGGTAATAACCTACAGTGACAAAGCTAACTTAGAAATTCCATTTGGTCGCCATCTTAACACAGATAGCTTTCGTTTGGAAGTCGATCAGATTCGATATACCTTAGGACAAACACGAATCGATAAAGCACTTGCTGCGGCCGCCGATAAAGTATTCGCGCCAGGCAAAGGGACGCGACCTGGTTTTCCTAAGGTGATTGTGATTCTTACTGACGGTGTACAGACTAAAGATCCAGATGCTATTCCTCTGGGTCAAGCAGTTCTTCCCCTGCGTAGGAAGGGCGTACAGATAATAGCTGTTGGCGTTGGAGGTCATGCGGATCCTAATGAACTGAGGCAAATGGTGGAGAGAAGTAGTGATGTTTATACTGTATCTGATTTTGATGATCTTTTGAAGAAGGCGTATGATATCGCGCAGAGAACGTGCGACGGCGCAAGTAGACCACGAGGTTAGTGTATAAATGGTTTTATACTAAATTTCCATCCCGAACATTTTAGAGGGAATCTTAGGCTTTATTTATGTCAATATGTTCGGCTCATGTGATGTTCATGTTATTGGTTCATTGTGGCCAGTACCTTTTTCTTAATCCGTGCAATTAACGGAATGTAGAAGTTAACTTTTAATGAGGGAGGAAAACCGGAAGCCCGGCGAAAACCCTCGATTCACAGGAATAAACCAAATCTAGTTACATATGATGGTGGTCCACGTAGAGAAATAGTGCAGAGCACTTGTGCGCATCTATTACTACTGTTTCCATTGCTACGCGCTGACCGAGACGTCAACACTCACGGCAGGGAAATCGGGCTATACAAACCGTCAATCAAATACATTGCTCGGTATCTTTACATACTTTGATTGACGGCAGTGTATTTCCCTGTTGCGATTGTTGTCTGGATCAACGCGTAGCAATGAAAAACAGTAGTAATTAATGCAAAAACAATATTAATTTCTAATTGTATTCATTCTAGTGAATGGCGACTGGTCTGAATGGTCGGGCTGGACAACTTGCAGCGTGTCTTGTGGGAGCGGGGTACAAAACAGAAAAAGGAATTGCGACAATCCTTACCCTTCAAATGGTGGATATCCTTGTTCTGGACAGAGTGAAGAAGAACGTTCCTGCTATGAACGGGCCTGCACAGGAAATCTAAGGGGTAAGAACTTGTTTTACATGTGACGTCATAGCCGCTATGATTTTTGCATGTGAAGTCATAGCCGCCATGATTTTTTCATGATTGCTGCATATTTTCATTCATAAATAATTTGTATCATACAAGATGTATATTTACTTAATCACGCTTCATATTTCAGGAGAGCATGGGGCGGGGTTAGTCTTTTCAAGATTTCCCCCCTCATTATTCCTGCATGTTTATTGAGAGAGCGTTTGATATCTTCATGTAATGCGCTCTAGAATAAAATTATCGATATTCATTATGATTATTTACCTTACCATTGCAGTCAATGGAGGTTGGTCTGATTGGTCAAGATGGTCTCGTTGCAGCGTGACGTGTGGCACAGGAGTCGAAACCAGACAGAGAAGGTGTGACAATCCTTACCCATCTAATGGTGGATATCGATGTTCTGGACCGAGCGAAGAACGACGAGCATGCTATCAACGAGCCTGCATAGGAAATCTTAGGGGTAATGACCTTTTGAATTGTTTGTTATGTTAACCAACATGGCGGCCATGTCTTTCGGTCCTTTTATACTCATTAGAAAGTGTGCGCACCACCTATAGGGAGCTGGATGACCAGAAGTGTTAGTTATACCAGGGTCTCCGTATCAAGCAGGTTTATTTAAGCATACAGTGAAATCACGTGCATTCTTGGGTTGCATGTCTTGCATGTGACGTCATAGCCGCCATGTTGTTTTATTCAAGCAATAGACTAGGTCTAGGTCAGCCAACATGACGGCATTTCCTCTCTCTCCTTTTATTCTCTTTTGAAGAGATACTTGTTGCCTGTTAATTAGCATCGCAATTAATATCATACATTTGTATACCTTACCATTCTAGTCGATGGAGGTTGGTCTGATTGGTCAAGATGGTCTCGTTGCAGCGTGACTTGTGGCACAGGAGTCGAAAGTAGACAAAGAAGGTGTGACAATCCTTACCCATCTAATGGTGGATATCGATGTTCTGGACCGAGCGAAGAAAGACGAGCATGCTACCAACGAGCTTGTATAGGAAATCTAAGGGGTAATGACCTCTTGAATTATTTGTTATGTTAACCAACATGGCGGCCATGTCTTTCGTCCTTTTATTCTCATTAGAAAGTATTTGCGCCACCTATATAATTTGATGGACCAGACAAAGTGTCTGTGTCAACAAGGTCTCCGCATTAAGCAGTTGATTTAATTATACAGCAAAATCTTGAGTATTCTTGGGTTCAATATGACGTGATAGCCGCCATGTTGAAACAATGGACTACTGAGGTTCAGCAGGTCAACCAACATAGACCTTTTCTGATAAGGTGAACATGTGGCGCATTATGATCTAGCTTCGTTACAAACATCTTTTGTTCATCATGCCTTATATGGTGTTGATTGTACCAAATCTAGACCACAATGCAATGGGTATATCGAACTCACAAAAGGCCTATGGTGGCATTTAATTGTCCTTTTATTTTCTTTGGAAGGGATGTATGTTAACTGTATTAGCATGACAACCGACACAACATTTTGTATACCTTACCATTCTAGTCGATGGCGGTTGGTCTGACTGGTCAAGATGGTCTCGTTGCAGCGTGACGTGTGGCACAGGAGTTGTAACCAGACAGAGAAGGTGTGACAATCCTTACCCATCTAATGGTGGATATCGATGTTCTGGACCGAGCGAAGAACGACGAGCATGCTACCAACGAGCCTGCATAACGAGTAAGAAAGAAACTAGAATTTGTCTGTTTCCCCGATGCTCAATACCATATTAGTACCAACATTACTCCTCCAGTAAAACGAAACTTTTTCTTGTTTTCAGGTAGGAGAGTCGATGGAGGTTGGTCTCAATGGAATGACTGGCGCCAATGTTCTCGTACATGTGGCGGAGGTTCTCAGATCCGGTATCGTGACTGCTCTAATCCTCCGCCATCCAATGGAGGACGAGACTGTTATGGAAGGGCTCAGGAATCTCGGCTCTGTGCTGCTAATCCTTGTCCAGGTGAATTTCCTATAGATCTTCTTTTCTATCGATTTCCTGGACGCTACAAATTTGTACGGTGATTCGTTTTTGGAGTAAATCTCACGACGTGGGATTTTGTATTTAACGTTCCTATATGTTGCGGCATTTTGTAACTTTCTAAGGGATTTCTATAAGAATAATTTCCGTACAAGTGAAAAGTTTCCATGACTATCGACGCATGCATAGAACAGGAAGCCATGAAGCCTTTACTCTAGAATGGCTTACCTTAAGCCTTACAACAAACACATGGTTTCGTACCATGCAGTTGGTGTTCCAGTGCCATGGCAAGTTAATGGCTTTACACTGAATGGCTTACCTTACGCCTTACAGCGAACACATGGTTTTGTACCATACAGATGTGTTCCATTGCCAGGACTTGTAAATGGCTTTACACTGAATGGCTTACCTTACGCCTTACGGCGAACACATGCTTTTGTACCATGCAGTTAGTGTTCCAGTGCAATGACATATAAATGCCTTTACACTAGAATGGCTTACCTTAAGTCTTACAAAAAACACATGCTTTCGTACCATGCAGATGCGTTCCATTGCCATGACATATAGATGGCTTTGCACTAAAATGGCTTACCTTAAGCCTTACAGCAAACACATGGTTTTGTACCATCCAGTTAGTGTTCCAGTGCTAACTTACAGTACACCACATGACATCAACTACTCATCTAATGACTATTAAAGTGTGTATTTTCTCCACGCTGAGTAAACAGATTTCAACCATGCAGAATATTTTTGATCAATCATATCATTTTTGTCAGAGTGTGAGTTTTCTTGTTTTTTCCCGTTCTTTTTCGAAACGTTCTATGTATACTTTTATAGTCATCAGATGAGTAGTAAGTGAGATATGAGAGTTTTAGTGAACATAGGTCGTTAAAAAAGGTCCCCTTGTATCTTACAGCGCAAAAGTATTTGCATACTTCTATGCACGGGCCAGCTTTGCTTCAAAAGATGTCGGTTTAACGTACAAAAGCCAGGGCATAAAAATATGCAAATTTATTTCATATGGTCAAACTTTTGGACGTTGCGCTGTAAGTATTATACTATAAATAAAGGTTCTGGTTCTTAAACAATTTCATTCTGTATTATTATTATTATCACGTACAGCCAGAATCGACGGACAATGGTCACCATGGAGTGACTGGGCTCAGTGCTCCCGGACATGTGGCGGCGGCGTACAGTCGAGGTTGCGCACATGCTCTAACCCTTCACCATCCAATGGTGGTCGAGACTGTTATGGTATAAGACAGGAATCCCGTCTGTGCTCTACTACGCCTTGTGCGGGTAGGTAATGTTAGCGTTAACACTTAGCGCTCCACCTTAAACTTAAATCCACTCTTGTATACACTCGATCCATAGACGTGGGATTGATTTTATTCTTTTGTTACTAGTATCATAAGTATCTTTTTCCTTTTTCAGTTCCAATACCAACAACTTCAGATTGCCAAAATCTCAACGCCATGGTTGGAATTCTGATGGTGGATTCTCGAAGTGTCGGCCAAGAGAACTTCAAAAAACAAAAGGATTTCGTGAAGCGTGTGGCCTCCTCTTATGGACTTTCTACCACGGGAACGCGAGCGGGAATCATTGGATATAGTGATAGTGCCCAGGTGTACGCAAAAATGGGCGAACATACCGACCAAGCCAGCTTCGAACGAGCAGTCGATAGAGTGATTTATACGAGAGGAACATCGAGATTCGATAAAGCACTGAAGCTTGCGTCGCTGCGATTCTTCCCTTCAAGTGGTAAGAGTTTTTATAGCTCGCATGCTTTACTGGCTGGCCCAAATATATAAAGCCTTGCAAAAGCATTTAACGTCTCACGCAACATTGCTGCATTTTATGATGCAGAGCGGAGGTTGCTCCTATTTATTCTTGGAGTGCAACAACATGACTCAATATCCCTTGAGATATAAATAACAATGAAACAACCGCCATGTTGGTTGACCTAACAAGAAAAGCTAATGAGGAATGCCTTGTTATCGTCAACCAATATGACGTAACATGCTCCCCAAGAATTGCTCTAACAAATGTTGTTATTGTACAAAGTGCAAGCAACAAACAATTTGTAGTGATAATATTTTGTTGACCACGTGTCATTCTCTTGATAATGATATTTTCTTTCTTATTTGTATTAACATTCATGTATCTTCTCATACGCAACCGTTAAACAAAAGAATAATACTCTAGGGAATAACACTTGATTTGAAATGTCTACAGGACATCCAGAAAAAAGTCTTTACTTTACAGAAAAAAAAAAACAACACAAGAGCAACTGGTTCACCGTTGTATAATGAGAGTCTATGTCTTGTGCCTTCATATCATTTTTTTTACTTAATTATATTTTTGGTATCAATAGGTGTTGTAACATTTGGTATTCCAAGAATCCTCATTGTCTTAATAAACAAGCCACTAACAAGAGAGTTTGACACGGTACCACTATATCAGACTGTTCTGCCGTTAAGGATTGCCAACGTAAAGGTGTTCGTGATTGGCATTGGACAACAAGTGAATCGAAATGAACTGAATGTGGTAGCAGACGATGAAAAGGATGTTTTCCTTGTGCGTGACTTTGATGATCTTCTGGCGCGTAGCCGTCAAATCATACAATCATCGTGTTCAGAATATCTACCAAGTGGGTTTCATTTATCTTTCTTGTCGTTTATTTTTCTTGTTTTTTCCCCTTGTTATTATATTATATTTACTTCATTATATTATATAGCTTAGACAGTATGCGCGATTTTATTAGTCAAGAACTGTGTTTATTAGTGAACGAAGCATGTTTGCCGACGCTATCCTCGCTTAGCAAACTTTGCAAAGATTGCAAGAAAACCCGTGGAAAATAGCATGGAAAATTACAGAGGATTTTTTCTTTCTAATCAACAATTAAAACAGTTTTTATAGTGCTTCGTTCAGTGAGGTGAATCGCTATGGAAGCGCCGAAAACACTTGTTTTTCTTCACGCTTCTTTTGTGCTTACGTCACTTCTGCGTGCTGTATTACTGAATAGAGCACGGAAAAGACCGTTTTAATCGTTAGTCAACTGTTCGCTTTTATTCTTCTTCGTTCTTATCAGAATCAAATTAATTTTTCTCAAATTTACTTTATCTTTTTCCTTATGCATTATCATCATCAACGACAACTTCATCATTATACTCGCCTTATATCACACCTTTTCCTCGCTGTTTCTCTTACTTTTCCTTTCAGTGCTATCCTTTTCGTACTAATAATGCTGTCTTTTTTATTTCTTCTTAACGTCCTTTCTTCTTCTTCTTCTTCTTCTTTTTCCGTAGAAACCAGAGCACGCTGCCTCGGTACATCAGATTTGGGCTTCATACTAGACGCCTCGGGTAGTGTGGGTGCTGTAGGATTCAACAAACAGCGTCAATTCGTAACTTCCGTAAGTTCATCCTTCAATGTGGGGCCTTCGTCAACTCATATCGGTGTCATCACCTATAGTAGTTTCGCTGTAGTCAGACTTCGATTTGGGGAATTCAACTTAATGGATCAAATCACGAGAGCTGTAGCAACGATTCCTTACACGAGGGGACAGAGTCGCATTGAGGAGGCGTTGAAGCAAGCAACGAACGACCTATACACAGTTAGTGGTGGCTCGCGCTGGGGGCTACCTAAAATTGCCATTCTAATAACCGATGGGTTGCAAGTACAAAACCCTGACGTAGAGCTTCGTCAGGCCTCAGAGGCTTTGCGTCGAGCTGGTGTTAAGATCATCGCTGTTGGAATAGGAAACGATCAAGATAGTGACAACCTACGACTATTGGTCAATTCAAACAACCACGTGGTTATAGTACGAGACTATGACGAACTTCTGAGGAGAGCCAATGAAATTGCGTTACTGACATGTAATGGTGTTCGTGGGTCGTTTCCAACCTTCAATCCAGGTAAATATGCTGTTCACTTGTATGACCTCGGAAACCTAGACCTTGTTTGCTGAAGCATCAATTTGCGAGTCACACTCTGGTTCCAGGAGGCCGAATTGCACGAATGCTGCTGCAAGCTATTGTTTTATGATTGGCTGATACAACCATTTCAAATGTTTGGTGGACGAGAAAAAAACGACGTTTCGTTTGTTCATTAAGTTCATTTTGAGGGTTTGGCCTTTTGGAGGTTTTCATTTCTTTTTTCTTTTTTTGCTGCTGTTGGAGTGGAGTATTTGAAGTTAATATTTTAGGAGGGTCTTGACGCAGGAGCGAAAGGAACCGCAGAAGCACTATAGTGCATATTACCCTAACGCTCGCAGATGAGAAGAAAACGTACATACACTTTATCCACCGAAGCAGAAACCTCATTCAGTTTAGATTCTTTCTTTTAGGAAATATAGGCTCGCAAATATCGTGCCCCAACGTAATGGACTTAGGCTTCGCCATGGATTCGTCTTCTGCACTGGGAATAAAAAATTACCTCAAGGAAAAATATTTCGTCAAACAAATCGCGACGCACGTGGGATTAAGGCCAGATGGCAGTCGGGTTGGTGTATTGATCTATGGAGATACATCTATGGTAGAGATTAGGATGTTACATCATCGTGACGTTTTGTCTTTTACGAACCTCGTGGACCGATTGCCTTATTACAGTCAGCGCAGAAGGATCGACAAAGCGTTAGAAACCGCAAACCTCATGTTCCAGGTGCCTCCGCAGAGTCCTCGAGTTTTGAAAGTTTTTGTTCTGTTGGTGAATGGAAAACAAACCCTGACCTACAACTCAGTACCTTTATCTCAAGCAGCTCAGCCCTTGAGGAATGCAGGGGTCAGGGTTATTGTGATTGGAGTTGGGAATGTATCTGCCAATGAACTGCGTAGTGTAGCCACGAATTCACGAGATGTTTACTTGATACCGAGCTTTGATGTTTTAATATCGCAAGTGGAAAACTTTAAAAGGATAATTTGTGAAGGTAAGGCGCAATGTACAGCATGTCTTTTTATTTGGTGGCTAGCTAGACAGGGTGATTAAATGTTTGCTTTTTGTGTCAATTGAATGGCACATTTTAGTGGGGAAATATCTGGTAAATTGGATATGATGAACAAGGTGTTTGACTTTCAAATAAGGCTGACAAGATTTGATGTGATTTGACCACGGTAATGATCAAGCTAATCTGAAATATACTGACTGGCAGCAGGGGATAGTCCATAATGTTCAATCTGAGAAGCAAACTATCATTTTGGGCCGGTTTTCTACAACTTATTAGTCATAGGAAACTATCTTAATTCCCCTTCCATGAAAGAAAGAAAGATAGATGGATATGGGAAGGAAACGAGCAAGAATTAAGGAAGGAAAAAAGAAAGAAAGGAATGAACAAACATATAGAAACAAAACAAGAAAGAAAACATTCAAAACACATTAAAAACCAAGGAGCAACGTTACAACAACAAAAACAGCAAAATAAAAAACACACAAAAAACCATCAAAAAGCAGCAACAACAACAACATAAAGAAAACAAAAACAACTAAACCGAGCGAACAAACAACTCAGGGGTGGAGTACTAGCTCTTCGGAAGGGCGTTGCCAACACGCGGAAGATTCACGTAGTCATGCAATCACGCGCTAACACGCACTAGACTAAACCAGAAACACACTGAACAGTAAAACAGACCTCTTTTGATGAACGAGAAAACCTTTTGGAATCTTGCAGCGCATAAAGTTAAGATTGGAGATATTTTCACAAAGTCTTTCTTTTATTTTCACGGCCAGAAAATGCATGCATGTATTTTAGTAATTCAACACAAAGTACGGACCAGTTTGCCATGCCGTGACCGTTATGGTGCAGTCCCCTTAGAGAAGGTTTCGTATGTCTGTGAAAAACGTACTGTACGTACGAACGTGCCGTGTTATTATAGTGGCGAATTATAAGGCTGGTTTAAACGCCGTACGATCTTTCCCGCTAATAAATGTGGAGCGCATCATGTTTATATATGACAAATTTTAGTTGCTATTTACAGTCGTTATAAGGTCAATTTACACTAAGTAATTCGTGTCGTCAGCATGTTGCGCGAGACAGTTGTGAAGAAAGATTGTACCGTGTAAGATTGACCTATAGGGTCATTTATGATTTCATGATATATGATTGGTTACGGTTGCGCAAATTGATAAAGTGTTTCTGTACGTGTCTTCAACAAACCACGCTGCACGGAGTCACGAAACGGGGCGGGGGTCAACACGTACATTTGTCAAACATATTCTAGTGCTCACAGTATTGTTGAAACAGTCACACGCTTTGCTACGCCAGTGAAACTTTTATCAAATTCATGCTATATTTAGTGGTTTTGCACTTCAAGTGAATTTAAATTTGCGCGCTTTTTGATCGATCGAATATCAAATTTGATTCCGTGCTTTGGTGATATACATGTGTCTTTCAGATAATCTTTACTGTTCGCCTTTTTAAAGTCCTAAGGAAGAATGAAATGTCAAGTTGAAATTGGGAATAGAATCATTACAATCTTAGAAAAAAAATAGAGCCATTCAGCTTGGGCGTAATGTTTCCCCATTTCAGATCACGCTTCATTCCAGTATCACGATTTCTTTGCGTTTAACAGTAGTGCATGAGAAGACACATGAATGTGGATACACTTCTAACAAAGAATCGAGAGAATGAAGAGAATGAAAACTTTAAACAGAAGTTTAAAAGCTCTATTGAACTACGATCCTTTGTATTGCGACTTTCCTGACTTTGATGGTATTACTTTTGTGGCATTATCTTAATGATAAATTTCTTATTTATTTATTTTTCAGCTGGAGCAAGATCTTCAAGACTTGGCTAGATGTTAGCCCCACCAGCGAATAAATAAAACTATTCAAATGAGTCGAAAAGTAAGACTCGGAAAAGGAGTATCTAAATAACCACAAGAACGTTACCATGGCTACGACATATCGGTAGCAAACAGACAACAAGTCCAATCTCTGCTAATATAACTTGCTGGCATTTTTTTTCTTTTCAGAAAATTTATTTAGAAGACTTAAATAAGCTTACATGTACATGTTTATCAGTGGCCTAACAGTGTACAAGTGTATAAATGTATAGTGAGTACCGTTACGCCGAAGTTTCCAGGAATCTTCAAGTTTTAAATTGTAAATTATCAAAGATTTTTCAATATGTAAACTGGGGTTAGAAGAGTTGAGATAGACACTATGGGAGCCCATATATTTTTACACAAATAATAGATATATAATACGTCAATAAAGTAGTTTTTGGGCCAAAATCTTTGACAGAATGAGAGGAAACAAGAGGTAAAAGGTCATGAAATACTGCAGATGTTGGCAGAATACCCTAAATAAAAAAACCTAGTATTTTTTCACACACAAAAAATCGGTTTTTGCTCATTAATCATCATCATCGATCATCATCATCGAATTACCCGATTTTCTCAGTAATTCACTTATCAAAATCTCTTAAAATGTCTTCTGCAATGGGGATTTCAAACCATTTCAGGGGCAAATCCAGTCAAAAATATGAGGGGATTAATCGAATTTTGAGTGATATTACAAAACTTGCAAAAAATATTTTAAAATATGCTTTCTATTCCACTTCAAGAAACATAACGAACGTCCTGAAAGGGGGGACTACAGCCCCCCTTTGCACCCCCTGGATCCGCCCCTGCATTTGGGTCTTGGACATACACATATCATCCCGGGCAATTCCAAGGGATTCGACGTCCTCTTTGCTCCGAGAGGGGCGGGTATTTGAAGCGTATACCCATTTTACCGAAATCCAAAGTCCTTGTGGATAGAAGTGTTCTATTACATTTTCCAGCTCCATCACTCTAATGCGTGACTATTCCAAGGTAAGCTTTCAACAGTTTTCATGCGTAGTTTGATGGACTTGACCAACTTGACCCTAGCCTGCTGTGCAGACGTTTTTAGTGTCGGCTACTTGACCCCAGTATTTGCGCAGTTTGAACTGGAATGCGTTAACTAGCCCACTCAGTGCACTAGCACTGAGTCCAAGCTCTGTCAGCCAAAACCTTAAATTCAACTTAAATTCAACTTGAAAAAAATCTGGAAATAGATGAGAGGTGTTTTCCCGCTCAGTGGAATTAGGAATTGTCTCGTTTCCGAAGAGTTACGAGGGTGAAAAACATATTCATTTAACACTATAAGTGGTCTAATTAATGGCGGATTTGACTGCATATTCATTATTATGAATGTAATATCCAACCGAAGTATATTCTTTTAAAACACTGCAGACATTTCGCAAGGGAAAGTGAATGACGTTAATAGATGACAAGTCGCCATTCTAGAAGCATGACCCTAAGCTTAAGGAGCTGACAAAGATGAATGGCAGAATTAATACAATACCCCCGTACACGTGCCAACATTGTATCAACTCTGTCAGAACTCCACCCACGCTGACACTTTTGATCACGTTGAATTTTCATGAAAAAGAAAAAAAACGCTTTGTTATTTTTTTCTCTATATAAATAGGCAGTTTTTTATCTTAAGAGTTATTGATTCGATGGAATTGACAGCTTCTGAAGGACGTGACAATCTGCAGCTCAGCTTGCCTGGATTAAGAGTAATGGGTTAGATTGCGCTGTGAAATAACCCCACTGAATTTATTTTGATACACACGCACACAAAAAAAAAACATTTGCAATATACATGTGATATATTTTAATTAAAAAATTGTTTTTAAGTAGCATAAATAAATTAACATTTCATTCATTATATTCGTTTCCAAAGTATTTAATTCTGAATGAACAGTCGTATTTGTCACAATGTTGGGACAACGTAACAAATCATAACTGAACATTCTTACATTCTCTTTATTTTATTTTCCAGCTGTCAACAATCCTCTTGTTCCCTGGCATAAAAAATTATTTTTACCAAACCCTGGTTACTTTTATAATATTTGGTTTAAATGGTTTCACTTTCAAAGTAACCATTTGTAGTTCCTTTATAGGAACGAAAAAAATATTTATATTTTTGCTATTTAACTAATCAATAGCAACAGCATATTACTGCACTGCTAGCTGTGGTTATGTTTTCCGTCTGACAGGATGAATGGAGGACGTTGAATAATATGTTTTTCTGCCCTGAGCAAAACCCGAGGCTAGATATTCTGCCGGCAGCTTAGTAACTATAATATTAAAAAATTATACAAAATTTTGGGATCAGTATACTGTATTCTTTCCCTACCGTACAATGTCTAAAAGTAATCAGTATAGATTAGATAAAAGCAGAACTCTAATAGCACTTGGCTATTGTTCTAAAGTATACTACTTTAGAAAATTACAAAAAATATGAGCATTTGTCATTTTTAGATGACTATTAATCTATTTTTTACCGGATTTTCCAAATACTAACTTTCATTATCTTCCATATTGTGTGGGTTTGATGTTTCTGACACATCTAAAAATTTCTGACAGATTTCTTTTAAAGAGTCTGGTAGAATTTTAGTCACATTTGGCATGTGTTCCACACAATCTCCCATGTCATCACCTGCTGTTGTTTTGCTCTGGTTCTCATTTTCACAATTCAAATCATCTTGCTCCACATTAATATTTGCTTTATCCAATAAGTTTTCTTGTGTTTCATCATTTTGTGTCAACCTGATTGAAGAACATAAGATAATATCTGTGGTATTAACCGGTGTCATAGAGTCCTTCGATTTTGCTGACTGATTTTGTTTTCCATCTGAATCTGGAATATTACTAATAACTTTTACCAATAATTCTTCCAGCAATGACTTCACATCTCTGACTATTTCGTGTTCATGTTCAGTTGACATAGTGACCAACTTTTTAACTTGTGCAGTGCTAGACTCTATTGTTTCCTCTTCACGTTGTGATAAACAGTTTGGTTCCACATTGATTATAGCCTTATTGAGCTCTACTCCTGCATTAACATTCCCTGCATCTGATGTACATGTATTTTCTTGATGCTTATACACAGAACTATTTTTTACTGAACTCTCATTCCCATTTGTATTATTATTTTCTTGACATTTTTCAGATTTATTACAGTTCAGTTGTTTGTCCTCCTCTTCTGTAACACAACCCTCAGATTCATTTTCTATAGTTTCCCTGTATTCATCAGATTTTGAGCCATCTGATGACTGCCTTTCAAAATCTGTAGGTCTTATGCACGGATGCTTCGTTTCAAGCCATTTCCTCAAGTTCCTTTGTATAACCATTACAGCCCTTTTTATCCTCAAGAAACGCCTTCTTTCCCGGAACCTCTTAAAAGCAGCTTGAATGACCCGAACAGCACTGTCCATCACAACTTCTTGAAATTTCTCAATGAGTTTTAAACATGCACTGTAGCTTTCTTTATTCTGTGTGGAGTCACTACTAATGATTGTAGTGTTGGTATGTGAATAGTTATTAATGACACAGGAATCATCCATGATGGTGGGCAAAACATCATGATTTTCGCATTTGACAGCATCATCTTTGATTTCTGCCAATTCCGAAATCGGTTGCAAGCCCCTGAAACAGATTTAAGTCCAATTATTTAGTTATTAATGTTGTTGTACAGCTATAAAATATATTAAAAATAGATATAACAAATTAGGTCCCTCAACAGATTACTAAACATACTAACCAACAACACAATATAATGTATGGAAATTGACAGAGCAGAACGACAAGGCTGCTACTTTTGCAATTTTTTTAAAAATCTCTCATTCATGCTAAAAAACATTTAGTGTTTCATTTGTGTCTCTTGTGCTTTACACTTTTTACAAAATCCTGCTAACCTCAAGCAATTCTACTTTGAGGTATCAGAGAAAATGTTAGTTTTTGTGCTGATCAAAATATCATCTCTCCCAACGTTCAGGGTGTTATATCTCAAATACGCATCCCTTAAATTTCCCCAAATTTTGGTATTTTGTTAATCAGCCCCAAAAGAGTCTGTTTATGAAATATAAAGCTTATTAACGCATAAAAGTCGAAAGTAGAACCCGTTTTTCTGCCCTGTCATGGAAATCAAAATGAAGTTTAAATTCTATATTCAAATTAGAAAGAAAATTCAGACATGTGGGAAAAATCAAAATAGAGTTTTACTTGGCTTGCATGACTAATATTTAAATATATATTGTTGACATTAAAAAGCCATAATCTCTAGAAATCTGTTAATTATAGCTTCTGGTGTATTCAAATATTATAAATAGATGGGGAAATTTGCCAAAATCTTAGACTTTGAGTCACCGTTAGGACATAGTCCTCAATCAATATTGCAAAGAATTACTCATGCGTTTGTGAAGTTGAATAAATCTTAGAATAATATGTTTTGTTTTTACGAGCATTGTGTTCTACGACTCTGTTATCATAACGTTCACGTAAGTCTTATGAATCTATTTTTAAATATTTTGATCAAAGTTCTAATGATAAGATTTACTAATTGAAGCAGGATTGAGCTAAAAATACAGTTCCATCCCGGCTTCAAGTCTAAAACCACCCCTATATTCGTAAAATCCTTAGGGATTACGAATTAATTATTCAAACGTGGTTACACAAAGTACTCGTTCTTGTGTAACGATATATTTAATATTCCAGACTTTTCTTCCTGCGACATTCGAGACGGTAAACATCGACTCGAAAGTGAAAACAATTATTCAAGAAGGGGATATTTTTTTTTCCTATTTTAGATCATGATTCATAAAGGAGGTGTCCGTAAAGACAATACTTTAATTATTTCAAAATTCCAAGAGAACGCATGGTAAAAATTTCCGGAAGTAAAGCCTACGTATAAAGTATAGAAATGTGGACACATTCACCGGTAATGATAACGATGTACCACAAAAAGCAAAAGAATCTATAGATGCAAACAAAGAAAGTTAAGAAAGAAAAGGATGCTCGTAATAATAAAAGAAAGTTGTAAGAAACAATAAAATAAATGAATAAATTTATGGTTGGTAAAATGGTTTCTGAGCACGTACTAGAAGATGGTAGCTTATAGAAGGAACCAGAAAAAGTGATATTCAAAAAATAATTCTGCATTAAAGTAATAAGGGAAATATATTCCAGAATATAGTTAGAAAAATAAGTCTAAATATTATTTTAGATCTCAAAAAGATCTGAAGGACAAGATGATTAAGATATACAAAACATGCACTTTAATTTAATATTGTTAGTAAGCTTCTTCAAAAGGCACAAATGCGAAACCGAAAAAAAAAAAATTAAAGTAAAAGCTCAGAATCCGAATCATTGAAGACCATCGTTATTTTGCTTCTATTAAGAAGCCTGGTATATATATATATATATATTTAGTGTTTATTATTAAAACTAAGGCAAATTTGCTTGATATTTTTTCAATGTTTCAACGCATGAACACATTTAATGTGGTTCAAATCACAATCGCTTGCAAGCGCCCTGGACGCGCCGTTTTTCAAAAAATCACTCTCCACAAAAAAGAAAACATCTTAACGACACAAAATCGATAGCATTGACTTACCGATTAAAATACCACCACCTCCTTCGTCTTCCACCTCGTTTCATGTAACTGTTTCGTTTGACCGACGGAGGATTCGAGATGGAGGGGCCGTTAGTGTTGTTGGTGCATGATAATTGTTGAGAGGGCGGACAATTTTCGACATCTTGGTCAGATATATTCCCAGTATTCGAGCTCATTGGCACCCAAACGAACCACCAGTGTGTTGTAATGTGAAAGTAAAGCCAGCATGTATGTTATTGTTTGAGTTAGAGCGTGGATCTGTAATTTAAGTAGAGTAGATCGGGAGTATGTAAGTTTTGACACAGAAACATGAAACCAACGGACTTTGAACCCAACCTTCGGCCTTCCTATGCACCAGGCTCCTCTCGGACAACCATCACCCTCCCCCAAAATTCAATATTCTTATTTTTTAACAAAATTCATCAATGAATAAAACTAAAAATAAAATGACTATTATTTCTAGAAATTACTTCAACTTGAGAAAATTTAAGAATTATTTTTAATATTCTTTTTATATGTAAGATTTTATGGAAGGGGCGGGCTAGTTCCCAGGCCTCTAAGGCTTCTTGATCAATACCGGAACGTAATGGCCACTGTTAGAGGTCCAATGATGGAAGCAGTTATATCAGCTTTAGGTAAGAAAACCCCAACTTAACTAACCATTTACGCTCTATATTCATTTATTGTAAATCCATTAATGTATTTATTGGAGGTTTATCTTACTGCATGACGCTAAAAGCCTCAAAATATTTACGATAAGGTTGAGTTGTTGGCAAGTATTTTTTCACGTGATGAGCTTGTGATCCAATGTGGACGGAAATTTCTGGGGGTTATCAAGAGTTGGTTATTGACAGTTTATATTGACGGGTTGTAAGTTAAGCTGGACTTTTAGTCTCGAGCTTTTATAATGGAGTAATGAAGGGGAATTGATGCATGCAGCCTAGAGGTTAAAAGTTGATGCAAGAAGGTTTCAGCTAATGAATAAGAACATAGGAGCATGATTTTCAGTTCATGTGTGCGTGCAATGGTGTCGGGGAAAGGTAGGAAAGAAGGGGGACTAGTTGTAGACAATAGAGTGACAACAGTACAAGATGACACTTTTGGATTTAACATGCAAATCATATGCAGATACATGAAACTGACTTTATAAGGATAGCTGGAATAGGGTGGGTAGGCTGTTATTTTAGGCCATTTGAAATTTAGAAAAATATTGGACAAGTGTGTTTGTGTGTAGTGGGGGATGAGGGAGGAGGGGCTGGAGCGATAGCTTGATGTAGGCTACACAAAAGCCCATGTTTTGGAAAATGCAACAGTCATAACCCTTGAAAATGAGTTTGAAAAATATATGTTACACACAGTGGGATTTGTTACTGGCTAGAGACATGACCTTTTACATGATTCTTGTGTTAAATGATGCTTACTATTGCCTTTGCAACGCTCCCTTTCTCCATCCCAGCAAGGAAGAGATAAGACAAGGATATATTCTTTCATGATTGCACTTTGTTCCATCTTATTAGGCTTTAGTGATCTTTTGGACTTGGAGTGGAACTTAATACCATAATGTTATGTTTTTTGATATCCAGGGTACCCCTAATAATAATCCAATTATCCAAAAATGATATCCATTTTCATTCTAAGTATGTGTTGTTTAGGGTTTCGGCTATAGTTTAAAATTACTTAACATTTGGGATGACTTAATGGTAGTTTGATCAAATAACCTATTTTGAATGACAATTATTTTTTCATTGAGGAACAGAAGACGAGGGTGGTTGGCCAGAGTTCGTTGAACTTTATCAACCTGACAAAAGTGAGCTACAAGTATTATGGGAATCTACTTTCATTTTATTCCTATTTTACAAGTTATATATATTTTTGCATATTGCATTTCATTTGTAATTTCCTTCAGTACAGTAGAATCCTGATAACTTCAACCCTCAGTGTAACTCAAAGTTCCCACTAACTCGAACCAACATTGATTTCCCCTGGATTTATGTTACACATTTATTGTAATTTTACCTTTGGTAACTTGAAACCTCAATATTTGGAACCTCCCTCTAACTCTAAGTGATTTTTGTTTCCTGTCAGGTAATTTTAAAAAAAATTGAACCTCAATGTCAAAGGTACCCTGTGAGCAGAATCTCCTTTTACCTCTCTCACCTATAGAGGAGGTAAAAGGAGACTCTGCTCACAGGGTATGTCAAAGCAAACTCCAAATATGTATTATTTTACTGTATTTCCTTCATATCTGTTCTGTTCTGTTTTATTGATTAAAGTCAAACATAATTTATTCTCTAATTTCCTGTCATTTGTTTACATCTTCTGATAACTCAGTATATTTTTATTCCTGATATTTTCCTTGATGGCTCAAGCTATATATTCAGATTTTATTTTCTCATTTATTCCTTTCTCGGTAAATTCTTAGGAAGTTACATAAAATGAAAATATCACATGGTTAAAAATGAAGAAATATTAGCCCGATATCCAATGAATAGACTCCAAAATGTTGCTATCTTTATTTTTTTAACTGTACTTTAATAATTTTTTTTCTTTTGAAGGTATTGTTCTTCTTTCTGATGCTGCAAAATGTCAAAGTGTTGAGGTAAAGTTTTGAAATATGTGGTAGTAATAGTTAATGTGTAGATCCAGAAATTATCCATACCCCTTCCCCTCCTGAGAGAGGAATTTTTTTAAACTGCCTTCCTGGTAATTCCAATTTTTTGACATATGAACTCTGTAATTTTGTTCTTTCTCTGACCTCCCACCCCACCCCAATTCCAAATTCCTCTGTTGAGGAGGGGGGGGGGGGGGAGGGGGAGATATGGATAATTTCTGGAACTAAACAATATTACTATTGTGGTAGTAAGCAACATTTTGTTGATTTTTTTATTGGTTTTTTAACCCCACAGAAATTGTTCTTTGTTATTTTCCAGGCTTTTTTAAGGTTTTGTAATCTTCCAGTTACACGAAAATATTCCAAGAATGCTGAATTCATGTCTCCAAATGGTAAATATTTTCATATTAGAATTTATCTTTTCTTGTGTGATCTTAATCAGGTACATTTTTAGTAAGAATGTGTTATTTATTCATTTTGATATAAAAGGTGAAGTACCACTTCTGAGGGCTGGAAATGCATTACCTGCTGGTATTCAAGAGATATTATCATATATTCAAAAAAAGGTAGATAGAAACAGAGTTTTAAATTTATAGTTATTTACAAAAAGCTGTTTGTTTTTTAATGTATAGATTACTAATTTATCCAGCTTTGTTCAATTTCTTTGTTCTCTTGTTTGTTTGGTTTTTTGTTTGTTTGTTGCTTTATTTATTTGTTTAATTGTTCTTTCCATTCAAACCCTTTCCTTCTTTCTTTCTTTCTTTCTTTCTTTCTTTTATTCATTCATTCATTATTTCTTTCTTTTTTCATTCATTCATTCATTCTTTCTTTCTATCTTCATTTTCAAAATCATTTTGAAGAGTACATGATATACTTTTCTGTAATATAATAGGGAAAGTTTTGACTGTTGCAATATAATTCCTTAATATTTTTCATAGGGTATGTCATCAAGTGAATTACATTTAAAATCACAAGAAAAGGCAGAGATGATGGCATACATATCACTTGTTGAAAAATGCTTTCTACCTGCTGAGGTAGGATTTAATTGCTTTATGCTTACAGGGGTGAAAGTAATGTCCAGTCAACAGACAGTGTCTAGCTAAAATTGGCACTAGCCTAGCTTAGGCCAGTCCACTTGACTATTATACTCGTAACGTTAATACGTTTGATGTGACCAGTCGCTCTGCCCATTGAAAAATCATTATTTTTAGTTCTTGCATACAGTGCAACTACCATCTCAACGGGAATTAGGAGACAGTGGGTCAAAAGGGGACTTGAACCTTTTATTGCTTTAGCACTACTGATTACATAGTCCCTGAACTCACGCCATCACTGTAGTGATATTGTTACTCAACTACTACTTCCTAAAAGAAATTAAAGAGAGTAATACTCTTTTCGACCTTATCGTATTTTTGGATTCTCATAGCTTTATATGTCATGGTGCAACAAAGAATGGGCCATTCGCAGTCGACACAAGTATGGTAGTCCTTACCCTACACCTTTGAATATTATTCTCGGCTACAAGAAACAGATGTCTGTTCGTAATCAACTAAGAGCAATGAACTGGCATCTTAAAAAAGAAGAGGAGGTAATAGATATTAAGTGCCGACACACTTAATCCATGAAACTGTACTAAATTTATTTTTCAACTAAGAAATACGAAATAGTGCAATTATGTTTGTTGTTCTATTTTCATTGCAGTATATATAGTACAAATTAGTGGTAGTTATGTAGTTTGGTTTTTATACACTACTTTATTTCATGGGTTGATGAAAACCACTCTACTTCTAATTTACCTCACCTCACATTTTAATTTTTAAAGATAATGAATGGATACTCACCCAGGTAAAATCTTCATGAAGATCTTTTGAGACTATATTATACTCCACTTTTGAAAATATACATTTTAAGAATGGCAGGACCAATTTTTTCCCTTTTAAGCTTCTCCATTATCTAAATCTTGATATATCTCCAGGTAATTGAAGAATTCAAGAAAGGATGTCAAGCATTAGCAGAAAAGCTTGGAGGACGCAAGTACTTTATTCACGATTTGTAAGTAAAAACAACTTTTACTTATTTGTTATGGAATATGGACTATTCATGAAGTACTTTCATCATTTCTCAATAAGCCTGAAGGGGTATAATTTCCATAATGTGAAGAGGGTCAGAAAAAAATCAGAATTGAGCCCTGGGAGGGGGAGGGTACTCCCATGTAAAAAGAGTGGGGATAATCACTAAAAAAAACTAAATTTAACCCCTAACGAAGAGAGTTTGGGCGTGATCCTGGTTTAATTTTAGTCCTAAAAGATACCACTTTGAAACACAATAATCACTTAAAACAAAAAGCATTGAGTTAATTGCAACATACACTAAAAGTATATGACCAATAACTGTCCTCTAGTTTTTAATGTTTGGAGCTGGCCACAGATCGCTTGCTGCTAAATGATACCACACATACTATAAATAGCTTCTTCTTTTTCACCAACAAAAGAGGGAGTGACATAATAACTCCTAAAAGATATGACACACATCCACGCCCTTCTTATATGGGAGTACCCTCCAGATTATAATCTAATTAAGCTTTTAATGATCCTCTGGTCTCGAGCTTTATCCAGGTAGTTTTTTATTAATAAATATTTTCCCTTTTTATTATAGGCCAACAGAACTAGATGCTGTTGTGTTTGGCCATCTACACACTATCTTAATGAGATACCAGCCAGATGACTCATTAGAGTCTGTCGTCAAGATGCACAAAAATCTTGTTAATTTTGTTGCTAGAATTCTTAAAGAGTACTTCAGATAAAAAACACTTACATTTCTCAACTATTTGTAAATATTATAAAATTTCAAAGAATAAATAAAAGAGAGAAAATTAAATTCAAAAAGTAGATTTATTTCTTTATTCTGATATTTTTGGGACGACAAATGAATTGAGTTGCCTGTGGAGTTCACAAAATAGTACGATTGGGGTTCCTGTGTTTTTGTGAGACTGAGCATGCGTAAAATTATAAGCGCCATTTTCAATTTTTCAAAACAATGCAAAAATATTTATCAAGATGAACCTTCCAAGTTCTCGCATTTTGGTGACTTAACATGACTATAATACACAATGGAAGGCGAAAGAATACTTAAAGAACTGCTGAAGAAGAGATTGGGTGGTCTTTACGACGATACGAAGGTAATTTGAGAAGAAATAGCCTGTGAAGAATTGGCCGGCCATTTTGGCTGCGATCGAGAATTTTTCACGACCTTAGACCTGGAAAAGTTTCGTTTTTTATGTATCAAATTTAATTGATAATGCTAAATTCTTGAAATGTCAGTTTAAAAATTGTTAATTCATTAATTTACGGGCAAATTTTTATTGTATATACTGTGTTATTTACAGAATTATATTGCCACTTTGAAGAGAGTTACTGAGAGTAAGAATGGCTACACGGCGAATGGCTGTAATACAGTGGAAGAGGTGGTGTCCAAGTATAGTGGATTTTGTAACAAGTTTTTAAGATGTGCCATCGAAATATTGAAGGGATCGAAAGAGACAAAAGATGTAGAAGAAATCATGTTGATTGTCGATATGGGTGAGTGGTTTATTTAGTCGAATTTTTTTTATGCTCATAATTTCATGCGAAGTTTTAAGAACGCAATACACCCTTAATTCTATTTATCTTAATACGTGTAGTTAACTTAGTGCAAGGCTCACAGTTCCAAACTTTGGGACGAGATGGGAATTGGTCAGAGATCTCATTCAAATAATGAAAAATTCCCCTGACTATGGGGATTCTATCTAGACGTGTTTCACAAATATTTTGGGCTCTAAGTTTATATTGTAAATGTTGTTCTGCATATATGTAACCTTGAAGAGTACCTGGGTGGGAGATGGGGTAAGGTTTTAATACATTGACTCATACATAAAAGTCAAAGTCAAATGAAAGAAAACAATGAAAAGAGTGTCACACTGTGCTACTACTGTATATATTACATGTACTGTGTGCTTGTTACAGTGTGTTTTTCACAGGACAAGTAAAATCACTCTAACTTGTTACATTGGAGCATGGTTCTGATTTGCGGCCTGGTAACTGTTCCAATAATTAGAGTGTGTGTGTGTGTGTGGGAGGGGGGTGGGTATCTGCTAGTTTCGCCCCGTTGCACTTTCATTAACATTTTGATGCTGGTCGAAATTGCAACAGGGCGAACTTGATTATGTTGCGGGTTGAACTTACCGGGTCGAAAGTGCAACGGGGTGAAACTAGCTCAATTTGGAGGGGAGGGGGGGGGGGCAGGATAACATCATACCATGCCTTTTTGCAGTCCATGTGGTTAATTGATTGCTGTTTTTTAATCTTTGGTTACTCTATAGTAATGAATGTTCTCGACTTGGTTCTGACTGCCGAAAATGGAAAATATTTGAAGTTTACTCCTTCTCTGGATGATGTTGGTAGAAAAATTCTCCATATTACAAACCATCTGCTAAACAAAAACTTATTTGACACTTCCCTTGTCTACATTAATTACTGCATCAAGTATCTCAGAATGGCAAGGAATATTGATACTATTGAAGACTGTATACAAAAAGAACTTAGGAATGTTGCTTTGCACATGGGAAACTTGTCATGGAAAGGAGCACAAAGACTTGAACAATTGAATTCTTCAAAACAAAAACTCAAAGACAAACAAGAATATGTCAGTGGATGTAAAGATGTGCTAGAATGGAGACTTACAGCTGTTATCTTTGAGCTAGAAGCATGCTCGTCTGGTCTTGAATCATTGGTCACCAAGGCTATCAAGTCAATTTCAAAGTTTCAAATGGATAGTGGTTCTTGTCAGCAATGTGATGATGACAGTATCAAACTCTGTGAATCTGTATTTTCTGCTATCAAAGAAAGGCTACTGGAACAGTGTAAATCTGGCAAGACCATAAATAATTCTTCAGTGTTTTCTATTGTTGATCTTGGCTTACACCTTGCAAGAATGTATAATAATTTAGAAAGAACAGATAAGGCAAACATTTTCTTTGAGGAGCTTCAAGGTTTGACAAATGGAGTGGTAAAACCAAAGAAGACAAATACTGCAGAGGGTTGCTTAATATCACGGTTCATCATGTGTAATACTACAATAACTAAAGCAGCCGTTTTATTTGATACCATCTACAATCATGAACCTTTGGGTGAGCAGCAAAAGTCAGATGAATTAATGAGATTAAAGAAGATGTTGAATGAAGGTAAGCGACTGCTGGAAATCTTGATGGAAAGCAGAGCTCGAACTCCATTTCCTTCATCAACTGTTTTGCAGTCTCTAGAATGCCTTAAATCAAGAGTACAAAGTATGTGCAATTTTTCAAAGGAAAAAAGCAGAAGCCTAAAATTTGTAATACCTTATGAAATTTATCAAAGTGTGCAATCAATATTAGAACAGTATGAAGGTTTACTTCAGTTAGAAGTGGAGTCTTGCGTGGCAAAGAAATGCTCAACAAAGGAATCTACAGTACTTCAGCAACAACAGCAGAAGCTTGTGGAAAGGATGTTTGCATTGTCTAGCTTTATCATGAAGTTTTATCAGCATCAAATACAGGTTGGGATAAAGGAAAAGAATAAGGAAAAGAATAATGATAACAGGTAAGACAAAGCAGCTTTTATTAAACATTTAGGGTCAATATCTGGGTGATAAAGCTGTGAATAAAAACCATATTAGTAAAGTGATACAATATCACTTCATGGTGAACTGGAAACTGTGCATTGTAAAATTGTTATTGTATGTAATAATAATGATTTGTATGCAAAAATGTTTGGCTGGCAAGCTACAGTACGCCTATTAGTACAAAAGGCCTATTAAGGTATCATGTAAACCAGACACAATGATAGTATATTAGCTAAAAATCAGTAACTTATTTCCTACTTTTTATAACTCTTAATATCAGCCAGCTGATGTCTAACTGCATCAAGTATTCACAAACCACCAGCACGAGAATTCACTCAATGATGGAGAATTCTGCTGTCAGTCTGTCTACCAATGAATTGATGTGGCATGGCTCTCTGTCCTTTGCACTCGGCATGGAGGCCTACAAATGTGACCTGTTTCAAGAGGGGGCAGTATTAATGTCAATTGGATGCAGTGACCTGAAAGACTGGAGCTTGTTGGCTTGTGATGATTATGACTTGGTGCACACAAGATTAAAGGAGGTGAGGTTGTCTTATGACTATGATTAGAGACCTTCAGATCCGATGACAAGTACATAAACGAGTATGAGTACAAGTTTTTAACTTTTAAAGATTGGCACTATCATTTCTTAGCCGTGGTTGTGTACAGTATGTACATGTAGATTGAAAATTTAGATTGTAGAAAAAATGTAAATTGACTACGATTCCATGTCAACCACACGCGTAGGACCAATTTTAAAATTCGTACTCATTCTCATGTACTTGTCATTGGATCTGAAGGTCTCTATTATGACTTGGTGCAAACAAAGTTACAAGAGGTATGGGCTTTCCCTTTCCTGTCATGGATGAAAGATAAACATGAAAAATAAACAAATAAACAAAAAAGAAAATAATAGCATCCAAGTCAAAGCACCTCGTAGTATTTGCCATTATTGGGACAGAATATAAAAGGGTAACAAGCATTAACTAAAACTTGTTGGAGCTTTGCCATTATTTAAAGTAATACTGATTTCCAATTTTGCCTGATATAGCTTCTTCCCAAGTATGGAGCCCTTATAGATTGCCAGAGAAGATCAAGATGTTATGAAGAAGCCTTTGATAGTGCTACATCAAACATAACATTGTTCCTTCAACTTGATATGATATCTGACTTTAGTTCCTTGTCTACTGATCTCCAAAAACATGTTCATCTTTGGCTGAAAACAAAGAGTGACTTGATTAAACACTCAAGTAATGATGATTTGTCTGAGATCAGATTAAGGTATGGTGTAAACGAATAGGTGGAGATCAAAACTGTTGTGTTGGCAGACATGTTGTTGACCAACAGCTTACATCACCCTACATCACCCACCTACTGACAACATACTGACACTGTAAAAGAACTGTAAAAAGGTTGGTTCTGATAACCAACTAACAATCTAATTAGAACACATAGTTTTGTATCACTCCCAGTCTTATACTGCTGTGTATCTTTCCAATAACTTACCAAAAACCTACTGGAACATTAATTCCTGACACCTGGCTATGAGTCGTTCATGCTACAGGGCAAAAAGAACATATCAAACAATATCAGCTCACATAAATGTTTGGTTCATTTAGACAATGGAAGTGTGTTTGTGATAGGGTCATGAATATACCATCAACAGTCACCATTATTTCTATAGCATATACCTAGTGTAGCTATTGCAAAACCCACTCCCCAAGGGTATAGCCAGGGGGCCAGTGCCCGCCTCCCATCCTGGTAACAAAATAGCGGCTTTTAAGATTTTATATGGTAATTTCATTTTCTTTTTGTTAGGATATAATGCCAACTGTAAGCCATTTTGGGGGTTTGCCGTTTCGGGGACACAAACAAGATGTCAGATAATTTATTTTGCCCTCTCCCACTCCCTTCGGAAAATCTTGGCTTTGCCCCTGCATTACCCAAACATTGAATCAACGACCCTAAGCATGAAGAACAGTAGTGAAAGACAACATTGAGAAACCAGTTGTACCTATCCCTTATAACTGTGTTTTTACATTATTTCATAGGACATTGTATAATGTTATCTCAGAAGTGGAGGACTTCTCAAGTCTTACTACAGAACAGCTGGGTTCCATTCTACAGGAAGAACTCAAGTGTTATAAAGCACTCACAAGATTTGATACATCACTAGAACAACTGTCAGTAACCAAGCAGTTGATAGACCTGTATACTGCTGAGAAAGACTTATTCAACCTTGCTATAGCAATGGTAGAACATGCAAGGGTTCTTCATGCAAGTGGGAATCTTGATTACAGTGACAGGTAATATTGCCAGTGCACTTGCCTCTCACCTTTGGGATCTCAGATTAAAATACTTGACTAGACATAATTAGATTTTTTGGGTCTCTCCCTTGAATTGGTGGTTTTTTGAAATAAAGTTTAATCAGTTGCCACCTTTACTTTTTTGATTAAAGAGGAATCAAATTCTTGTCTTCCATGAGACAACTTGCACCTACTGAGTTTGCACAATATTGAAAATTACAGGAATTTTCATGGTTGCATGTTAGATATTGAAGAAGACTTAAGGTAGAAAACATGCATGACGTGTGCAGTTATAAAGCATGCAAAGGTTGGCAAACAGGAGAGTGTCAGGAATAGCTCAACATGTAGCAGAGTGCTTCTCAGCACTTCTACAATAGCAGTTTTTTTCTGCTCTTGAAAAGCATAGCTCCCAGCCAATCTGAACACAAGAATTATAAGACTTATTTTGTGAATTGATCTAAAAAAATTGCAAATGCTTTATTAGATCACCTTTAGAACTTTGCCAGGAAAGTATAGAACTATTGGAAGGCTTACAGAACAGCTCAATGGAAGAGGCATCACTTGTTGCACTACAAGACAAGATTGCCTCTGCATATCTTTGGCAGGCTATCCTACAGCATGAGGAGGCTATGAGGCAGAATGCTACTCTGTTCAAAGATGGTGATGATTCTGATGTAACTGGTGTAGAGGGCATGGACCATGAAAAAGAAAGCCAACAGGTAAAATGGGGCCATAAAATAGTACTGATAGTTTTTTTAATACATTTAAGTACCGCTGCCTGGGTAGCTCAATTTAATAAGAGTGGCAGTCTGTAGTGTTGTGTGAAATTGTGGTTTGAGTTGCGGCAGGACCAACACTCAGGGTCTTAAAATAACCAAGGAGAAGATGCTGCCTTTGTAATTACATCTGAAAATGGTTAGATCTTCACGTAGTTCAGATCACGTTAATGGCAGATCTGTCCCTAATTAACTAAACATGTTAAAAGAGGACCAGGAGTTTAGTAGTTGAAATACTGTTAAGTGTTATGCTCAATAATCAAATTTGGTATTTTTTGATGTGAATTTTGTGCATATATCAGCTTCCTGTAAATAGCTGTCCACCCTAAGTAACTTATTCTTCTTGAAATTCCTATTTTTAATACACTCTTTTCATTTGTTCCATTTAACATCACTTTCCCTACCTTGGTACATGTAGCTTACATGTAGGTGTGTCTCTCTTTTTCTGTTTCCTCAAATGAAGAGAAAACCTCAAGGCTATTATATAGGGGTTCCATTACCAAATCTTACTCCTAATAGATTTAGATACACCCATGTTTCACCTCTGATAACTCTTAGTGACAAACCTCAATTCACAACATCACTGCAAAAGCAAATACCCAGACTGGGGAACTGTTGTTGCTTATATCATCACACTGTCTAATATCCAGTTTCAACAGATTGACACTCTTGTTTCTGTTGATAGATAATCAGTCTAGAGCAGCCTTTTGTCCAGTCCTTACATGCTGCAGTGGATATGTGGACAGCATTATTGGAAACATGTACAAAGCAGTCTCAAGATGGAAAGGTCAGTAGTACTATTGCTACTTTGTCAATAATTATCTATGCATAGGTTTTGGCTGATATACTCAATTGCACTTATGATAACCTAGATATAGGGTTTTGCACTCACGGTTAGCGAAACAAAATTAGATCTTTTGTTTCATCCACGATTTTTATTTTCATATTCCTGCTCGGAGCTTTCGGGTTACAAACCCATCGTCAGGGGGGGAAAAAACTGAAAAAAACTAAATTAGATCTCTTCGAAATAGGCTACCATAAGTGCATTACAATGGCTAGCACTGATAATAAGTGTGATTGGTCCAAAACCACTCATGGTAACTTATTTTTACCTACAGGCCGGAAATAATTAATAAGGTCGGATTTATTTCTTCAGCTGTTTGTTAATAACATTTTTCTGTATTTTCAGGTTGACATCTCTACATTTTTGAATCCAACTGAGACAAGGCATTATCTACAAACTGCAGCACTTCTATATGGGATACTCAATCAAGTAAGCTACATGATGCTTGTTTTCAAGTTTTACACTAAACAAATTAATAAAAATAATTCTCAAGAGAATATTTATAATTTGATATGGCAAAACAGTATACACAAGTATGAATTAGGTTTCCCGTGGTACCTGTAGTAAGCAGACACCTACTAGCCCTTGTGTGGTGACGTCCCCATAATAGAGGTGTCTGCTAAATAGAATTACTTTCTAAAGTAAATGTACTGTTAAGAAAATATTGTAACCCAGGCAAGTGTCTGTTTTATAAAGGATGTCTGCTTAATAAAAAGGAGTCCTATATATATCACTGATAAAAAGAAGGTTTAATCTTTTATTCCAATTTGATCTGGAAGATATAATAAAAATATTGTGATTTCTAGTCGTTATGGAATTCTATAAATGAAGAAATAGAAAACACGCCCATGTGCTTGGTGCAGATATAAAGCACATGGGTCGGTATACACAAGACAAGTGTTAGGAGAAGCACAACACCTAGTGGGGTGCCTCTTACACTTTTCGAGTGTTGTGCCAATTCCCAAGTGCTTTATAACTCCACACAGCAAGCAAGTTTTTCATTTGTTTTATAAACTACAATAACCATTATTTTGGAATTGCGCACATTCTGTGTGCTCTCATAAAGCACAAGCTCCCAACCAATTAGAATGCAAGATGTATAAATTAAAGTTATTTTATGATTATGACTAAATATAAACAATATTTTCTTGAATAGCCTCTTAACCAGGTCCATGCCCTTCATCTGTGTGCTGTGATCAACCAAGCCATCAATACACAAGATTCAATGAATGAAGCAGTTACAATATATGCCCAAGCCATACACACATTGTGCAGTATTCATGATGTTGGCCATGCAAGTTTGCTTCTCTCATATTGTAAACAAATAGAGGAAAATTCCACTCTTGAATCTACAACAGTGATTCAGATATTACTGGCTAGGAGTCACTTTTATCTTGAATCTGGCAAGGTAAATATGGCACCAATCTGAAAAAGTAATGGGTGGCTCAAGGGAATAAGAAAATGGATACTGGATGGGATAGTAACTCATAATGGGAATTCTTGCCTTTAGAAGAAGCTACTTTATTTTTTACTTTCCCAGTTTTCAGTTCAGTGCCTTTCTCTTATTTTCGATGAATCTGCTTGTAACAGGCTTAACTGGGAGAGATTTTGGGTTATGTCCTTTTGGGTATATTATTACCTGAAATAGTGTTTCATTTCATGTTTTGAGGGCCACATGTTAGATAACTCTCTGGGTTAATTGTGTCACCCTCCTTAAATAAAGTTTATTGTATCGTATTGTATTGTATTGTATTGTATTGTCCAGTATTTATCATTTGACTGTATGTGTTTTGTAATTATAGTATTCTGAAGGAGAAAAGTGCCTGAACATGGCCTTTTCTAGTGACTTTCTATCTCAGAGGACTCGTACATCATTTGTTCATATGGCAGTAGCTCACTCGTTGATGGTCAAATACCTGCAGCTACCTCCTACTGTTTACAGTTTTCAACCACCACAAGGTATATAGCTAACTAATCATATAGATCTACAAGGGAATAGGTATAAGTATAGGACTTACAGTCTTAATTGGGAATGGCCAACATCTCATTGTAGGTGATTTACTGAAGGTCTTCTAAGAGATTCTATTTTAGAAGAGGCAGTCCTACTGTTGCAATATCATATTCCAGTATTATCACACTTTTGGTTCAGTTAATTACAGCCCATTTCATGTTGCTGTGACCTTAGTATTGTAACTGACTCCAGATGTCTTTCGTTTTGGCTCCCATCAAACAAATTTATGCTGGGCGGTTTGCTTTCCTATCATTCCAATTGCCAGCAATAGATATCTCTATGTGAAGTAGGCTGTTGAATTGTCGGAATATTTGATTGGAATGCACTCAGCACCTCACAAATTTGATTGATGGATGCCAAAGGGCCAGACATCTGGAGTTGATTAGGTGACACAAACATGAAACAGCTGGCTGTAAAAAAATGGTTCTCAAGAGGGAATGTTAGAGGGATAGATGGCAGCCATTCTGTAAAGAGAGAGAGAGAGAGGAAAAAAGAAACATTCACCCTTGGACAATGAAATAGAAGAATATTATAGGACATTATTGCATAATGGCATTATTAACTACTACTTGAACAGAATCCCTTGCACACTTTGTTTTGTTCGGTTCATTACCACCAATTGTTTTCCTATTCTCACGAGGGAATACAAATTTGAATGAGAAAGAAAGCTTGCAAAGAATTTTGTAGTGGTAGTAAAATGACACCATGTGAACGGCCTATTGGCAGCAGTGAACAACCCTCCCCTACAAAAGAAAATCAAGCATTCTGATAGTGCTTATTAATAGTAAGATGACACCATTAAGCAAACAGCCTATTATGTTCTGATTGAAGCCTTTGGCATGGTCGTTTAATTAATTAATTTTTTAATGAATAATAGTGAGTTTATTATCAATAATAGGTTTTACAGCCTCAGAGGACCACATAACACCTTTGGATGCAGCTATTGATGGCATCAGTAAGATAGAAGGCATTGCTTTTACCCTCTTTGGACAAAGAGTTTCAGACCTCAGTGGTAATGCATGTAAGTACTTTAAAGATAACATGTCTGAACAAGACAATAACCTTGAAACAGCATGGGGTCTTAATAGACCTGATTAGTCTTGGTGCAATGTTTTCCAATTTCAGATCTCGAGTCATTCCCAAGATTATCATTTCTTTGTTTAACAGTTGTGCATGATTATGAGAAGACACATGAATTGAGATACAACTTAAACAAAGGATTTCATTCTCTAGGTAATGACAATGGGTCTGAAATGGGTTAACATTGCACCAAGACAAATAGGTCTATTCTCTATTTCTTTTTTTTTTTTTGTTAGTAATGTCCATGATGCATAACCTATTATCTTACCTTTATTTTACAGGTGGTATTGCAGATACTGAGGTAATGAACCCAAATGTGATGGCTGGCACCAGTCATCTACTCGTAGTACTCAACCTTCTCATGTTCCAGCAGCAGTGTGGAACTCTACTTGCCCACCAAGGAATGGTCAGGCAGGCTGTAAAGTACCTAACAGATGGTCTTGTGTTGTCAAGGAAGTTTGTTCTACCATACAGGTAATATAAGTAGGGGTTTTTAAGTGGATGAGTGAATAGGCAGTTTGCTTGATGGCATAATTTTAATCCCATTTCCAAAATGCCCTGCGATTTTTCTTTCTTTTTCAAATTTGTATTTCCTCATGAGAATAGTAAGACAATTGTTTCTAGTTAACTGAATGAAAGAAGGTGCAGAAGAAATTCTAGTAATTGTAGTTAGTGACACCATAATGCATAATAAATAAATTCTTTTTTATCAGTAGAAGGGTGGGGTCTAGTAAGTGACTGAATGGCTGGATAATTATTTGGATAAGTGAGTGAGTGGGTGACCGAGTAGCTAGTTGGGTTAGTGAGGGAGTGACCTGATTTGTTTTGTGATTGAGTAGGTGATTGGTTGGGTTAGTGATTCAGGAGTGAGGGCAATGAAGAAAGGAAGCGATTTTATGCATGGTTGGGTAGAACACTGAAAGAGTGAATGGATAAATGAATAAAAAACATTAGTCCTAATGATAGGGTAATTTGTTTCTGTTTTACAGAGTGGCAGAGTTTGTCACCAGTTTATCACTTGTAAAAACACAAAAGGGAGAGTTCAGCCAAGCCAAGAATGACCTCCTTCATGTAGCTCACACATTAGCGCCAATTCTACAAAGTGACGATGAAAGGACTGAAATTGAACAGTGTCTGGAGACCCCTCCACTGGTTGATCACCCAAAGGTTTGTCATTGCATCTGCTGTAGTGATCCTGCTGTGCAATCCATTCTGATGGGATTTTTCCTTACTGTTGCTAAGTATTTGGGATCTATATCACATCCTAAAGACTCTATCAAAGCTTTAGAGGTAACAGAAAGGCTAAGCTCTTTTGCAATTCAAAGGATGACAGCTTCACTGAGTGAATTCTCTAATACTCTGAAACTTGGTTCTGGGAACGTACCAAAAGAGGAAGCTGATGAATCAGTGGGAAAAGGAAAAAAGAGAGGAAGAAGCAAAACTGCAAAAGCAAAGCAAGCAAAGAAAGATTATCCTTCTGGAGCAAACCAGGATTTATCTCAAACATCTATAGCAATGTTCAGTTTGAATTTAGCTGAGACATTTGTTCAAAATGCAGAGATTTTGATCAACAACAATAAATCCAAAAAGGCCTTAGATGTGATCGCATCTGGTATGGAAGTGATCCAAGACATGGAGAAGATGAATGGAGGATCATTACCCCCTTCGCTGATCCATATTACTTCTTGCTTGTATTATCTGAAAGGTTTAGTCCACTTGAATGTAGCTCTTGGTATAGATAGTAAAGGATTGGATTTGATATGGGAATTCCCTGATGGACAATCAAAAGGTGATGAATGTGGTAATGCACTCAATTCTACACAGACCCTTGATGCTGAGGAAGAAAAACCAATAGAGAAAAGGAAACGTAGTGCAAAAACTAGGGGTAAAGTAATCGATGAGCCTGGTGTTGGTCAGAAAACAACAAGAACAACAACATCAGGAAAAGGTAAAGGCAGGAGCAAACGAATCGCAAACCAGACAGTTATTGAACAACATGAAGAAGATGGGATTCCAAAGGCTGGCAGGAAGGTTGATGGTAGAGGTGGAAAAAAGAGCAAAGAAAAAGCAAAAGAAGTTAACCAAGGTAAGATCTTATGTTCATGTTCAATATGACGAAAGAAGGATTTACCGTACTGTGAATGTGGTTGGTTTGAAGTCATTCCCAAAAGAATGGAATGCTACAAGATGTGGCTACTATAATATATGTTGGTTGTTATCACAACAACCAGCCCACCTATCAATTAATGTTTGGAAGTTGCCAGGCAATTGTTGCTCATATTACCACTCTGCATGCAAGAATATTTTCTTGTTGCGAAGAGTAGATGTAGCTTTTACCAAGTGCAAAAAAGAAAGTTCCTTTCACATGAAATGTAATACAAGAAGCATTTCCCTGTGACTTGTGATGTAACAATGTCCTGTGAAAAGCTTTCTGACATGCTGCTTCCCATGTTACCATACCTTAGACACATGACTGCTGCATAGGTCTTTTCTGAGTTCAAAAAATATCCTGATCCATTGTGTATTGGGTCCTAGATTTGGTACAATAAACCATCAAACAATCAATCAACAAGCTAAACCACAATGCACCATGATGTCCATGCAGTAATGATGGTCACTTCCTAATGCCTTCTAGGAAATACTGAATTCCTTATAATAACATACATTTTTTACTTTGTAGAATCTGAACTGGAGCTTTCCATAGCCATGTTTACCAATGCCTTAGATCTGTGTTGCTGGCTGCCACAACCTCAGCTGTTTTCTCAGCTGTGCCAATGTCTTACTTTATGTTATGGAAGAGCATCTGTTGACAAAGCAGTGTACTATCTTAATCTGTCTCTTGGGATCACACTAAGATATGAAGCTGCAAATAGTTCTAGGAAGAAGATCAGGTATACCCTGCAAAACCATTTCAGACAACCTGTTATTACCTTGATTCTTTGTTTGAGTTGTATTAATATTCATTTGTCTTCTCATGCACAACCCTTAAAGTGCACCTAAGCTCTGATACAATACTTTATGTAGAATCAATACTGAAAGTATTGTATCAGGGAATATAGGTGCACTTAAAGCAAAGAAATGTTACTCTAGGGAATGACACATAAACTGAAATGGAAAAACATTGCACCAATAAGAAATAGGTCTGTGGACCTTTCCCAAATAAGCTTGGTTCACCATCAAACTGTGACTTCAAGTTGAGGTTGACCTTGACTTTGAGACATTGTTTTGAGGTCACTCAAACCAATTTGAGAAAGGTCTTTATTGCCCCCTCTCTCTATCATAATTTTAGAACTGTAACTGTAAGACAGCCACACTTTGCAACACTTCAGTCTGCTTAATATTAATTTGCTCTTTGTGATCTTGATGCATTTTCTTTATCTGCAGGAAACTGTTAAAAGAGAAAGATGAGCCACAGGTATAAAATACAGAACATGTTTCAAGTTTTTCCATTCATTTATCTGATATTAATATCTCTTAATGCTGCAATAAGCTGTTGTTGCTCTTGTTGTTGTTGGTGGTGGTGGTGGTGATGGTAGTGCTGGTGTTGGTGCATTGTTTCACTTGTCCTATGCTGATAATTTTTCAGGTTTTGTCAAGTGACATGGCATCACTTACCAGTAAACTAGAATCCATATCTATACAAGACAATCAAGTACATGCTTCTGCAAAAACTATCCAGCATCTTCAAGGGACCAGACAGTTGATGCTGTTCCCCTCACACCAAACACAGCTTGATACTTCAAGTATACCAAAAGGTGATTGAAAAATAATGATATGCAATAGACCACTTTACTGATATGCCGACCATCTTGAATTATGGCACACTGAGGGGGTATTGTACCTGATCATTCATCAGATGATTGATCAATGATTAGTCAACATTGTTGGACCATTTTTTATGTGCATTACAACTTTATGTTCTAATATCCATGATTTGTCATTACTAGAATGGACAGTATGTACATTGGCATCAGTGCAGACACAAGGATGTCCTTCACAAGAGCTAATCATATGTACACAAAGGTCTGGGAGAGATCCTATTCTTGTCAAGTTACCCATGACAACTGTAGATGATGCTGATGACACTGAACCTCATGTAAGTAGAAACTGTCCATCATATAATATGATGATGATGATGTTAATGGAGGTGGATGTGGTTAAACTGCTCTGAGGGGTTTGATATTTACTTTGGATATTGTTGTAGTTTCTTTGTTTCTTTATTTATAATAATAATCACAGTAAACTACTTGAAATGTGAAATGTGCTAAATAACAAACATGGCGGCTGCCAGCTAACATGAGTAAAGTAATGCCTTGGAATGTGGGGACTGGTAACGAGTATTAAGTCACGTGATAATATGAATATATCTAGCAGATATGACAGACTTTATTATGATGATTGTGATGAGGATGGCAATAGTAATACTGGTAGTGATATCTCACTGTGCTTGTGGTTCCACTTGAGTTTGGATAATATCCTGACACCATTCCATGTTCAATAAGAGTACAGACCATAGAAAAGGGACCTCCATTTGCTAAATTGATGATGCTGGAAGTGGTGGTGGTGTTGGATGGCAGATGCTGGGGATTGTAGGTGGAATGTTATACTGTGAAGGATGGTGAAGAGGATTGTAATAGTATTATTGATGTGGTAGTGGTGATCATCAAAATATATGATATAAACAATGAGGCATCTTTAGTGATATAGGTTTTTTTCTATTAAGACAGTGTTCCTAATGTTTTTTTAACAGCTAAATGATGAAGTCAACAAGGCAGTCCTGGACATGACCAAACTATTCCAGGGAAGCATACCAGAGGAATTTTCTGATATCATGCAAAGCAGCTTGGACAGCATGGGAATTAATGATAATAAAGAATGGTGTCAAACTAGATCTGCCTTGGATAATAAACTAAAGGTGAAATATGTACCCTTTGGTCTGACTAGCAATACTGTATGAAATATTGTTATGGAAAGAATTTTTCTTTCATTAGAGTTTGTTTTAGTTGGTTTAAGAATTCCTCTGGCAATTGTCTTGAGATGTCATGAAATTTCTAGGAGTTATGATTAAAAAAAAAATTATATATATATAATTATATATATGTGACAAAATGGTTGTTGCAACTTGTTTTTACAATTTTATTGAGATAAGTTACACCATCATTACATGACAAATTGAAATTAGATAACTTGATAAGTTTGGTAATTGTTTTGATATAAAATTAAAACTCTTGCAAGTTGCGGCAATTATGGCAAGAAGTAGGTCAAGGTAGATGTTATCAAGGTTTACAGCAACAGTTCATGCAACAAAGTTGTAATACAAGTTTCAAGAAACCTTACCTAGTTCCTAGAGTTAGAGTGTGTTAAAGTCGATTGTACTACACTTACAGTCCTTATAGAATTGCATATACTGACAGTCGTTAATCCTTCATAGGTTTTACTGGAAAGACTAGAGAATTCTTGGCTTGGGATTTGGAAAGGTGCACTCCTGGGCCAACACACTGACCCACATTTACAAGAAACACTGGAGCATGTGTCCAAGGATTTGGTTAAGAAACTAGAAGATCATGTCCAAAGACCCATTGACAAGGATTTGATAGAGGTATTGGTCTTAAAATCATTGAATTGGAGATTGGATATCATAATTTGTAAAACGTAACAGTTACAAAAGCTTCACAGATTATTATTACAACAGATTAAAAATGATTATTGCACAATATTATGTTTCCCCCTAAATTTAAGGTTTTTAAATCATGTTCTGTTATTAGATACTGGTGGATTCATACCGTTTCCTAACAGAAGAACAAGTCAGGGAAGCACTATCAAAGATCACTGGTCTGCACCCAAAAGCACCAGATCTTGACAAGGTATCGCTAAAGTTCGTTTTGGAGTAGCTCATTTCAGACCACAAGTCATTCTCTTGAGAATGAGATCCTTTGTTTGAGTTGTATCCATATTCATGGGTCTTCTTATGCACAACTGTTAAAGAAAGTAATGATACTCTAGGAAATGAAATCTGGTCCAATATGTTTCATTGCTTTCTATGGCAATGTGATTTTGAAGCTGTCAATGACAATGGAGGCCAATGAAAAAATCTTTCAATGTCATGAAGATTTTTCACTTAATAAAAGCCTACATTTCCAACTCTTTTTTGGGAGGCCTAGATTGTTTTCATGTTTTCCTTTGGGAATTATGGCTCAGATGATCAAGTTAATGGTAGTCCCCTCCCTAATTAACTAGAGACGCTAACAGAGGACCACAAGTTTATCAGTTGAATTACTGTCAAGTGTTATCCTCTATGAACAAAGTTGATTTATTATTTATTTATTCATTTTATTATTATTATCCTTTGTTGTTACTGATAACAGGTTGTCCAAGACTATGAAATGCTCGCCAGTTCCTTGGTACCTCCAAAGAAAAGAACATCCAAAGAAAAGTGAGTATTTGCATGTTACAAATTTAAAAAAAACATTAAAATGGCTTCTTTGCTTTAATTGACAGTATTTTGTAACGTTATTCTTTAGGAAGAGATGCCCCAATGTGAGTGAACGTCACCCTGTTGTATTAATTCTTGGAAAGGTAATTAACACATTAGTTTAGAGCAGTTTTTGTATGACTGTGAAGGGCTCAGTGCCATAAGCATGCCATGCCGTGTTGTTTTCTGAAACTTTAATTGGCTGATGTTTTCCCTCTCAAAATTTGATTTGATCACCTTGACATTATCTTGTCCACTTTAATCCTATGCTTCAGTCTCATCTGTCTATGTTTATCATGTCAGATATAATATATTGTCATAAATGCACTTTTGACACTATAGCTTCAAACAGTGTTACAAATGCTACAGCATTGAGTCTGATAAGTGCTGCAAACTTTACAATAACGGCAAGTGCTATGAATGCTTCAGCAGCTACAAACTTTACAAATGCAACAGCTGTGACAAGCGTTACACATGCTACAGCCACAAAAAATGCTAAAAGCTTCAAGTGCAACATGCAGTTAACGCTCACCGATGCTGCAGTCGTTTCAAATATGGAAAGTAGAATCTTGGCAGTTACATTCATGACTGAATAGTTGGTCAAAGGGAAAATACCAACACAATTAGACAACTTGTTCTCTTAATTTCTATGATGCTTGACACTTACTCTTTTAGAAATCTGGTAGGTGTTTTAATTAACGTAGTTTTGTTCAGTATTCTAATTCCCTATCGCTATTATAGGACATTCAGCATTTACCGTGGGAGAGTATTCCCATCCTGAGGGACCAGCAGGTCACTAGAATGCCTTCCATGCATTTTGTTCTAGCACAGACACGAAAGGTAAACCATTCAGGGTGTAGTAACCCCTTTGAATTGCTTTTTGTAGTTCTAGGAATAATGAAGAGGGAGGGTTGTCTAACAGTCTTTGTTTAAAGGCAAGGAATAGATTCATATACCATTTTCCTCACCTTGAACCAATGAGAAAAAACCAAAGCTAATCAAACTAGAGTCAACTCTCGCCTTGCGGACACCCCAATATTATGGACACCTTGCTATTACGGACAGGAGAAAATCCCCGGCAAAAATACTGACACAGAAATGACCGTAAATAATTTTCACTGTTATGGACGCTTTCATTTACGGACATGAAGTGACGTTCCGAAGGTGTCTACTGTAACAAGAGTTGACTGTAAAGTCTTTGGTTTGCAACACATAAACATCTACCTTCATCTTCCCTTTATCAACAATGATTCTTGATGACATGTAACAGTTCACATAAGAATGTGACCTGAATTTACAAGGCAGTTGTTATACTTCTTATTACAGTCACTATTTTAAAAGTTTTGTTATCCTATTTGAAAACCACAGGCTGAGGCTGATGGGAATTCCTGGGTTATTGACCCAAGCAATGCATACTATGTGCTAAACCCAGAGGACAATCTACCCAATACGCAGAAAATATTTCAAAACTGGTTTGAGAGGTAAGAAGGAAAAAACTACACAATTTGGTAGGGTTACTAGAATTACACAGAGTAATTTTCACACATAGGCCTCAGATCAAATTAGAATTTAGAAGTTGATTTGTATGGAGGAAGGAAAATTTGGAAAATCCAACAAACATTTCTACTCACATATGACACTGAGTCTGCAAATCGAACCTTGGTCACCACACCATCTATGCTTAGGTATGCAACAATTATTACAAATACTACTGACTGTAGTAGTATACTACTAGTTGTTGAATAGCCTCAACATAGGGAAGTAAAGGTTGCATGGCAGACCCTTAGGACCTCTGCGAAGAAGGCTTTTAATTGAGTTGTCCATCTTAATTACACTAATTACCAGTCTATGAACATGTATGAACTGTTACTACAACAAGTTGAAATGGGTAGGAGTTACATGCAAAAAACCTTCCGATGAGAAAGAGTGCAAGATGTACTTTAATTACTTAAGAGAAAAAAATATTACTGATTGTGGTAATATATTTAATGTCAAGTGAAATTGTGTTCGTACCATTAATAATTTGGTCTTACCACTATGACAGTGAATTGAGTTGGGCAGGAATAACAGGCAAGAAACCTTCCCAGGATGAATACAAGAGTGCATTGATGGATCATGAGTTATTCCTGTAAGTTAAAGTATCTTCTTAATTTAACAATTATGACATCCACATCTGTTTAGCTAGTCACTGTATTCATCCCACCTCTAGCTTTTCTTACCATTTGTTTCCAGCTATCTTGGTCATGGTTCTGGGAGGTCATTCTTTAAAGGTGATGACATACAGCGTGTTATCTGTAAAGCTACCACTATACTAATGGGCTGCAGTAGTGCAAAACTCATGGTAAGTATTTCTTACAAAGCATTTTAGCTTGCCACTTCCCCATCACCAAATTGTTTATCTCCTTTGATTAGCGTCTGTGCCATCCTCTTTTACTGTTGTTTGGTAGTGTGTGTGTGTCTGGTTGGGGGACCAAATAAATGCAACCACTAGATATTAATCATAACTGCCAACCTGTTGCTCAGTTGGCTTGGATGACCACATTAATGGCGGTCCTGTCCCTAATTAACTAGAGACGTTAAAAGAGGACACAAGTTTATCAGTTGCATTACTGTCAAGTGTTATCCTCTATAAACAAAACAAGTTAAAGCAAGTTAATAAAATTAACATTAAATGCTTTGATTTCCAGGTAAATGGTGTTTGTGAGCCAAGAGGTATGAGCCTGAACTACCTTCTGGCTGGATGGTAAGTTGCTTTGTAGTGCATGCACATAACATTCCCCATAGTCCACAATTGCTTTTAATATTTAGTTGATCCTTGACATTTTTATCTGAGTAAATGTGAGGTACTCTTACATTATTCCTTGTATCACTAACAACATTGTGCTAATGGTATATCATGTAATATATACAGTATGAGTGGCCGTGTTGCGCGTTGAGCGATTGTATGGCTGATACAACACGGACGTGAATGTTGTAAACAACTTGTGAAATTCATGAATGATTCATAAATCCTTTGGAACATTTTGAATTCATATAATGGGAGGTTAACTTATATAGAGTACTTATACGACGTCTCAATAATGCCAATTAGATACATCCACTAGTGGTTGTATCAAATTAGCATTTTCTTTGTAAGGTTTGTATCGGCTTTACATGATATTCATGTGACCTGAATTCTACAGCTCCATTGGCATAGACCCTCATTAATTATTCATGAATTTGGCAACTAGTTTTATGATATTTTTTATTTCAACTTTTTTTCAAAGTCCTGCTATAATTGGCAACCTTTGGGATGTGACAGACAGAGACATTGATCGCTTTACAAAATCTCTACTTCAAACATGGCTTGAGGGTGATCAGAAATTATCACTTCTTCAATATATCAAGAATGCCAGACAAGCTTGTAAGCTACCTTACTTGATTGGTGCATCACCAGTTGTCTATGGGGTTCCTGTGTTTCTAAAGGATTAACTAAAATGTGCTGGATTTGTAAATCACTTAGAACTGGCCGAGTCACAGAACACTAATTTTGTCTTTTGGGAATAGCCATACAGTTTGTACAGGCCTGCTGGACAGGCATGCCACCTATTTGAACAAACCAAAACCACAGGACACCCACTACCAAAGTTTAGGTTTTCTTCATTTTTCCACTCTTTCTACTCTTTGATGATACCCAGTGGTACCATCCATGCTCTGATAAGCTTGATGTAAACATCAAGGTTCTTTATGAGAATTTTAGTTGCCTTTCTACTCAGGAGGGGTGTTTTAATCTAACTAGGTAGTTTTATTCCTTATTTTATACTATGTTTGCAAGTTACATGGTTGTCCTTTGCTAATACTACCAACATGGCTACCATGTCATTTGACTCCCTTGGAATTGCTTGCAAACCATGATAGAAATACTGTATATTCATGCAAGTCAAACCACTGTCCCTTACTAATCACCAGTTACTGATACAACCCTGTACCATATACATGTAATAGTGACATGTAATAGTAATAATAATAGAACTATAACAGCAACTGTTTTATAAAATTGCTGTTAGAGAAGGCAATCATATAAAAGATGCAGATCCCAGTATATTTTAACAGAGAACTGCTTCCCTTGTGCATGAATTCAACAAACAAAGTTTTTTTTGTATCTTCAGTTTCACTGTTTTATTTCATGTGATATTAATGTCAAGCAAGAAAATGTTGGCATGTCTTACAATAAATATGAAATACACTTTTTCAAGTAGCTTTGCGGGAAAAAATTAATGATTACCCATACGAACGATACTGACAAATATACTATATTCCACACAGTTTTACTAATCTTTTCATTGCTATGCACAAATTGAGACGACAGTCATGACAGGGAAATTGGGCAATACATTTCCATCAATCAAATAAATTGGTTGGTACCTTTGTATTCTCTGTTGGCGGCAATGTATTGGCCTATTTCCCTGTTGCAACTGTTGTCTCGATCAGCGCGTAGCAGTGAAAAGAGTGGTAAACCTTTTAAATTGATTGTTTACACCTTTGGATTGGAAGGTAGTCTGGGTAGTGGCCCTCTGTGAAGAGCAGTTGACATGTACAGGTACTAGAGAAGAGGACTTTACATTGGGGCAATAAGCTATTTGAGGATCACTTAATTGTCATTTTGAAACACTTTAAGCTCCCTAAATTTTAAAACTGCCATTCTTTTAGAAATGTTTTACAGTTGCAAAATGTGTAATTTAATTGAGAAAAGTTTTATCTCTATCCTAAATTATCAAATTTGATCTCATTTGGAACCTTCATCTTGAAGAAATTTGAAAACAGATCCAAAGTCTAGCTGGCCATATCCTTTGTTGCACATAATCCTGAAGATCTGATGCGCCAAGGAACCCATTGGTGTAGCAGTTTTGGTTGATGTTGATGCGTTTTGTGCAAGACCAAGATCCTGAAAAGATAAATATTTTCTTACCATTATTTAACTCGTGCTTCAACCAACTTTCCTTCAATGCAAAATGTATACTGCTATACTGGTGTTTTTGAAGGATTGGGGAAAGATAAGAGCTTCTTTCCTCTTGGCTGATCTAACTCAGGGTACTCACTCAGGCAAACTTACAGATTGAATTGGGATTGAATTAGGTTTTGTAGAAGGAAGGAAAACCAGAGAAAATACCTCGAATCAAGAGTGATAACCTCAACTCACAGGTATTCTTATTGAACCTGAGACACTAAAGGTGAGAGATAACTATGCATCCACTTGGCGACCCTTGATTTTTCATGCTCTTTGGATGTAGTAGCATTCTTCATGAAATCTAAGATGGAACACACATGGTATTCTTACCTTTGCCATGAGAGCTGACATAAATCCTCCTTGATAATCATTATTAGATGGGACACCCTCAACAACTCCTGGGCAAGGGTTGTACAGCTCGCTAGACCAACACCGACCAGAGCTACTGTTGATGATTTTAGCTATCATCTTGGCATCCAGACCAAGACTCATTCCCAGGTTCATTGCTTCAGATGTGCCAATCATGCTGACAGCTAATAACATGTTATTGCAGATCTTGGCAGCCTTTGATGTGAACATTAGATATTAGTTTTACAAGGACTTAGGAAAACCCTCAAATGCTGGGAAAGTAGATTTAGATTAAAAATAATAATGTAAAGCTAATGTTGGGAGCTAATATATGGACAATACGGGATGATCCGCCGAACAGGGTATGGTTTTTCAAGCTTCTTGTCATAAACAGGGTATGCAATTTCACTCAAGTTCCAAGTTCTTCCTGAGTTTCCTGTCGTATTCAGGGTTTCTACTTTCGTATTGCCCAAAACTGGTTATTGTGGTTGTCAAAAAAAGAAAACAATACACGAGCTGACATGATAATATTGAAACAAGAATTCAGTACTGCAATTAATTATATCTTTTGTCATAAACATTTTAAAGTTTTTTTTTGTCATAAACAGGGTACCCCTTTCAGAATCCCAGTGGAACACCCCTACCCAAATCATGACAGAGTACCCCCATCCCCCCGGGTTTACTTAGAGTGAAGTACTTACTTGACCAGTTCCAACAGCCCCTGTATGTATAACATTCTTGCCCATGTGCTGAAGTATTTGTTCTGCCTGTTTGAATCCTTCACTTTGACCTCCAACCATGAATGTGAGTGTGCCTGCTGCTGCTGCTGTGATGCCTATAAGACATAAAACCATTAACAATCTCTACAATTATTAATTATCACATTAATAATAATCATCAATTTCTACATTTTTATCCTTGTTGATGCTGCTGATTTAACCCCTCTTACTACCAATATTTATCTAAAAATAGGTTATTTTACTTAGAGTGACATGATGCTTGCATGGATTTCCAGACCAAATTGAATTAAATTTTAACCCTACCCCAGGGACAAGAACCTCACCGCACCTTTTGAACCCTTATATGAGGCCTCAAGGAAATCTTGGGAGGTGAGGAATTCAATTAAATGAAAATCTAGGGCATGAAGGATAACAACTGAATGGCAATCCTAGGTAAAAGTTACTGTGAAACCTTAGAGATATGCAAGATCTTTCCAAAACTAACCATTGTCCAGGAATAGGTAGTCTAGTGGAAATACAGGGGGGAGCTAAGCAGTTCTATAGATAACTGAACATCTTTGACTCACCTCCTGATACTGGGGAGTCCAGATACATTGCTTTTTTTCCAGATGCAAGTTCACTCATGTCCTTGGCAATGGCTGGATCAATTGTACTACAGTCAACAAGTAAGGAATTTTCTTGGACCTCCCTAGAAAATAGAAGTCATTGCTTTCACAAGGGCAAAACTATAGGTTTCAAATACAATGCTATAAATTCAATATACTTACTTGAGTATTCCACTTTCTCCACTGTATACTTCCAATACATTTGGACTGTCCAGTAAGGAAAAAATGACAAGCTATTAGTAATGACTAAAATCTCTTTTCATTATTGTTTCATATTCTTCATCCAGTAAGTGGGAAAAGGCCATTTGCAGGACATAATAACACAACAACTGTTATTGGATGGAAAAAAAATTGGACATTCTTGATTTTAATAACTTTTACTGGATTACTAACACCATATCCAAAAGCTTTTCCGAAATACTTTTTTCTCTTATAAGATACTTTCAATTTAAAGTTTGTTTGCTATCCAGCAAAGCCTTCCCAAAGGGACCTTTTACTTTATTGCTTTGTTAGCAAAGTGATATATCAGCATGTGACTGTTGCAAATTGCCTATTGTGACTTCTCATGGATATGAAGGGTCTGGTTCAGGTGTTTTAAGACAGAAGTGAGGTGGAGATGAGTAGGAGAATGTGAGAGCCCTCCCCACCAATTCCATATTCTCATAAATCCCCCTCCCCCAGGAGACTTACTCTCAAAGAGATAGGGAAAGGGAACTTGTGGAGGATTTATGAATGTTTTTGGAACTATTCATTCATTCAGTCACAAACCTTGATGGCAGCATGGTAATTATTCTATTAGATCTTGATGCAACTTCTGCAGGACTTTGAGCTGTCTCAGCACCATTCTGTTTTAAATCATCCATAACATCCCGCGAAGCATCATAGATAATGATCTCATGACCACTCTTGATAAGATTTTTGGCCATTGGGCTTCCCATGTTCCCTAGTCCAATAAACCCAATAGCAGAATCCTAATCAAGAATTATAACAGAAACTGTCAAAAATCACAACCGATTTCATCACTACCCGATGATCTAGACAAACGTTGCGACAGGTTTACATCAGCATTAGACTACTGTCAATCAAATAAAATGTTAGTGTACAGTTTCAATGTACCTTTGCATATTTATTTAATATGTAGTTTACTGCTGATAAACCTGTTGTGACATGCATCTTAATCAACTCATAGCAATGTTACAACACTCAGCTTATTCTATAATTAGATTTGAACTTCCAATAGTCCCCTTCATTTCCTTAACTTGCGCCACCTTGAATGGTAACCGTGCCTATGCATCGAAGCAAGAATGACAATGACCTTGCAATGATAGAGACATGTGAATATAATCGTCCAAGGTGTTAAAAAACGCTGTTCTCGCTTCGATGCACAGGCACGGTTACCTTTCAAGACTTTCAAGATGGCGCAGGGAACTTAATTCATCAAAATTTCCTAAGGATGATGACATATATTAATTTTGGAAGTTCAAAATTATGGAAGAAATTTTTACAATCAAAAAAGAATTCCTAAAAAAAATATGAAACAAAATTTCATCCACGTGGCTACTACACAAAAGTACTCACCGAATTGCTACTTCCATCTGTTGACAAGAAAGAGAAAGAAACGTTACTAGAAAATACTGTAAGTTACTATGATTTTAAACGATAGCAACTTACTGGATAGGAATCGAGACAGTAGGAGCCTTGGTGGAAGCTTGGAAATGAGAAGTTTGCTTCGAAAAACTGTTGCCATTTTGTTCGATCAGTGAAATTTTATTTTCCCGGGTAACCAGAACGGCAACAAACTAAACCTAATTAGAAGATTAATCTTGATTGGCCTATGTTCCTGGCGAGTCGTACTGGTCAACGTCTTACGATTGATTAAGTTTAAGACGTTTACTGTGCAGTTAAGTTGTACATCGAGCATTTAAAAATTCTAAACCATTAAGGAAGTGGATTTAAAGGTAATTCCGGTATTAAGGAACGATTATGAACTTTCCTAACTAATTTTAATGACGTCCAATGGCTAGCCAGGATCTATATAGCTTACGCAAGGCTGCGCATAAATGTAGGGAGCCTTTCCGCTGACCAATAGTCGAAGAAAACTTGAACAGATTTTGTACAGAAGAAAGATTCTTTGATCAAAAATATGTCAGGATTTCTTTCAAAAGCAGCTACGTTTGGTCAAAGGACAGTTGCCTTGGGACTGAGTTCCCTGTCTGTTTGTCTTTTGGTTTTATCGTTCAGAGGAGCGTACATCATGAGGCAGAAACGACTTGAAAGAGTAAGACTTATGCAATTAGATGAAAATTCAGAAGAAAAAGTAAAGGTTCGTATTGAAAACTTTGGATTTCTATGTTTTGGTTTGCATTTTGTGGAGCCTGTACTAAGCTTAACATCCGAAGAAAGGCAATAGCAAAGCAGACACTTTGGTATTTTAAAAACTTGAAAAAATATGTGGCGTCGAAACAAGGCGCGTGCACGGTAAACGAGAGATATATACTAGTATATTTTAAAGTCAGTACTTATTTTTTATCCCTGTATATTTACTTTTTTCTTCTTTTAATGAAATCAGGTTTGTTTTGTTTATCTATTTAGGAACAAATATAGCTCAAATGGTTGGACGACAATGTATGAAGCGTTGAGTGGGTTGCCTGTGCTTTCTGTAAGATGATCTTTCATGAAGGAAAACTTCCATTGTATGAGAGAAATGCCACTTCTCCCATAATATTTTTTTCTTTGTTGATGGGTCGAAAGCATTCGGAGTGTCAAAAGACAAAGACATGACAGCCATCAAGTGGCACTAACATGGCTGTGATGACATAACATGCAATCAAATGTGATGTTACTTAAATTCAAACCTTATTTTTTTCATGAAATTTCACTATGCTGGTTATGTGTCATAGAAAGAACCAAACTTTTGCCAAATCAAACATCTTCAAGGAACTTAAGAATTTTATATATAATAACCCAGCTTTCAGGCTAAGTGCCTATCATCAGGGTAAAATGCAGTGTTGTACAACTTTGTAAATCCAATTTATACATGATACATAAAGATAAAAGTGATCTATATGTTCACCCCACTTATACGTAATATGGTCTTGTGGCATTCTTTCTGGAGCGGAAAAAAAGCGAAACTATGACGGACACATGGTTGTCAAGGAGACCCCAGAAACAGAAAAGAATAAAACAACAATTCCTTTTTTATTTATCATACAAAATCTGTGCTAAAAATAACTTGTTCAACCCTGAGTGAAAAAAGCATTTCCACAATAATTTATGAAACATTAAAAAAAAAGAATTGTGAAGTTTGGTCATTAAATATGAAATGGTCCCATTTAACCTGTTAAGAGATAACAGACTTGTTTAGAATATAATAAGCACTAGTTCCACTGCTTTTTCGTTTGTTTACATACTTTTTTTAGACATAAGGGATTAGAAAGTCACTGTTATTACACAGGTTAAATGGAATCATGACCAATTTCTTATTTTAAAAGGAGAGCTCCCTTCCCTACAACAGACCTTATTCATCTCAGTTGGTGCATTGTTTTTCCATTTCAGACCATATGTCATTCCCTAGAGTATCATAATTTTTTTGTTTAACAATTATTGTGCATAAGAGGAAATATGAATATAGATACAACCCAAGCAAAGAATCTTATTCTCAAGAGAATGACACCTTATTTGAAATGTGAAAACATTGGACCAAAATAAATAAGATCTATTACAGTGAGGCTTTTCACTGGCTATGTGAAAGTTTTTATGACCAATGATAACATTAATATGCCTGATGAATGCATGTGTATACAAAAGTCTTGATGTGTCATGGATTGAACTTCTAGTTTAGTCTCTTCAGTAAGTAGATTTGATTTTCAGTCAGTCAAACAGTCTTGTCATGACAAGATCATGCATTTGGTATGAATCCTTCCAGCCAGCAAGGGATTTGGCAACTGCAAGCATCAACGAGCCTTAAGGAAGAACATTGATTCCTTTTCCATTCCAATGAGTGCAGTGAGATTCAACATCCATGTTGCTGGAAAATGGATGGTTGAATTATTTTCAATTCAAAGGTGTTTCTGCACTTTTTGCTTAAATAAATMTTTTCCTCAAAAATAAATTACTTTGACTCGACATTCTTGATCAAGTCAAACCGCTTGGCCCTCCAGATTTCATTTGAAGTCTTCAATTACTACTTTCTTTATCATTTTCATAATACTTGTTGACCTGTGCAAATATTATATATTAGTCTTAGTTCATGATTTATGTTTTATTTATTTATAAGCAATATTTTGACAGGGCAGTCCAATTCAGCTGGGACTGGTTTAAATGGAGGCTTGTACACATAACTAATAAGTTTACAAATACTGCATGAAACTATAAATAATGGTCTTGCATTCGCCAACTACTAGATAAGCTTATCACTGTCCAGCAAACAGAAAATTACTTTTTTTCATAACTATATAGTCTACTAAGTCCAAGAAGACAGGCCTAAAGTAAAAACAGAGTTTTTGAAAAAAAAGCAAATTATTTGGAAATGTTGTAGTGAACTAACTCCACATGCACTAACACTACATTCGCTATTTACCACAAACAACACTTAACTCGCATGTTGATTTTTAAGGGTGAAAAAAAACAGGAGAAAACCCCTCATGGCAGGGGAGATAAAAACACATCAAACAAACTCAACTCATATTTGGTTCAATTAAGACTTGAATGCATGACCCCAGACTTGAAGTACACAGCAGGGGCCTATCTAGAGTTTTGAGAGGGAGTGGGGGAGGGGGTAACAAATCCAAGAAGGTGCACCTTTTGCTATACTAACCAACTATTTCCAAGCTACAACGGTGGGGGTTGGAGGGTCACAAAATTTAGAAGATGCACCTTTTGCTATACTAACCAGCTAATTCCAAGCTGGAAAGTGGGGGAGGGGTCATGGGTACCCTGGTACCCCCCTCTAGATATGCCCCTGCACAGTGGTAAGATTGCTTAGCTGTGCATGCTACCCCTTTACTCGCATGAGATGCTGAGTCCAGGGATTGAACCCAATATTCCCAGAGGTGAGTATTCCTGTCATGTTGGGATGTTAGTACAAGAAATGAGAGAAATTACTGCTTGTATACACTTACAATTCCTTTGATGTAAGTTAAAGCCTGTTCATCTTTTCCGTCTTTTGGATGAATGTTCTCTGTACTGTATGGTGGTGAAATAATAACTTTATCCATGATAACAATATTCTTTTCTTCCCAGTATAATTCATTGAATCTGAAAGAAAATCAATCACTACTTTCTTATTTATGAAAATTTGGTGGCAGTGATTCTTACCAATCGTTTTCAAAGCAGCTCGTACAGCTCGTGCAAAGCTCAAAGTTCAACCTTAGCCTTAGAGATCAAATTGGTTGCTCCAAAGCTTGTTTTACACCCTAATTTCATAATGATGTGGCCAAAACATCTCCAGACATGAAGCCCTAGTAATGCAAATCTCCCACCTCCTACCCCACCCCAATCCACACAATTCTAAATAACACTTACTGTTTAGCTATCACATCAAACAATTTTTGTCCTTCAGGAGTAACATCGATTCCAACTCTACTAACAGCAAGCCTTTTATCCTGAATCTTGCATTTCGTTCGTTTTTCTATTTTCTCAAGGTCAATGGCAGGAAGTGATTGTGCTGGTTTGATTGATTCTTTAACTATCTCAAAGTTACTTAGATTTGAAATATTGAACATTCTAACGTCAGAATTTCCCTTTTTAGATCCCTTGGCAGTAGGTGTTTCTAAGGAGAACGTCGTTAAGGAAATTTTTTTTTCACGCTCTTAACGCGTTTTCTATCAACTTCAACAAGATGAAGAACATGGCAATAATTATGATACACATGAAATTACGAAACTATGTCTGGGAAAATTCCCCAGCCTAAATCAATAATACATACACGACAAATACCACCAAGCTATAGTATACTCTTATCGCACTTAATCACAATACAATTGAAGGGCATAAACATTTGATCCCAAAGAAATTGGAAGAAAATGCTTCGTCACCTGATCGTTCGCCAAATCATTATTCCTCCCACTGTAAGCTTTATTTATTGCATAAGGTAGTACCAATGCAATTAGATGCATCTTTGATGTTTAACACTTAGAATTAATTGACTAATTATATTTTGTCTGAAGGAAAGACACTTCTTAGATATGAGAAAATTAAATATTCTCTGAATCTAATTCATGATCAGATGCATATGAGCTTCGAAAACGTCAAAACTTCCAACACTACGACTGACTTTCAAAGTTAACTGAACGAAAATAAAGGATACTTATGACAACGAACTTGGTTCCATAATCAAAGGCCATGACTTCTCCTTCAAATTTCTCGTTAAAGATGGTAGTACAGGCGACGATTGTGCCCGGTGGAATATCTTTTCCATCCTTCATTCTTCCGCTCTCGCTCGTCGCCATGTTTCTTGCCACCGGTACGTGTTTTGTTAGCGCGTGCTGCGCGGGAGAATGAGTTCCTGTACTGTAAAGAGATTCTAGCTTTTCATCAAAAACTACATTCATATTTTTGTAATTTCACCTAAATCTCTTAAGAATGAAATATTTTAAGAGATAAATAAATTTATGAATGTACTAAGAATGTATAAGTGTAGCTTTATTGAAGAAATCTTTATTGAAGGTTTCTTTGGTACAAATAAGATTGTTATTTTTCCTGGTATCACTTTCTCTTTACACTACGCTATAAAATAGGAAGAAGTACCGCTGAATCAGGCGCACAAACAAGATGGCGTCCAGCTGTAAAGAGGTAAGAGTAGAACAATTTATTGTTTTCTTTTATTTAATTTCCATTAATCTTATAACCTACAGTTGTGCAATGAAAAGTATCAATTCTTCTAAGGCTCCGCGTCAGTTGGGTCGATGTTTTGTCTAAGAACGAAAGCTACAAGTAATTTATTGTCCTGTTGCATGATCAAACATTTTTGCAAGATTAACTTATGTTTTTCATCTTTGCGCTGTTCAAGCTTGCACTGAACTTGAGATATCTTAGTTGTATTGTATAAAGAAGATCATGTTCAAAGAGGAACACATAAACGTTGTAGCACAAATATGTTGATTGATTAATTGACTGATAGTTTTTTCAGCTCTGATATGAAATTTTACTGTTTTTTAAGGATCTAGATCAGTTGCTGGCAGGTCTTGCTTCCATGGGGTTTGAGCTGGATGACTGTCAAGAAGCACTGCTAGCTGGTCATATTACGCTTGAATCTGCAGTGGAATGGTATGCATGTAATGCATGTAGGAAATAATGAAAAATATGGTTATGAAACAGGTTAGATGGGAAATGAATGGGAAAGATCAATTGGTACCCATGCCCTCCCCCCTTAGGAATAAAATGAATGTCTTGTTTATTTTAAATGTGAGTGGAAACAATACAAAGTGAAGCCCTTAGTTGACTATAGGTAGAATGGAAAGGATGAACTCATTAAATATTGACTAGACAAAAGAAGGCAGGCAAATTTCATGAACCAGAAAAAAGAATACTTGTTATCCTCAACTCAATATGTAACATGATTGGATCCAGTAAAAAATAAGAGAAAATGTTTGGGGATTCAATAATCATATGAACCACCAAGTCCAGAAATTTAACCAGGGTTGCCTTGGTAAGAGGTGAGCGCTCTCATTACTATTCCACCAGTCCTCTTAATAGAGGAATCAGTGTGGTGCTTTTCCTTTTTCAGAGTAAAATGCTTTTTGTTTTATTAATAAATATTACTTTCAAAACAGGCTGGTGGAGAAGAAAACCAATCCCTCTGCCACAACAGCTGGAAGAAGTGACAAGAACTTACAGGTACATTAGAGTGGCTTTTGAATATCAGGAATTGTTAGAGAATGTGCTTGAAATGATTCTCCATGTCTATATTTCCATCTTCATAGACTGCCTATTAATTGTGATATCTTCTTAAGTTAATGATTTTTATCTTAAGGAGAATAAAGAACCATCTGGCAGTGGTATATTTGAACAGCAGGAAATAGGATCAGCTGACCATCAGGTTTCAAGTAGATATTCACTGACAGAGGAAGGAAGGAAAGCCAGGGAAAGATTTATAGAAAAAGAAAGAGAAGTAGCTCGAACTGAAGCTAAAAAGCGCAGACTGGAAGAAAAGAAAGCTAAAGAACAGATACTTATGCAGATTGCAGATGACCGGGAAATAAGAAAATTGAAATCTGGTATTAAATCTGAGACAGTATCAGAAAAAGCTTCACCAGCAGGTAGATGCATCTTGGGTGTCACAGATCTTGTGTGATTTATATTATTAGCTTAGATAGTATGTGCACTCTGATTGGTCAAGAACTGTGCTGTAATACTGTGCTGTAATACTATTCACATTTTTGCAGCTTGCTTTTCAAAATAGTATTTAAAAAAAAAACAGCATTGACACTACTGACAGTGATTTTTTATTTTCAAAGAATATATAAGAAAACAAATGAAAAAGCTTTTTATCATGCTCCATTCAGTAACTCAGGACTCAAGAACCACCCATCATACTAAAGAAGTTTAATTTTTTCACACTTTTGAATATAAAAAAGGGATTTAACTGTGGCATTTCTCCAGAGTAGCTCTTCATCCACTGTATTCCACTTGGAATTTAGAAGTTGATTTTTGAGGAGGGAGGAAAACAGGAGAACCCAAGGAAAATACACAAAGCACAGAAGAGAACCAACACCAAACAAGCAAATCTACTTACATCTACTTACTCTACTACAACACCAAGTCGTGAAATCAAACCCGGGTTGCATCTTATCAAGATGTGAGCGTTCTCCATGCTACACCACCCACTCTCTCCTCACTTCCCATTTTATTTCTTGTCAAAACATCGAGATACACGTACTTGATAAAGTTTTTAAATATTGTGAAATAGTTTTGGGTTCAACTGAAGTAGAAACTCAAATGTAGTGGATAGAGGTGGGGTGGATGGGATACAATGTTCAACCCATGAAAGAGCACACTTTACTCTGAAGGGAATACAAAAATTCTTTACCTTTATTGTATTTGATTTTCTGATTTTTTTTCATGCATGGTAATCAGAAGAGGGTACAAGCACCAGTCAGTTTTCCAAAACCACCAAGAAGGAGTGTTTGATGTGTAGGCTACAGGTAAATTAGATGTTGATACTGGGATCTATTTTGATTCATACTTTTCTTTTTCTTGCATGCCACTTGAAACTCACTGAGTCTTGAGCAAAAAGGGGATCTTTTTAAAATAATCTAGCTTTTGATTTAGTGGCCAATCATGTGGAAGTAAACATAAGGTCTATTGTATTATTTTATTTTCAGGTTAGGTTACCAAGCAGCCAAGTTAAAAAGGGCAATGTACCAGTCAAGACCAAACTAGAGCAAGCAGTCACTTTAGTGTGTAGTGACTCTTCTCTCAGAACTGGAGAGGTAGAAATACTCCAGGTACTAGTTATAAGAATATTAATAATAATGATAATGATGGTGATGATGATGATGATGTGATGATGATGATGATAATGTGATAATGGTGATGATGTGATAATGATGATGAATGATGGTGACGATGATGGCATGATGATGATGATGTGATGATGATAAAATGTTGATAATGTGATGATGATGACAATTGTTTTTATTTTAGAGAGGGTGACACATGATAGTTGCTACCGTATTAAGCATTAAATATCTAAATAAGAGACAACTGCTATTTTGTGTGGTCTTCATGCAATTCTTTTAAGTATTTTTAGAGCAGGGGTAATTAGTGATATTTTGTTTCAGCCATTTCCACGCAGGATTTTCACTGCAGTTGAATTGGAGTCCACTTTGGAAGAACTAGGTCTGTGTCCATCAGCTATGGTCGTCGTACAGAAAAAGAACCGTCATTCACTAGCCACAGGTATATGCTTTTAAGTAAAGGGTAAAGCCATACTATTAGGTTGGGTATTCACAGCAACTTGAATACTTTTCACTCAGGAAAATAAGATGTCATGAGGTGTCATTCAGTGAGTGCTGATGCTATGCAATGTGGTATTAGACATATCCATGGCAACCATGTCACACTTGTCACTCTTAAAAATAAGACTATGATCTTGGGGTTACACAATGATTTCACTGGATAAGATTTATCTGTCGGATAGTGCTATCCACCCTTCATACAACCGGACCCTGAAAAATAAGATGGACCTGAGGTGTTATGCAAAGGGTGTCAAACTGATGGCATATGTCTATGGTTTCTAGTTGAGCTGGCTCATTTTTTACGTGACTTGAAATTGTGAAAGGCCCATTGGCCCTCAGTCGTTTCATACAAGGGTTGTAATTTACCTATTACGCATGTTCTTATATGATTTCTGAGCCCATCCCACATGGCTTACCCCCTCATCTCTTATGGCATATGAGGTCAGAGTTATCCATAGTAACCTAGATAACCTTAATCTCTATCCCAGAGAATAGGCTTCTCTCAGCCTAAGAAAATAATTAGCCAATTAATGAACATTTTCATTTGTTACTCTATTTTTTCCTTGCTCCAAATTTTGGCTTGATAAACAACAGCTTTACTAAAAATACAGAAAACTAAACTTATCCATGGAAAGATTCTTCAAATATGCTTTAGAAATAGCATATTTTGTGGCTGTGAAAACAATGCATTGTGAGGCTAGATTCCAAATCACCCGGTGGTAATTTTACTTTTTTTTCCATTTATTTAGACCTTAGCTCTGGCACAGCTTCTGCCCATTTGGTGGAGCCACCAGAAGCTGAGCAAGGAGTTGCTGGAGCAGAAGGAGATGGACCAAGTAGCAGTGACAGGGGCAGAGTCCAACCTGGTGTCGAAGTTGGTCTAGAAAGAATAATCAATGACCTTCCAAACCCTCCTGGTTTGGACATTCCTGGTATTGGAAGAAACCAACCACGGCAGCATCAGTGGGGAGAGGGAATGAGACTAGGAGCAGTTAATTACAATCCTCATGCTATGGAACCTGTCTTACAAGCTAATTCAGCTGGAGAATCTGCTGCAAGGAGAATGGAAATGAGAGCACAGCTGCTGCAGCACAGGCTGGCTGGTAAGGGTTACTTTAGTAAAAAAAAAGACCTGAAAATCATACTTCATATCCATGAAAGGGATGTAGTGTGTTGGTCGTTTGGTTACATTAGTAAGGAATAAGACCTGAAAATCATACTTCATACCTTGTCAGAAAGTGGTTTGAAGCTAATTGAGAATGTGGTAAATTCTTGGTAGTGTGTTGGTAAGTTCTCCGTATGTTGGCAAGTTGACGGGTACTGGTGAGTTGTTCAAGTGCCATCAAAATGTATGAAAGAATGCTTCTGATCCAAATTTGAGCAGATTTATTTTGGGGGGGGGGGGGGGGGGGGGGGGGGGGGGGGGAGTTGATGGCAGGTTCCAGATTAAAAATTCCATGAGTGTTGGGCTAGTTTGGCACTAGTTTGTCAATAGAGAGTCAGAGCCTTACTGGCAGGATAATGATTATACTTATCTGCACCTTTCTATTTATTAGTGCATTTGATCATATTAATAAATGGAAAATTGCAAAGCACAAGTAATAATAATAATAATAATCATCATCATCATCATCATCACCACCACCATCATCACCACCACCATCATCATCATCATCATCATCATCGATATCAGAAGTTCATGAAAGAAAATAAAATTTTTAAAAATACACTCTCAGAGATTTTGCAATGCTTAAAAATTTGAAGATAATGCTGCTGGCTGAAAATGTTCATCAATTATTAATTAATTATTAATAAATTTAATTAAATTAGATGCTGCTAAAAGTCCTCCACCAGAACAACCCCACCTCCACAGAGAAGTGAGAAGCTTAGAGACGATCTGTATAGACAACATTGTTTTAAGGCTAGCAGGGCACCCACATTTACAGCCATTAACCACATTAGGGACTCTACCTCACAAGGTGTGTGACAAGATAATACACCAGCTAATGAAGAGCAAAGCTCTCTCACCAAAAACAATGCAAGCCTTCTTATCCTGGTAAGTCTTGTAACAAAACTACATTTGGTATTTTTGTTAAATGGAGTTAACCAATGATAGCAGGGGCTTCATTAAGTGTCAGGGATTGGAGAATACTCAGGTAAATGAGCAAACTTCTCCGGTTTAAACTAATTATAGCATATAAATTTGCAAACTGTTCGCTTAGACTTGCCAGCTAGTTAGCTCATGATTTTCTTGTATCATTTCAAAATGGAATGAAACTCCTGGAAAAGATGAATCTTTTGAATGACAAAAAAAGAGGGAATTATGAGGAACAGCTTTTTTTTATACTTTAAATTTTAATAAATTTAATGTTAATGCCATTTCTCCTATAGTCAAGATTATGACTTGAAACACTGCCCCCTTTATGATATTTAGACACTCTTTTTATTTCGCTGTTCATTTTAACACAACTGCTCTTTTAAGAGGGAAGGAACATGTGACTTATTAGCATGTAAAGATTATCTATATTATTTTGGTCAATTGTCATAACTAAATTGCCAGCCAATAAACTACTGGATTATGCAACGAAGCCAATTGGTAACAATTGCACAAGTATGTTATCATGGTGCTTATAGTACAAGTCTATAGATCAGTAATAATAATAATTGTCATTACTTCCAAAGCTGTCTTCGATATCTTAAGCTGGATTGCTACTTGTTGGTAACAAATGAATTGCTTACTGTACTGAGGTATGTCATATTGTGGCACTGGAGAAAACTTTTGCACCAAAAATGTAATGTACTTTAAAAAAAATCCATATACCTATTTAATCATAAACAATGAGTTTGGAGTCTGAATACGTTATCCTCTGAATAAGCACTATACAGGCCCGCAAATGATCCCAGGACCGCAAATGATCCCAGGACCGCAAATGATCCCGGGACCGCAAATGATCCCCGAATAGGACCGCAAATGATCCCGGACCGCAAATGATCCCAATACTGGATCGCAAATGATCCCGGACCGCAAATGATCCCAATACTGGATCGCAAATGATCGCGCAATAATATACGGAATGGTTTGGAGTGGGGGAATCCTCAACATGGATAATTATTGTGACAAACATTTATAGTTCTTTTGTTCATTTAAAAAATGGGAAGATAATAATAATGAAATATGGGTTGTATGCAAGCTGTATCACAACTTTCCAGATGTATATATGTGAATATATTTCGAAGCAATAAATTATTATGTATCTGTATACATTTAACATGCGATCCAGTATCGGGATCATTTGCGGTCCAGGATTATTTGCGGTCCTATTCGGGGATCATTTGCGGTCCCGGGATCATTTGCAGTCCTGGGATCATTTGCGGGCCTGTACAGCACTATCCAGTGGATAAAAGCACTATGATGCAGAAATAGAAAATGCGCCCCCGTTCTATGTGCAGTCATAAAGCATGCGGGGGTTGGCAGAACATGAAAGAAGTGTTAGGAGAAGCACAACGTGTAGCAGAATGCTTCTCGACACTTCTTGAGTGTTCTGCCAATCCCCAAGTGCTTTATACTGGCACGCAGCACAGCAAGCAAGTTTTTTATTTCTTTTATAAAGTGCAAATAACCGTTATTTTAGATAGGAATGATGCAACGGAAAGAGCATGCACGTGCAATGTGCTCTCATAAAGCACACGCTCCAAACCAATCACAACGTGACATTCATAACAGTAGTTTTATAATGAATAATAATCAAATAGCATAAAATTCATAGTAGATAACTCCTTATTCAAGCTTTGTGCAACTGAATCACACCACCTGGATAAAGTTTATCTGATGTATAAAGATTTACCTGGTGGATATTGCTCTTGATGTAAAATATTCCTATTGGTTCAATTTAAACACCTCCGCACTATCCTTGCATCTGTCATGTCATACCTTAACATTATCTTAAAACCATTTTTAGCCATTTTGTTGTTCTACTATTATTGGATTTATTATTAATCTTTTATTCATTTTGTTAGACTTCACAAGCATCTGACATTACTAAGTCTCAAGTCTTGTCCCTTAATTACTGACAAAGCAATGGAGGCTGTGTCAGGTACGTTTTGGTATTGTTTTCCTTAGTTTATCTATTTTTGAAATATGAATAAAAGCTTGCTTGTTTATTTTATTGTTTGTTGTAGCTCTAAAGAAATTACAGTCGTTAAACTTAAACCAGTGTTCACAACTGACAGACAAATGTTTTACTTACATTAAGGGTAAGCCTCCTTATACAGGTACTAAAAATTGACCTTTATTGATTCATTATTCCGTCCATTGGTCCATACATTCACTTATTCATTTGGCAAGTAATCATCCAATCCATTTATTCATTTATCTGTTCGTCCATCTGTCCTTCAATCCGTCCGTCTGTACATCCATCCATTGCATTTATTATTTCTTTTATTCATTAGTGTGATTATTCCTTTTCCAGACTTACCTTCTTTAACTGTGCTTCAAATGGACAACACCAAGGTATTTATTTACACTAAATCATTCCTATGTACCTTCCCATGGTTCCCATGCATGTACCTTTGCATACGCTAATGATTTGTTTGATTGAAGGTAGTCTATACAGTGTGTGCAACCATGTGATCCAAAATCCGATATGAATAACAATGAAACAACCCCCATGTTAGTTGATCTAACAAGAAAAGCTGATGAGAAATGCTTTGCTTACTGTCAACCAAGATGGTAGTTATGACGTAACATGCACATGCTCTATTGCAACTTTTGTTCCAATCAGCATGTATCAATGATAACAATCATATGTCTTTGTTCCAGGTTACAGATCAAGGGGTTTGTTATTTTGTTGCCAATGCCAGCTGTGCCAGTAACCTCATACACCTCAATCTTTGCAGTACTGATATAACAGACTTAAACTTAGATGTTCTAAAAGGTAATTTAATTTCCTCATTTGCTTGACTGACCCTTTAAAATACTGTATTTCTTAATAACTACAAATTTCACATTTCAGACTGCATGTTTTCCCTTGAGTATCATTTCCTCGTTTGCTTGATTGACCTTTTAAAAGACTGTACTTCTTAACAACTACAGATTTCAAATTTCAGACTGCATGCTTTTCCCTTTAATTTTTTTGTTTAACAGTTGCACATAATTGTAGACATGTATGGGATGCAAAAGAATTCAACAATTATAAAATCAATATGATATGTGGTCTGAAATGGCAAAACAATACTCCCAAGATAAATGTGTCTAATTTTAACAATACTTTGTACTACAGTTTACCTCCCTCAGTATAAATCAACTTACGTTGAATGTAATATCTATAGATATTGAAAATAGTATGTGTGTGAGTGTGGATGGAGGGGACACTTCAAATTAGACCTGGTCCCCTTGCGTCCTCCTGGGATTTGCCCAAGAAAGGATGAAGTCAAATTAAACTAAGGCACGAGAACCAGATGTTGTACACTGCCTCTCTCCTTCCACCAAGTATCCAGTACAAGCAATGGCTTTTTCAAATAAAATTCAACTATAAAATATATATATAATTTTGCAGTCTCATAAAGAAATTCTCTTTTTTTTAATCCCCAGATTTAAAGTCACTAAAGATTCTTGGGTTGGAGAATACAAAGGTAATTCTATCTTGTAGCTAGCTTCTGAACTCTGTGAAATTATTCCCAAGTTCTCTTCCAAGTTTTCTCTCTCCGCAAACAATTACCAAAGTTATTTGTTTACAAGTACAATTTGATTTAAAGTGTTATATTTGGGTCAGTTTGTGTCAGTTGGCTTCACAACTTCTTGTTTTTGTTTTTTTAGTGGTTCTACTATCAACATTCTTCAGGGACTGCAGAGCTAGGGGGGCTAAAACCTTACTGTTAAATTTGTCCCCATTTTTGATTTATTCTGTCACTTATTTTCTATTTGATATAGAATTCATTATTCGGAAGAGATTTCTGAAATACTAGCCCTCCCTCCAAATCTAAAACTCACTCCGCAGCCCCTGTTCTTACAAAACGTTTCAAAATTGGAATTCCAAATTAAGGCACAAATTTCATGCATGCAACATAACGATATAAGGTAGCTTAAATTTAAAAATGAATTTCTGTTATAAAACCATAACAAATGTCTTACAGTATTATCAGAAGTTATTGCTTTTCTAATAATTTATAACCTTTGCTGACAGATTACCAGGTTGGATGTTCTGTCAGGCCTTAGCTATCTGGAAAGTCTAAATGTGTCCCATACAGAAGTATCAAACAACAGTATGGCATCACTCACTGGTTTGCCATGCTTAGTGTCACTCAATATTCTGTCCACTGCTATTGATGACCTAGGACTGCAATATCTTCATGGTAACTAGTCTTTAACTGGTTTAACGAGCAAAAATATCCCCTGGTAGTAGGGGTAGTAGAGATTTAGCTACCCGCCTTGTATCGTAAACCAACTAGCTTTCAATGTTGATCATGAGCGCTCTTTATTAAGTGAATCAGGTATTGCAATTACAGCGTGTTAAATCATGTGTTACGTAACATATAGTGTAGACAGACAAGTTAATTATCATAGGCATATAGAGTATGTATCACGTAACACACCTCCCCCCTGCATCTACACTAACACACCCTAATTGTGTAGTTCCAGAAAATATCCATACACTCTACCCTCACAGCAGAGGAAATTTGTAAAAGCATACCACTACCCCCAATAACTTCCAATTTTCTTACATACAAACTCTTTCTCTGATTCCCTCCCCTCTTAAATTCCCAAATCCTCTGTGATTGAGGTATGGATATTTCTTGAAGTACACAATACAGAGAAATAGAGGTTTTGCACCGCCACATGACGGCAGCAAATTGTTAGATGGTAGGAACAATACAATCGTTTTACATGATAAAGAACTCAATTACCAAGAGCAAAGGGATTTTATTGTTATGCCATCCAACCACAGGCAGCTCAAGCTGTATTTTGGGCACCAACACGTGATAATGCAAAACCTTTATACTTGACCTTTAGTGTTCTAGTACATTTTTGAACCTCCCTGACTTCAATGAACTTTCTACCCTCCTTATCAATCTTAATGATATTTTTTAGATCTACGATTAACTCATTTGAAGTTACCTGGGAGACTTAATATAACTGACCAAGGGATACAGCACATTCAAGGTAAAAACTAGTGAGATAAGGAAATATAGTAGAAGGGGTTGGACAAAAAATAAGGTACATCCCCCAAAAAACATTGCATCTCCACTGATTTTTAATAATATTGATGATGAGGATGAAAAGGATGATGATGATGATGGTGGTGGTGATGATGATGATGATAAGGTTGATGAGGATGAGGATTCTTTGATTGTGCATTTGAAAATCTCAATGCACTAACAAAAGTTTAAAAATCAATTAGATATATAATGATTAATGAATAATTATAATGATAATGATAATAATAATAATAGTTGTGATAATATAATTCATAAAGTACTTCAGCAGGAAAGGGTAACAGTTTTTACATCTTTTTTTTCTGTATTTATTTTTTCCATAAAGGAGTTTAACGCATTATTTCAATTTAGATTTAGATTTAGATTATTGTTATAGGTCTACCACTTGCTGCATTAGATTTGTCAGATTATATCAATGTAACAGATGTTGGAGTTCATTGCATCTCAACAATGTACAGGTAATCAGCTTAAATCAAATTGTCATGGCTGCTCACCCCGCTCTCCCTTCGGGCAGGTAATCAGTCATTTCTACTTGGAATTCACTCATTTGTTCCAGTTTTCAGTCCCAACATCAAACAGCAAACTTCATATGAGCTGAACCTAATTAAAACAATGGATAGCAAGGCGGTCTTCTTTGGGAGGTATGGGTGGCGTAACTCATGTGAGCGCTCGCCTCTCATATGTGACCTGAGTTTGAGTCCAACAGGGTTCAACAGTTGTTTGTTGGTTCTCTCCTGTGCTTCAAGGGTTTTCAAGGTTCTCCGGTTTCCACAAAAATCAACTCCTAAATTCCAATTTGATCATGGAATGAGGGCCACAGGTTTGTTAGCCACTGGCTATTAAGTGCTACCCTCTTGAAAAAAGGATGTTGTCATTAGGTTTGGCTCATGTAAACTTTGATGTTTGACATGAGCCTTAGTCCCTCAATAACTCTCATTCCAACACTTACCTGTCAAACATTTTTTTCCTATTTCTGTACCAGCTTGACAAAGCTGACACTGAGTAACACCAAACTAACAGATGTGGGAATGTTGAGTCTATCAGGTATATATACATACATGTTTTAATTGATATCTTATTAATATTTGCTACATATTTTCTAACGTCAATATAAGTATAATTTTTTTACATTTAGAATCACTAGGACACAATTTACACAATACATTTATATGTTTACTATGTTTCAGTATTTAGGTATATTTAGGGAAGCATTGGTGGCGTAGCGGTGAGATCGCTCGCCTCTCACCAATGCAACCCGGGTTCGAGTCCTGATGAGCTCGGTGTCATATGTGAGTTGAGTTGTTTGTTGGTTCTCTCCTGTGCTTCGAGGGTGTTTCGGGTTCTCCAGCTTTCCTCCCTCCACAAAAACCAACTACTAAATTCTAATTCGATCCTAGGAGATATTAGGGCTACGATATGGCTAACCTCAATATCTCCTTTTGCACTCTCACTGATGCGAATGAATTATTGTTTACAAAAAAATAAAGAAAATGAATATTGTGACCCTTTGACCCTGTTACCCTGTGACCCTGTGATTTAGATGTGTTTGTTGGATTCATGCCATTAATCTATATCAGGACTTCGACTTTAATGGGGTAAACTTGATCCTTGGGGAGAGAGAGGGGTGAGAGAAAAGGAGAAAGAAGATTTTTTTATTGTTCCTTCATTTTCCTTCCTTTCAAGAACTCCTTTCTTGTTACTGTCTGTTCTAGAGGCTCTCACTCACTTCCTGGTCGCAGATTTTGTTTTGCTCTTCAGGCAATTGAGTGAAAGCATCTTTGATACTCAGTACACTATCTTGTTGATCTAGTTCATTATAATACACAGGACTGACTGAGCTTGTAGAGTTGAATGTTGATAGAACAGCAGTGACAGATGAAGGATGCATGGTTATCAGTAGTAAGTGCCTCAACAGTCAATACAAAGGTTCTTCATACTCAATCCAACATACCTATTGCCGCCGTCAACAATGTGCTCACATTTACTCATTAGACATTTCTTCGTTGTTGTTCGTTATTCCAATTCACGTGCATCGTAGAGTGAAAAAATTATTAACTGTGCGTGCGGCAATATTTTATATATGCTGCTAATATCGAACTTTCCAAGGCACGCACATCAGAGTGAAAAGATACTGTGCGCGCCGCACTATTTTACATGTAAATATGTGATAATACCGACCTTTCCAATTCACGTAAATATGTTTGCGCGGCACTATTTTATATATGGCGCTAATATCGAATTTTTCAAGGCACGCACATCATAGTGAAAGATACTGTGGTGCGCCACTATTTTGCATTTAAATGTGCGCTAATAACGATCTTTCTCAATTGATGGTTTGCAATCATTCCCAAGGGAATTAAATAACAAAAGACACGGCGGCCATGTTGGAGGATATGACAAAAGAATTCATTGACAATTCTTTTGTTAAGTTCCTCCAACATGGCCACCGTGAAAACCATTATTTCGCGTAAATCTGTGCGCGCGGCTCTCATTTATATATGGCGCTAATATCAAAATTTTAAAGGCACGCACATCATAGTGAAAGATACTGTGGTGCGCCACTATTTTGCATTTAAATGTGCGCTAATAACGATCTTTCCAATTGATGATTTTCAACCATTTCTCAGAGAATTAAATAACAAAAGACACGGCGGCCATGTTGGAGGATATAACAAAAGAATTCATTAACAATTCTTTATTGACAATTCTTTTGTTAAGTTCCTCAAACATGGCCGCCATGAAAACCATCAATTCACGTAAATCTGTGCGCGCGGCACTCATTTATATATGGCGCTAATATCGAATTTTTAAAGGCACGCACATCCTAGTGAAAGATACTGTGCGCGCGGCACTATTTTACTATTTTATCGACCTTTCCAATTCACGTAAATCATAGTATATATAGCGAAAGAATTATTACGGCACTATCTTAAATATACATTGATATTGAACTTTTCAAGGCACACACGTCATAGTGAAAGAAATATTAACTGTGGCTGAGCGTGGCCTAATTTTTTCATATGGTGCTATGATACAGAACTTTCCAAGGCGCGCACGTCATAATGACCGACCCGTTAGCTTTGCGCATGGCAATATTTTATTGCGCTAATATTATTTTATCGACCTCAGAAGTGAGACTAAGCCTGCATACACTGGAGTCTTAAGAGCTGTCAATAGTGCATCTGTGTGCAAATTTGCACTCATATTCACCTGTTTCTATTTCCTTCACAGACTTTCCAAATCTTCAAATTCTCAGCCTTTCTTCTACACATATAAGCAACAAATTTCTAACATGTGGTGTGCTTAATCAGTGCTTAAAGCTGAGCCAATTAAACTTGAGTAGAACTCGAGTGTCCAACAAGGGAATAAGGTGTCTTAATCTTAACTGTCTGACTTCACTCAACCTGGACTGGACAAGCGTCACATCTGATTGTCAACTGTTGCTTACAGGTAGAAATTGGCAAATACTCCTCGTGTTTTTCTTCTTGTTTCGCATGGGACAGTCCTTACTAAGGCCGGCAACCATACGATTTCACCTGCGCGATGTTGTTAGCCTCACAACCTTGTGCCACCTCTTGCACCTAATACTTACTAAGAGCTGTATTTTCACAGTCTTATGGCCATTCCATTAATTCGAAACGATGGGTCGGAGCGGCCAGTTCTCAAATGGTATGCTAGTTTTCAGAACTAGTTTGGGCCATGTTGGTAAAATATATAAGTTGGCGAAACATTGCCATGGCATTTAGTAAAATTTTCTTTGAGAAACCAAACCAATGTCTGTTCGATAATTGATGATAAAATGCACATGAAGACAACTTTTTTTTAATTAATATTTATTTAACGAATATCAACATATTTCTCATTTGACTAACGATCCAACTTTTTCTAGGCTGTCCAGCTCTTAAAGCACTGCGAACAAACAACTGTACCCCTTCCATGGACGAGTCTGATGAAGAGGAAGTTTAATGCAGGAATTTTGGTGGAAAACATGCTATAAAAAAGTTTTAAAACACCAATAATTTAAAGATTCATTTTAATTTATAGTTCTAAAGTGAATACATGCACCGAATCGAAATATGGTGACCAATTTGAATAACTCTTGTTCTGTACTGACTAGCGACTGACTAGCCTCTAATACATGTCAAAATGTTAGTGCAGAATAATAGTTATTTGAATTGGTCATCATATTTCGATTTGGTGTAAAGAAAAATGTAATTTCTTCAGTCGAAGGGTGAATTAGTAAAAAGGCATGACGAAAAATGAGAACCAAAAATGACAACTACAACAAAGTGAATCAAGTGTTTCAAAAACGTTATCGTTATAGCAACTCAGATTTTATTAAGTTTTTATGGTTAATGTTAATAAAGATATTTATTTTCTTAATCTTTTTTATTCGTAAATGATTGATTTTGGTTGGGATACCTGTGTTGCTTTAAAGCACAGGAACCCCAACTCTCGAAAATATGCACTAGTTATGGATAAATATTTATTTATATTAGCTCGGAGGAAATCCCGATTTCCTATAATATTTCTTGGTCGAAAACTTGTTATACTGATGATGAAAAGATCCAAAAAAAGGAAACGATTGGAATATTTTTTTAAATTGGAAGTTCTCCCCAGGCCCTTTCTTAACTTAGCGGGGTTTCAAGCGATCGTCGTTGGAGTTTTGCGTCACGTGTGTAAACTCGTTCTGTGATTGGCTGTAATGGCTTTAAAATAGTTGTGGAGGGAAAAAACGAAATTCTGACAAAGACAACACATGCCAGGGAAAAAGAAAGACAAAATCACACCATTATTCGGTTGATCTTCCCTGTCTTTTTCATGAAAGAAACAGCAATGTCTGCTGCTGCTTTAGTTGGTAGCTTTGACGATATAGTTCGCTCAGCAGCGATTTTAAGCGAGGGAATCGAGGGAGGTGAGTATTGGAACCGCCATGTTTGTATTCATCATTCTTAATCTTATGATTTTTGCTTTTCTCAAGCAACTAGAAAGCCTCAAAATACGATCTAAGCCTTTTTACTTTGTTATTTTTCCGTGATTTGATCGCGTGAACTCCTAAGTAACCTTTAGATTCGTTTGATTACAGAGTTCTTGAAGTTTGTACTACAGCAAGAAGACTGCCGTAAAAAGTGGTTAGAAACTGAGAATAGCTGTGTTAAACTGAAACAAGAGATTACTAAATTGAAGGTACGTTGATATAAAGTACTTCGAGCGCCACATTAGCTGGTTTATAACTAACTTCTGTCAACAAATTTTTGCTTCGCGTCCAAGCGAAGGCGAATCATGGCTGACAGTAAATCGTATCTTTTTATAGGCGGAAAACGAAGCCCTTGATGTCAAGCTAAAGCATGCTCGGTAAGTTATCTTAACGGTCTTCCATTTATCCAGTTTAGCTTGGGGATCAAGCATAGTCTTAGACTCTTATCTTTTTGCAAATTTGCAAATCACCGATCGCTTTACATTTTTATTTTATAGAAATCAGATTGAAATCGAAATCAAGAAAAGAATGAAGGCAGAGGCTGCACAGGACCACTTGGTGCGTTCTGGATCCATATATGATATATAATAGAAGTAGTGTTAGTTTAGTTTATAAGCATTGCTTGGCTTTGTCTTAACTACCTCTCCCCACCTCGCATAAAGTGAAGGCCTTCTGGGGTGTTGGGTTCAAGAGACCCTTCCACTTTTGATATGAACAAGTTGACAAAAATCGATCAATACCATTGGACAAAAAGCATCTCCAATTTGCCAAGTTAAAGTTTGATAAGTTAGAATGTAGAAGATATAGCTCCGAAAAGCTACAAAATTTCACAGACGCTTGTATGGTTGGGGCACAAATTCGTTCCCCACCATACAAACGTCTGTATAAAAATGTTGTGACTTTTCATGGCTATATCTTCGCTTGTGTCCTATACACAACTCTCAAACTTGGTAAATTTACTATTTACTATTTGCTTTTTGCAGTATTATCAATGTATTTTTGCCATAACTTGTCAATGTAAAAAGTTTAAAAAGCAGTGGAATGGTTTATTCCTGGACTTGGGATCAGATGTCAGTAGAGTTTGATAAGTCTCTCCCTTGATTCAAGGGTTTTCCCTCAGCTTGAATACTTTGGTTTTCCTCACTCTGCAAAACCCAACATGCTAAATTCCAATTCAATCTGTGAATTAGCCATACGGTGACCTTAATCAGCATAGAGGATGTTTCAGGGTTCAATAAAGTTGATGGAAAAAATTCCAAGGAAGGTAATCTCACTATGCTTTGGGTAAGGGGGAATTAGAACTTAAATGATTCACTCAAAAGATCTTATATACAAAATTCAAAGCCATCTCTTACTAGTAAACTATATTCTTGATCAAGGACCGACAAGTGGCACTGATAAGGGAGCTGCTGACTGACAAAGAAACAATGAGTCGACTGAATGAAAATGAGAGGCAAACCCTGATGCAATCAATTCAAGTCAGTCAAATGCACAATGATGATCAGCGGAGCCCAAGAAAAAGACCATATTATGGTATTGATGAATCATCAGCATCAATTCTGTCACCATCTGATATCAGCTATGATACCACTGCTGATGATCTTGTAAGTAGGAATTGGTTATTTGACAATAAGTTATGGATTATCAGGCTAGGTACAGTTGCGAAAATGCAGTCACTTGGATATTCTATTCTTCTCTAGTGAATGTTAATGACTTATAGTTACACAGAATCCCTAGGTTACTATCTTCTGATATCTATTCATTCTTTGATTGACTGATTAATCAGGGCCCAGTTGTACAAAGAGTGGATAGTGCTATCTTATGGATAAATCCTTATCCAGTGGATAAGTTGATGCTGTTGTCCAGTAAATTTATCCATCTAATAGTGTTATCCACCCTTCGTACAACTGGGCCCTGATAAAATTCCCATAGTTTTATTCCCTAACTGCGAGTTTTTTTACGTGGCACTGCTTGATAATTTTGTGACCAAATTTTTAGTTAGGAATAAAATATCTGGCCCAGTTGCCTAAATGTTACCATATTTTTCCTTTAATTTTGATCCTGTTCCCTCTTTTAGGATGAACCAGCCCCTCAAAAGAATGTGCATACCTATCTCAAAAGTGTAAGCCATACTTGTTTTCTTAAATCCAGAAGATAAAGGAACAATGTTAATGATTTTTGACTTTTTCATAATATTACTGCTAATAACATACTTATATAATCTCAAAGGAGGATCCACTAGTATTCCAGAATGCATTGCGAATGAGATATAAAAATTTTTCATTCATATTTTCGAAATTTAAAAATCAATAGCACTTAAAAAGAGTGTATGTCATACCTTTTAGCAATATATATTTTTAAATTGTTCAAGAGATTTTAAATATTTTTGTCAAAATACTGAAATACTTTCTGAGTAATTTCACATTCAGTACAGATCCTACGACTAGCTACTTTTGTTTGCCTAATAAGTTGAACATATCTTAATCAAATGCTAAAGTAACACCTTAGTATTAGTATTATTATTGGTAGAAGTGGCATTAGAAAAAGATTCACATAAACAGGTGAAAGCCTAAGAAAACAGCAATAAGCATGCAAAGGCACTTGGGATACTAGTGGGTCCTCCTCCTGATATGTTCTATAATAATTTATTAACAAAGCTGTGATGATATTGTTCCCTTCAGGAACCTTCTGCTCCTTCAGTTGATGAGCTTGGGGTATGTGCACTCTTAGCACTGGTTATTTCTTTTTTACATTTATCAATAATATGTGTCTTTTCTAACCCATAGCTTACTAATATTTTCCCTCTTAATTTCATCTTGCTTTTTTAATAACTTTGCATTTTTTTGAAACATTTTTTTTTCTCTAGGGAGGAACTCCACCAAAGAAATTGAAGACTTCCATTGATCATGTGGTAAGAAAAAAAATATATAGATATTTTGTGATTCATCAGTCCCAAAAATTGTTGTGCAAAAGATAGTAATAAGTTGGATTTGGACAAATTACAATACAATCCAGCATTCATTTTGGCTGTCAGCTTCTTGCTTTCGGTGCAGGCAACAATTTTTGAAATAGGTGTATAATCAAAGTCCAAGAAAACAGTTAAAATGGCAAATTCTTTGTCTTAATTTGTTTACTTGGGCATTTTGCTGATGATTTACAGCATGTTATTCTTCTCAATTGAAGCCTGAAAAGGTATGAAAATATATTTTGTTGTGTATCAGATTCAGGATAATGTTGTTGCTGGTACCAAGGTTACAGTCAGTCCTGATGGCCCTATTAAAGTATCAGCATTTGTGAACACATTACCAAGTCCTAACAGACCAACTATCAGACGTGAGTTGAACTTATAAGAACTAGGAAACATCTACATTATTTTATTATATCACCTGAGGACTTAAAATAATAGCTGGCCAGTCTCTGGCTATCAGTTTTAGCTTTGTCACCTAGAGTAACTGTTCAAATAGACTGGCAAGGCAAAGATTTGGCAGAATAAGTTTTGCAAGGTCGGCTAAAATGACTGGTCAAATTGACAAGCAAGGCAAATATTTAATTACCCTGGGTTCCAGAGGGATTTTTTTTCCAGATTTACCGACTGAGAGCGGCAAGGCCAGTCAATAAATCAAATCTGCAGGAAAAATCCCTCTGGAACCCTGGGTAATATTTTATAGGATAAGTTCAAATTCTGGCCAGACAATTGTCTGATGTCAGACACGGTGCTGATCCAAGTTAATGCAGACATTTTCACACAGATTGAATTTGAATTTAGCTTGCTAAGTTTTGTAGAGGGTTTGAAACAGGAGCAACCATGAAGAGAAAAATCCTCAAATCAAGGGAGAGACCAAACAAATTCTCTACTCGGACATTGTCCTGATACTTATGATAAATGGATTCAATGATTGTATTTTTTCAGCTGAAGATATTAATGATGTAGGTTTACCAAAATCTAACTTGTATCCTGCTCTTCCTGTTTCAAGAACACCATCAACAAGGTAGTAATAAAATCAATTTGTTTTGAGATCTGTGTCAACAGTGATAAGAGTCTGTAATGATAGGGTGTAGGGAGGTGGTAAAGGCTCCTGGAGTTGAATTCAGATATAGCAATGGATCTAAAACCAAGAAATATTTTAAGAATTTCACTTTGGTGATTTGCAGGGAGACTCCAAAAAGCACTAACAGCATCAAAACTGGAAAGAGAAAGAAGGTAAAGTACTGCTTACCATGGTATTTAGCATCGACTAGTCCAACTGTTGGGAAACTTGTTTAAATTTAATAGTAATAGAATCTTACGCAACGATAAATATCAAGAATGATAACACCAAAACGATGGTGGGCACATGAAAACTGTTTTGAGCATGTACTTGCATCATCATCTTAGAATCTCCCTCCTGGTCTTGCCATCCTCGTGCGAGGTCTCTAATGTTCCCATGGATGTCAGTCAGTGGATAAATGCTAAACACAGCTTTAATAGGAATCTTCCGAGGGAATTTTGTCACCTTACTTTTGAAATAATAGTCATAATTTATTTTCATAGTTAACATTCAATTAGCTATCTTACAAAAATGAATAAATCTTTCATTGTTGTTTTGCAGTCGCATATCTTTTGCTCCAAGACTGTAATCAAGCCAGAATCATGTCAACCAGTAAGGAAACTCTTATAATTCTTTTATATTAAAACAAATCTTATCATACTTGATTATTTTCAAGTTGTCCAGCTAGCCTTTGTTTGTGCTTACTATTGGTTATGACATTTAAAAAAATGATGTGCATGTGTCCAATCCTCTTTGGCCCCACCCGTAAAACTCACTTTTGTATTCAAAAACCGATTCTATTGCCATTCTTAATATTCATATTTTATTTTCTCTTTTTAGTTTTGAGTTTAAGTTTACCAAAGTTTTTAATTCTAATTCTATCTTTGCTAGTGTGGCAAGAGAATAAAGTTTGGAAAGTTGGCTTTCAAATGCAAAGGTATGGCAATATCTATCAAACGTATTGCAACATGGTTGTGCAATCTCCTTGTCCGTCAAAGATTCTTACACCAGTCAGATTTAGATCAGTCAGATGTGCCTGGTCATTGTATTTGGCTTTTGAGCAGCCATTTTTTTAAATCCTAAATACTCCAGATTCAAATTCTTTGTTCTTCAAGGGTAGCTTCAATTTAATTTTTATTTTATTTATTTTGATTATTAATGTATTTCAGTGTAGGTCTGAGGAATTTTAATTTTTTTGTATTGTTGAAGCTGTGCAGTCTTTACAAATACCATTGGTATTTGTGAATATTTGTACACTGAAATGAGGCTAACCTGTATAAGTGAGTCTGTGAACAAGAACCACAGCAGTATTAGACTAATAATTATACAATAATTATATATAATTATATATAATAATTATTATTGAGAAATGGTTTATTTGGTGATAATTTGACTAGAGCCTTTCTTCACAATGTAAGATTATCCCTTTTTGTCATCCATACATGTTCAATGTAATTTTCTTTTTATCATAGACTGCCGTGCTGTGTGCCACCCAGACTGCAAAGATGCAGTGCCACTTCCATGTATTCCTTCAAATTTCACTCCCGGTTCTGGTCAGAAGAGACCGGTAAGGAAAGGTGTCTCTAAGGCTGAATATTTTGGAGGTAAACTAACTTGCTCCCCTTGCTTTCATTTTCAGGAAGAAACCATTGACTTTTATGCTCCATCAACAAGTCCAATGATACCTAACATTGTGGTAAGTAATTGGTATCTGTTTGTCTTAAGACCTGGGACCCATGTAACTAACTGCTCAAAAGTTTGTGTCAATCAATAAAGAAGCCCCTAACACTAGTGAAGTGAGCCAAGGGTGTGTCAAGTTGTGAGTCAAGGGTGTATTAAGTTGTGAAAATGCAGCTACATTTTTAAAGCAATAGTTACTAACCTTTAAGAAAAAGCAAAATTAATTTTCTTGGAACGCAATTAAACCGTAAAACAGGATAAAAAGAAAGGCCAATTTTTTTGTTCGTTTCTTTTCTTTTCTTTTTATTTATTTCTTTATTTTTTGCATTCAGTTTTCTCCTGTTTATGATGAATTTCAAAAAATGTCGTTAAGGCTGTGTTATAAAAATCATGGAATTACCATGTTTATGCTAAGGTAAACTAGATTATACTTTCGCCTTAGATCGAATGTGTTCAAGAAATTGAAAAGCGAGGCCTTACTGAGGTTGGTCTTTACCGTGTCCCAGGGTAAGCGACGTCTTTGTCTCCCTTACTGTATTTTTTCCTCTCTCTTTCTCTCTATCAATGAACAATTTATCTTTTTTTTTAACTAATTCCAAAGTGTTTTTCCATTTTATAGTGCTGAGCGCACCGTCAAAGAAATCAAAGAAAAGCTCCTCCACGGAAAGATGAGAAAATTGGTAATTATTAGACTTTGTCAAATTTATCAAAACGTCACGCTTTCGCGAAAAGAAATGTTAACCCGAACTATAAAGAAATAAAACAAACCTGTCAAAATATTGTACTTAAGTTTGGCGTTTTCATCTCCACAAGACAAACTCAACAGACAGCTCTTATTGTTTTGACTACTTTTTGATTATTTAAAAAAAAAAAGATTTATCGATACCGTAATGGTTTTTTCATGGTTAATGTTATTTATAGCATGACGAGAGCGTCGATATCCACGTTATTTGTGGGGTACTGAAGGACTTCTTTCGTAACCTTGCTGAACCTATCATCACTTATCAGCTTTGGCAGTCATTTACGAGTGCCGCAGGTGAGATATCGTTATTATTAACCCTGGTTTTCTCTAGCCATGCAAGCAGAAGAGGTCTTGTTACATCAGTTTGAAAATAGGCTCAAAGCAAGCACAAACTCAGGGATCAAAATCTTCCCTTGCGTTTGCGCTAGCGCTTGTGCTTGCATCCCGAGAAAAAAGCGGTTTACATATGAACTTGAAAGTCAAACAATAGTCACCCAATCCAACGATATGAAATTATTTATTCATCGTTAGTTTTAATATTGTCTTAATTATCGACAGCTAGTCAAGATGATATTGATAGCAGCAGTGCACTATACCAGGCAGTAAGCGAGCTTCCCCAAGCCAACAGAGATACACTGGCGTTTTTGGTTACGCATCTTCAGAGGTTCGTACGATCAGCTATCTACTTCTTTCTGGATTCTATCTTTCTAAGATGTTCTTTGGGGCAATAATTTATGACTGATCTTGAACCCTTTCTATTTGATCCCCCTTCGTATAACATAATAATTCTTAATTAATATTAATGCATGTATTTTAGGGTCTCTCAGTGCCACGAATGCAAAATGACCGTCCAGAACTTATCCAAAGTGTTTGGTCCTACATTAGTCGGGCACTCAACGCCCAATATCGAGCCAATTGACATGTTACGGGAAGTGAAATTACAACCACCTGTCTTGGAGAAATTACTCGCTATGCCTGTCGACTACTGGAACCAGTTTTTGAACGTTGACGAAAATCTGCGCTCCCCACCCTACAACCCTAATACTCACCGATCAGACGGCACCCCCCTGACCCCAGAGTGCAGACCAGGTATGACGTCCACATGAAATGCTATTTCTCTTAAGTTATTTTTAAATCAATAGTTCATTCAATTCTCATTTTCGTAAAATTAAAACGAGTCTTTAAATAAATGCATGAAATAAATCTCACCAATAATTGTTTTCACCAGTGCCTCAAAGCATGCTTGGACCGATATCTGCGACTCCCGGAAAAGGATCCGTGAAAAAGAAGGGAAGTTTTCTCTCTCGAACGCCACTTACACCAAGGTAATTACTCCAATACCCCCCATTATTTTTTTAGGACTTCCCTATGATTCTAACCTGTTTCTATCTAGATCATTTCTGGCAGTTCTAAATCCGCCAACTTTCCCTTTCTTCTCCACAGGTTCGGAAGCAAGTCTAAAGTCCCGAATAAGCGACCAACACACTTTTTCGCTTCTCCTATGTTGAAGTAATTGCAAGCAAAGATGGCGTAGAAATTCTTTAATATTATAAAATTCTAATGCATGTAGATCCCTTAAATGTTAGACAACTTTGACATTATCTAAACCATCTACGATGTTTTATATATTTCCTTTGTTATAGTAATACACTTTTTTGTTGTTTTTTTCTTTTTTTAGATCCTAAAATAATCGATATTTAGTTACCAGTTGGGTGTATAATGCTCAACATAGATTTGGCGCTAAGTGGTAAAATATTTGGCCATGACCACCGCAAAAATAAGTAACTGTCGAACTTGGAAATTAAAATACTGTTTGATTGGAAAGTCATAAATTATGACCTTTTTAAAAATATTTACATCCTACATAACACCAAGAATAAATGAATTACTAGAATTATATTTTGAGGAAGACAATTTTCCTCTTGAACGTGCTTCCTGTCAAGCAAAAGCTTGGGAATCCGCCTACAATTTTGTACCTTAGTTTTTACTGACGATAACTATTGGCTATCTATTTGCCACTGTATTCAATATGCAATAAGCTTTGAATGTTATTGTGACTTAAAATATAAGAGAATATCAAAAGACACAGTATTTTATACCTTAAATCTATTTTCTAAAGTCTGTCTGGGGCATATGGCGAACGCGAGTGTATTGTTCTTAGAAGATAGCATCATAATCTTCAGCAGCTGTTTTATAGCGATCAATATTTGACCCAGTATTTTGCGAAAGGAAACAGTACGAAGCAGGAATAAGGCGATGGTACGGTCTGGGATTGGTGATTGTTGTTAAAGGCTGCCTCGCTTTTAATCAGATTCTACCAATGAAATTCCAATGTAAAATTATTGCTATAAGCTATGCTCGACTTCTCATAAACGCAAAATACCCGATATTATTGAAGGATGTGGCGCGAATTTCATCCATCATCAACCATAGAGAAGTCGGATGCTGTTATTATAAACAGCATCCGACTTTTCTTCTTTTCTTCAATGCGAGCAAGCATTTCTGGACAAAGGTTTTCATATCTTTTCTCCGTCCAAAAGGGATTATACCTTTAACATTTTGACAAAAAGAGAACCATTTGCATCACTGAGAGAGGAACTGTCTAGTAAAACATGTAATTGTTTATACGGGGGTTGTTTGAGTCTAGTGAAGAATACCAATCCAGTATTCAAATCCTCGCCGAAAAAGGCTTTCCCTTGACAACCACAGCTTAAAGAGGACAAGAGTTGCTTTAAATGACAATAATTGACTCTTTTATGAGAAAATTGATCAAGAGAAAAGAACTGCTCAAAGGATCTATACCTAGTCAAACTCAAGGGCTGATCAATGCGCTCACCTTTCTTGTTCAAGGATACTCCTTTATCGATTATGAAGAACTTGCATTTATTTTAGTTTATATTTATTGTCCTTTAGTCATTGTCGAACCAGTTCAATTCGAGCGCTTTTTCTCAGAATTGGTTGCTTGATTTGGATAGTATGAGGCAAGGGCATTTACTAAGACATTGTGCTAAACCGTCAGGTCTGATAAAATATTTTTCTAGCTTTTATACATTAATGGAATTAAGTGAAAAAAGCACACGCCATGTGATTGAATCGGTGCTCGAATGAATGGCCAAGACGATATGAAGAAGTAGTTGGCAAATTAAGTCGTAAAATGTTTGAATCCTTTAATTTAATGCCTAACAACAAACAATACCCTATACTAGCGATTTTTGACCTTTGATTACCATACTCGTCTAAACTCCTTTGTTGGTTTACCCTGAAGTGTGACGGGTTGAAAATTGGTCCAATGAAGGATTGAAAAGTCCTCTCAGTTAATCATCAACTTTCGTCCGTCTAAGCCGAAAAATCATTGAACTCGGAGGCGAATGGTAATAACTTGAACGACTACAATCTAAAGTCATTGCTCGCTCCTTTTCTGTAAAACCATGGATATAATTTACTTTTAGATAACAAAAAATATTTTACCCGTCAAGGAAAGTCCTTACCGAGAAAAGGTACATGCATTTGGATGAAAACATGTCATTTGTTACTAATCTGATTGGCATTCTATAAATTGATCAGAGCAGAGGCAATAGAGAATATGACAACTTGAGCACGAATAAGGACATAGATATAGATATCATTTAGAGACCGCATTTTCTCCATCAAAACACATGGATAAAGTGCTTATACTCGTAGCTGGCAACTCTGGACTGCTGAGGCCCATCGCGTACGAGTGATAACAACACCGACACCTCTCGACCAATCACTTCTCGTTATGCTGCCTTCCGCCAATCATGATTCACGTTTACAGGCTATTGACCTGAGCGGCAAACGAGGTGTGCTTTGAGATTTGGGTAAGTTTTGAAGAGTCGGTAGTGGGGGAACCTAGAGTCGACTACGCGAGAACCCATATTCAGCCCTCTAGGAACGCATCAACCCCGTCCTTGCCCAACAGGAGCTTCACAGCCAAGAATGTAAACAACTGGGTCCAAAACGCTTCCAGCAGATCGCTTCTACAATCGTTCAAATCCAGAGAAGACTATAATTCTGTATCATAGTTGATGCTTTATGATTTACTCCTGGTAACAGCAAAATTTTCAAAGCTAACTAGAGAATTGTGAAGTCAGTCAGTCATGGAGGAGAGTGGAGAGCCTAACGAAGTCTCTAAGGAGCAAGAAAGTTGTGGTAGAGTTAGTTTTCGTGAGGCTGACCTAGCATATCTCGTGATTGATAAAGAGAGAATGTTCCCGTTAGCGGAATTGCTTGCAAGTCTGTTCAACAATACGGCCCGGACTACGTTATTCACAAGAATGGAAAAAATCGATACTCGCAGACATTTTTGCAATGCAGAAGAAATTAAGTTGCTTAAAACGGTGAATGGGATCCATGGATCTTCGGCCATTTGTACCCTAATTCCTGAAGCAGATGTCAAGAAATACTGTGGCGTGTATGTTGATCGAACTATAGATCTGAAGCAGTTCGCTAAAGGCAAGAAAACAAGAAAATTAACAGCCAAGGATAAAGGATCTAGGAAGAGCAAAGTTTCAGAATCTAGCAAATCAACGAGTGCAGTCAATAATGACGAAGAAAATCAGATGGCAAGGAACACTAGTGACGACAAAGATAACATTATTAACCCGTTGAAGAAAAAAATACGAAATACTAGCAGTAAGCGGAGGGTAAACGGTGAAGCTAAAGTGAAAGACTCAAGGAAAGAACAAAACAAGCTTTCTAACAACGAATCGCAAGCGTTACTTGGCAAAGTATTGGACGGTAAAGATTCGCAGTTGCTTAGTTTATCCGAACATGTGACTAATGGCACACAAACCGTTTCTTTGTTGAGCGAACCTGTGGTTAAACCAAGAAACAAGAGGAAGGCAAAGGATTGCAAGAACCATATCGAACAAAACAAAAGACCTCGAGACACAGATGAAGTACTCAACACGCTCTATCCGTCTTCGAAACCTTCGACAGAGAACAGTGACGGCAACGAAGGAGAAGTGGATAGCCGTTGTTCGTCGACGGTCAGCTTAGAAAATTCGCACAGCTCTTGTTTAAACCAGTGTTTAACTAATGCAAATTCAGAAATTTTATTTTCTGATTCTTCGTCAAATGACAGTGGTTTCGGTTCAACTGCAACCCTTGGCTCGACATGTAGAGAAACATCAAGTTCGTCAGCGGCAAGGGGCAAACCCAACGAAAAGCTAGGTTTAGCAATGCCCAAGAAAATAAAATTAACTCTGCCCTCTCCAACAAAACTAGACAAAAATAAAGCAACGAAAAGAATAAAGCTACAAAAAGGACTTGATTGTAAAAACATGAGTAAACAAGTCGATCCTAGCTTATCACCCCCAGCGTTAGTAATAAAGAGACAAAATAACACTTGGCAAGTTGAAACTAAGACAGAAATTGAATCGAAAGCAAAGATTCCAAGGAAAATTCTTAAAACTGCGAAGAAAAAGCTGAAATGGTCGTCGGCAGAAACACTGAAGTGTCGGGCGCTACATTTAGAAAATGGAACTTCAAATGGACAGACCATGTCGAAAAACGAAAGGCGTAAGAAACAACAGTTTTCCGACAAGGCGAACGGAGCGCTCAGTGAGGAGAGGAATGCAGTCAAAAAGAAAAGGATGGGGCAAAAGAGACCGAGGAATGGAGCACTTTTGCAAGGTTCAACTTTAGACCCTTTTACAGCAAGCAATGATCCAATGACTAATTTTTATTTGAAAGGCAAAAACAAAGGCTTGGCTAGGAAATCAGGAAGAAAGAAGGACAAACATTCTGAAAAAATGCGGATATCCCAGACTTTGGATAAAGTTAAGGTAGCGCATTCATCGAATATTGCCATGACAACGAGCGCAGGATCTTCTCTAACTTCAAGCAGCAAACGAATTTCCAATGCAAGTAAAACTTTTAAAGTAAATAAGAATTTCAAATTCATGAGTTCATTCTCTGGATTTCCATTTCTTAGTATGAGAGATGGAGACTTGAGTCCTACTTATAGTATGTCTGTTCCAGATAATATCAAAAAACCTTCATCACTTCCACTTTGGAAATGGCACTTAGGAGCACCAGTTGTTAGACATGATCCCAAGGGAAAATCAAATTTTACTTAAGTAGAAACAGTAGCCAAACATTAGACAAAGAAGCTATAGTTCTCAGCGGCTCAACATGTTTGTATGATATACACCACTCAACCTGCAACACATGTCTAGAGACAACAGTGATAAATCCCATACAGTCTCTTATACATTGCTAAGATGCTTTCATAATATATTCAGCTCTAATGCTCTGAATCTTACTAGAAGATTTTGATTTTTCCTATGATTATTAATATGAAATGACAATTGCATGTTGTTTTGGCTTGATCTAATACCAACAAGCTCAATTTAGCTATTCATTGAAAGACATTTATACTCTGTGCAGTCATAATTTTGCCTTTTATAACCCATTTACTGATGATCGCATACAAACTTCAGTTATGTTATTTATATATATATATATAACAGTTATGAAATTCATTATCACAATATCATTGCTACATTGCAAACCATCTTTCTAGCAAGTATCTCTAAATTATATAATTTTTCAGCTTAGAAAATTTCACAACATTGAACAGCATAATTGTTGATCTTTTTCCTTAAAGAAAGATAATTCTTGTATCCTCTGTATAGAAATCCTTTGAAGTAAATAAGATTTCTGTCTTGTCTAGATTATAATGAACAAAATTGTTTACGATTTACAACATCTGAATCTGCACTAGACTGCATAGCTTTGAAATGGCTTTTTCAGTGGCAGGAATGTATTTAATGATTTTAAGTAATATTCTTGAAGTTAATTTAAGATAGCTTGCGTTTAACGTTTAGTTAAATATCAAGAATTTGAATCGTTTATATGGCTTTACAACCTTGCTCCTCGTTCTGCTTTGTTCTCCACTCGATCTGCCTGCGTTTACATGTAACTAGGGCAACTTTGTCACACTTTTTGGACCTTGTACTTCATATTAAACTATCAAAACTTTAGACATAAAATTGGAAGATCTTACGTAGACTGTGAATTAATATTAAGATCGTAAATTGTTTGGATAAGCAGTCTACGCGGTCACATACGGTGTGGAAAGTTCGTCTTGATGAGCTTGACTATTAAAGTTCTAGTTGTTCAAATGTGAAACACATGAGTACTATTAAATGGTTTAAATAAATTGGAGGGCTTGAAGTGTAAATAGACCGGCACTAAGACCATATCAGTTTTTTAAAACTTTTTCAAACAATAATTTTCAAAATTTGTATATGTAAATGAAACTGTAGAAGACACGCACTGATAATATAAAACTCATGCGATATTGACTGGCAGCGTAACTTTATTTTAGTACTGCAATAATTATTCTTATCGAAGTTATAATTTTTTCTAACTTATTCTTCTTGATAACAAAAAAAAGCATGGTTCAATCACTTTATATTATTATGTAACATCATGAGTGAGTGAGTGAGTTATATTATACTGATTTATTGAATTCTATGGAATTTGTCGAAGCCTTCTTTCTCCTTCGTCCCTTTGATCTGATAGCAAAGAAAATTCAGTGATTTTTATTTCACAATTTAAAAGTAAATTCAGTGATTCATATTTCACAATTTAAAGGGTAAGTTGAATTTCGTTTTTTCAAGCAGTAAGCCGAAATAATTGGTCACTTGCGCCACCAAAGCAAAACCTATTCCGCCGGCCACGTGACGTGTGTGATTATAATCATATTATACCAAGGCATACATACATACATGCATACATATACGGCTTCTTGTCAAAGAAACTGCTCAAATACTGTCGGGATTCTATGTTAATAACCAAACTTTTAGACATTATACAATATTTTCCTGGGATTTTCATCTCCTGGTGCAAAGATTCTAAAAATTGTTCTAAAATGATTAACCCCGGGGAAACTACTTAGACTACAGATGGTTTTTTGACGTAGGCCACCCAGTGAAGACGACAAGACGCTTAAGCATAAAATTGCTTCTTAGTTAGACCGCTTTACATGTAAACTCGTGCTAAGTATCACATAAAAGTTAGAGCTATAGCTTTTTTAGTTTCACACGCGTGGAATGACAAACAGTGGCTTCACTGCCCGTGGCGTTTGTGGTGGCTGGAGTGAGACTAAGTTGATGTTCCGATATACATTTTATCTATTGAAATTTTTCATAATTATTTGTCTTTCCTTTAATATTTCAGACTACTAATTTCACGAGAAAATCAAAAAGACATTAACATAGCGCACAGCATAAGTGTTAGTGTTTTGGGTTGCCTGTGGTTTAGCTACCACAGGTACTCCTATAAAGCAAGCGCCCGCCTGTAAAAATAACCGAGAATTTCAATGCCGAATCGGGGAAAACCGCGTAGCATAGGATGATACGATCATATCTGGTTAACATATTATTCTAAGATCATCGCAGGCTGATGTTTTCAGGGCATCAGTTATAAGCTATTCCGAGGTAAGGTAAAACTGGGTCGAGTTGACATCGCAGTGCGTTGTGAGACTGTTTTAGGGAACCAAATAGACAATTTCTTGCGGGAAAAACTCGATCCAGTTTTTTTTTTTTTTTTTTTTTTTTTTTTGTCGAGCTCGGATGGTGGTCTGAATAGAATCGTGGCGTGCGGATTGATTGGCAACTACAGTCAGCATAATGACAACATCGCGGCTCAGTTGTCCAGTCAGAACAATGTTTCGTTATTTCCTATCCTTCACTGGCTTGGCATCGTAAAAGCGAGTATTTCCAAAGCGGAGTCACGAGGAGTTTTTTTTTCGAGGAAGGGGGGTGGCAGGGTCGGACGTAAACCAATTTAAAAAAGAAAGGCAATTGTAGATAGGGGAGGCGCCAATTTTAGCAATGGTAGGATCTAGGTGGCAAGTACGTCGGAGCGGATTTTTATAGTGTGCTCCTACGAAAATATCAAAGATTTGTCACTAGTATGACGAGTTTTAGTCTAAGATGGTTGGAAATTTTAATGCGGAGCATTGTTCGTTTCTTTCGTTTCTCCATGCCCCCTTCCTCCTGATCAAATCATAATCTCTTTATGCGTATCTAGGAAACCCTTAAACTTAATAAAGTTCAAAATTATGTAGTCCCTAAGTTATTTTGTCAATGAGAGCAAACAAAAGTTGTTTTAGTCAACCGGTACGTTATCATAATACATGGCGTATTGGTTATTAGTTAACAAAAATTATTGATTTTTTTTGCTCAAAAAGGGAGTATAATTCAATCGATACCGACGCCCCGCCGGACCAACACTCAGGGTCTTATAGAATAACTGACAAGAAGATGCTGTGTTTGTAATCACATCTGCAAATGGTTAAACAATTCAAGTCTTCTCGGCGTATACTATAAATATATACTATAACTATAACCCTGAATATGACGGATGTAAAAGACCCACTATTAACGCTGGTGACGACCAGTTTTAGTGCCTGTTGTTAAGGTAACTGCGCATGCTCAGTACAAGTACCAATTTGACTACGCACCAAAAGGCGAGAATTCCCTTTCTCTCTATGTATTCAGTTGCTTCTTTATAAATCCTTTTGATATACGTTTCTTATCAATTTTGCTTGTAGTTTTATTCGTATTTTTCCTAGTAAATATTACGAAGAAGTAACATGAAACTACCATGACTTACTGGGCGGATATCAAGAGACGATTTCCATCTTTTTCCCCTTTCTTACAGTTATCCATTTTCGCCCTTTTTTTCTCGGGTCTAATCATAAACAAATACCAATCATTACCTCAGAACAGCAAACCAACAAGAGCCAAAATAATGACAACAACGATTGATGATATGTCATTAACGTCAAAACCTGCGGCACATAGAACATACAACGGTTCAAAGGGCTACTCGCCAGCAAAACCTCATTAGAGCGCGCTTTCCTTCATAAGTCCACCGATCTTTCAATTATCCTCCATTGAAAAATATATTGGATTCTTCGCCTTTTCTACGGAGGAAAAAATAGGATGGAACATCTGTTATTGCGGTCTTTACTATGGTTTGGGATGAACGTAGGCGTAAAGGTTTTGACGTGAAAATAGATATCAATCTCCGGCTTGATGACGTGACTAATTTTAGAGAAATTTGTTGGTTGAAGCAAAAGAATGGGCAATAATGCATTTTTCTCTTCCAAGGAACCTTTCATGTAATAATATTTATATAAAATATATCTCATTCGAGACATAAAAATTTAACTATTCCAAGTTCATTCTTCCAATATTATTTGAGTCAAAGAAAATGTGAGAAAATGAAAATAATTAATTCAGAGCGCGATTGAGAGCAACCTTTCCTGAAAATATAAACCTTCAAAATAGTCAAAACTAATACTGCCAGTATAGCTAATTATTGATCTTGATATGTCAATGAAGAAGTATCCGAATGAATACTATTTATATTTTTAAAATTAATATTTTTATAAATTTAATATTTTTTTGAAATTTCTCTGCCGCAATGCGTGGCATGCGGAAACTAAAGTCATCAATATTGCAGTCCTCTATTTTTCACATGTAAATATATTTTTAGATTTTAGTTATATAATCGAAGTTAGAGTTAGTGTTTCTGTGACTGAAAATAAAAGGGATAATAAAAGGGGAATATATATTTTAGAGGGATAGTGTATATATATCATATTTGTTTGATAATGGTGGTCATTGATTGGTTAAAAGAACAATGCGCTTCACGAAACATCCGTTCTCCTAACAACATCCGGGACTTTCCGAAACCATTCACTCGAACAAGAACTCGAAGGTTGCTTATGGCGTTGTGGTTGTTGTCAGTTGGTCAACTGTTTTTCACCACAAAACGTACAGTTTCTTCGTAAAACCCATGGCAGCCCTATGGATAGGAACATCATAAAATATACTTTTGTCCTATCTTTATTTATTTTCTATTATGGACAGTTAACGAAGGCTTCAAGCGCCGGTAAGTTGAACAGTTTTTTGGTCAGCTTGCTAGCGATCACAAACTTGAGTGGGCGAACAACGACATGTGTTATCTTTTTTAAAACTCTTTTTTCCCTTTAATTTAACAACAATTTCTTTCTTTATAGATTGTACTTTAGATCGAAATGTTTGTGGGGAAGATGAATATTGCGAAGAAGGTACAGTATAGAGGTCAATTCTAAGTGGAATTCAAGTGAGATTCGACCAAGCCAACTTGGTCTTTGATCACTGGTCGATATGTTATTTTGTTATTTCCGCTGTGAAATCATCTTGCCTTTACCTCCAGATGTTCTTCTATGGAGTTATTAGAATCTTCAATAATATATTTTCTTTGCAAATATACATATTATTGAATACTGGCTAAAAGTCAGAGAGTATGAAGTCGATATTTTGGAAGATGTTCACTTTAGCGGGAAAATTCGGGAAACCCTATTAAGGTTATCGTTGTTTAAATCCTTGACCGGGAAAATTTTTTAAATAACACATGTTTTACCTACTAAAATTACTTACTCGTGTAATAAAGATATTAATACGAATAGTACAATTTTGTATTTTCCTCTTTACGCGCCTAGTTTTCTACGCTAGTAATTTTGGATCGAAGAGTAAGTACTCTCGTCGTCACGAAAACACAGGGAAAAATCGCACCAGATTTTTAATAAAAATAGTATTTTTCCCTGCTCTCTTGTGATACAACTGATAAAAAAGACTGTACATAAATTTTCAGTGATTTTATTAAATTCGTGAACCTTGTTCTTCGTATTGTAGCGTCCGACGCTTTTCTTTTGAATATTGTAATGTTGAAAAATAGGTGAAGCAAATCGAACACCAACAAATAATCAAGAAAGTACCCAAAATTTTCATAATATATATTCATATCTATTCATGATTTTAATACAGAAAACCAACGGTATATAACTGCGGTGTGTTATATTTTATTATATGATAATTCCAAATAAAAATAACTATTGTACATGTTTTCGTGTTTTCTTTATTAAGAAGCACTAATCGAACATCGATTTTGTTATTTCAGCTCAAAAATCGCCTAATTTATGATAATTTTTTTCGAAACAATATATTTGAATTCTTAAAAATTTTAGAGGAACTTTTAATATCTAATGACAAAAGTGTTAATGTGATTTTTGATCGTATAAGGAAATTGCGGTTTTGACTGACTTATGTTTTCAGTTCGTTCCTTGGATGAGTATTGACGTTCATTCGAGACATTACAGGAAAAATCATTTGTGCGGAAAAATCATTATTCTAGAATAATAATCAAACAACACGAAGGATTAAGGACAACTGTAAAATCGGTTTGTACTTTTTCTCCGTTATAGAGAAAATTTTGAAAATATTAAAGTTTGTTACGGTTAAAATTCGCATCTCGTCATTCGATCTTTCTGTTTACATATGCAATCCGACGCCTCTAAAGGGTCAGCGACGCGAAAAAAGCCATAAATTGACTCAGGGATGTTGAATTGCTTACCCGAAATAAGGTGTAGCTTGACATATTCCACTACGAGAATTTTTTTAACTGAAATAGATATTATAGAATGAAATGTTTTGGCTTTGACAGCTGTTTCTTTGTGAGAAATGGACATCTTTGAATCAAAACCCATATTTTCAAATTATTTTATTCTTGTTGTGTAGGAAAATTCATGCGTTTAAAATAAAAATATCTGTCTAGAACCAGGTGGATATATTGATGTCAAAGTCGACTGTTTGGTCAGTTTGGCATTCTATTGACCCCATTAGCCTCACTTATATGTCTGACTTTAAATATAAAAGAGTATTTGATTGGAGGCTTAACTATGATAGCAGCTGTTTGGATGTTATATTAGTGGTATTTATGTTTAGCGGTTCTTATGTCAATTGGTTCAAGAATAATATCATTGGGGTATGTAGGTTGATGATTTGATGACTGTATTGAGAAATATAATATTATAAAATTATTATGATACATACCACCATCACTAGATGTTATATTAAGGGGCTCCTAACTGAAGTTTGATTCATAGATATTACAATTTTATAACACACACTCAAAATACCTTGATTGTTAACATGGGTGGAGAACTTGAGTACTTTGAGAAAACCCCCTTTGACAATGAAGGGAACAAAAAAGCAGATGAACTAATCTTGCATACACTTCATTAAAGCAGCGAATCAGCAAACCATGAGAGTGATACTTACAGACTGATAAGAGACAGTGCCACTGCAGTAAATGCTACTAAGGAAATAGTATATTAGGAGATAGTGTATTTTTTTCTCCTCTCTCCCATACTCTTCTCCTCTCCTTGAGAGACTGTTCACAAGTTATTGAATAGAATAATTTCCCAATCTTATACACATCACCTGCCAGCTAATGTGCCATGTCTAATACACACTTTTATGTAGAGTGATTTTCCACAGACCGTGAAATAGTTAGTTGACTAATAGTGGTTAATAGATCTTAATTTCATTGTTTTCTTGTGTCTATTTGACTATTATTACTAGGAACAGTTTCATGGTCTGAGGAAGTTCACTCTTTGGTATAAACTAACTGTGCTCTTTGAATTTCACATTTTTCAGGGTATGTATTTGCAAGATGTGTGAAGAGAAATCAAATTCCAGGTATTTATCCTCTGTGTTGTGGTTTGAGATATTATTATTATTCTATCAATACATTTTTGAGCAAACAAAAATGATGAAAAGAAAAGAAAAACCCAAACTCTAGATTGTATTTTGGTTAAACATCAAATTCCAGGTATTTATCCTCTGTGTTGTGGTTTGAGATATTATTATTATTCTATCAATACATTTTTGAGCAAACAAAAATGATGAAAAGAAAAGAAAAACCCAAACTCTAGATTGTATTTTGGTTAAACAACTTAGTTTACTGTTGTACTTTCTGTTGATTGAATAAATAGATAGGGGGATCATTCAAAAATAATTTATTGTTTACTGTTATGTTATAATATGTCTTATATAATTTCTAATTCATCTGTACTATTCATATATATGATCATTGTAAATCAGCAACATCTAGTTTTTATATTGTAAAGCGCATGAGAGCATCTCCCTATGGTTCATGCTCTATACATAGAGGATATTACATGGGCACGCGGAGATATGAATTTTATCTTCGAACACTCAAGCAGCCATGTAATGTTCTGTTTATTATATAGATATCGATGAAACTTAAATAAAACAAAAGCTCAAAAATTCTTTATTGAAATAGCAAGCCGATTCAACAGCGATATCTTCACGTGTGAAAGATATGGTATTTTCCACTGGTGAAAGATATCAAGTTTTCAACACTAGAGAAAACCTGGTATTTCATCGATATCTATATAATAAAAGAAGTAAATTTATTTATTATTATTATTATGTTGGCCATTGGTTACAAGAACATTTTTTCTTTGATAGATTATGATAAAGCTTTAAAAGCTTTACAAGACAAAGATATTTTAAGAGACTTATTTTGACTCTGTATTTAAGATAGATTACTTATTTTTCAAACCAGATTATGGTGATTACAGACCAAACGATGAAGGAAGTAATTATAGAGACATAGGATATGATTTCAACTCTCGTCGAGGAGAAATTCCGGAACGGAAACACTCTTTTGATGAAAATGGATACGACAGCTCAGAACCAACCTTAGAAGACAAGGCGTTGATTCAATCTCTACCACTGGAAGGGAAGAGAGAAGGTTACGAATATAATGCCAGAGGTGCACCTGGACCTGATCTTCCTCCTATAGTACCTGAAAACTGGGATAACATAGAACTTAGGAATGATATAAGTGTAGGTGATAGAGGTCGACAGTCAGCTGATGAAGGTCATCATGATTTTGAAAGCAGCAGAGAATTTCATTTACCTAGAGAACACCATGAAGGAACACACCAAGCATTTCATGAAGACCTTGCCAATGAACAGGTCTCCATCGAACATCTCYCTCCAGAAAGCACTAACAGCGAATCTGAACACACTAAAGACACAAAGACTAATGATAATGCAACACCAGACAAAAAGGATAAAACACTAGACAAACCCGTTCATAGTTCTCATTCTGAAAGCAGTGACAATACCAATGATGATATAGACTCCAAAGGAAAAGTTATGATCAAAGGTGAAGTAAAAAAGGCAGAGGCCAACATTGACCAAGGACCCAACCCAGAAAAAAATTACGAAAGAATTAAAGATTTTTTCAAGTCCCAACAGGCAAGTTCTATTGTTGAAGTTCCAAACGCTGTTAAGAGGGAAGAAGCTTCAAAGATTTCTAAAAAGAACTTTGTTCAAATAAACAAGAATGTACAAGATGAAGTTAATACTGAGGAGGGTAAGTAGCTAAATTTTGCAATTATAAAATGGCGTTTGCATTCTAAGTGGAAATATGAAAGCTTATTACATGGTTCGATTCAGTGGTTGCTGTACAATATTCAAATAAAATATACGTTACTGAAAAATGAAAGTGTATTTTAGGGTTATCATAAAAACGAGTCATTATAAGGCTTCCTGGGGCAAACCTGTTGCAAACTGGTTTTTGGTCCTTCTAGTTTCTTATACATAAAATTCTGTTATGTAGCTGGATAATTTTACTTATCCTTTTGTATTTTAACTATTTTAAATTTCAATATTAATTTGGGTTGGAATAGTTTTTCTATTTCCTACTAACATTAATCTCATAAACTTGGGAATTGAAAATGACTATATTCTCATCCATTAAGAGCAGGAAAAATAGCTTATCTCATTTTCATCATATACTACTATTTTGATTTCTTGAAATATAAATTTGTGGAATATTTTGTTTAAATTTTTCACTTGGGAATCACAAAGATCCTGTGCTATATATACACCTTTCATATGATTGTGTGTAGGCAGATGTTCCTAGGACAGTCTTGATGTGTATTAATCATTTTTGTATTCAGTTGAAGACAGCAGAGCCTCAAAGAAGTCCTTGAAGATTGATTTGGACAAAAAGTAAGTCATAAACACAGCAGAAAATGAGCCTCAAAATTTTTTACATCTTCTATGCTGAAAAAATATGTCTAGTATGTGCTGCCTTAGTTGCCAAAGATGATAATAATTTAATAAAGCCATAATAATTCAATAAAGTGAGCTTGATTTAAAAGATTAACTCCATAGGGAACTAGGTGACTAGAAGTCTCTTTTTTCCATTGATATAGTTACAAGCCATTCACTTCATATTACCTCAGTTAACCTTCTGTTTTACTAATACTAGGGATGTCACCGAACTGGGTTTTCAGCCAGAAAGTCATTCCATGATCATGCCTCTAAACATCCATCATTCCACACACAAACAGAGTGAAACTTTTTTTTTGTATTCCTTTCTTCAGGCGTTGGTCTCCTTTGATAATTTTCTTTTCCACAAATTATCAAAAGGATGCCGAAACATGGAGAAAGGAATGTAGACTAAAAGCTTGATATTTGTCGGCAGAGTAATGTACGTTTGGAGGTATAACCACTGCATGTTTTTTTCTGGCTTGAAAACCCAGTTCTGTGGTATGTGTAGTAACATCACACAACTAGACACTTTTTTAGTAGTGAATAGAAATCTTTGCTGCAAGTTTTTCTTATTTATTGAGGCAAAATTTGTCCTTATAGAACTAGTAATAACTTTCTATCAGTAGATAGTAGGTACCTGGGGAACTGGTTTGTTGTAAATTTTGTACTGCTTGATTGTTGAGGGAATGTTCTTGTTTCCTGTTTGGTGCACACTGCTGTTCATGATGACTGTAGATTCAGTTATACAGGTTTGGCAACCTCTATAAGCTAGCTATTCATGTGTAGATGCTAACGAAAGTCCATTATATGTTTAAAAAACATTTGCTCTACAACACATTTAATTTGTACAAATGAGCCTGTAGACTAGAATCGCAGCAGTATTTACCAAATAAAAAAGCAACCTTTCCAGCATAACAACCTAAAAATACTTGCCGATTGATGTTAGCTATGGAAATAATTATGTGCTAAATCATTTATCTATGCCCTAAAGGATTGCACTGCCTAATTTAAAAGCAGATTGTTGATAAGCTCTAACTTAGAACACAACACGCTGCCTCAAACTTAATGTGTTTATCCGTCAATGTGGTTCTCAGCATGACTACCCCTGAAGCTTTGGCCCTAATGAAGACCCTTGAGAAAACTCTGTGGATCAATGCACCTTCACCAATGTTTACCTTACTAAAGTAAGCCCTCTTGTTCCAATAGACCTTTTTCAAAGTTATAGATACCTCTGTGTTCCTTGATTACAGACTCATTTACTCAGGGTTAGCCTCATTTTAGCTTAATAATGCTAGAGTGCATAAAATACAGTCGTTTGCAACTAAGCGTGAACACCAGACACTAAAACATGTTCTAACTAGCGGCTGAAACGTTGAAGTTAGTCAACCGGAATGTTGAGGTTTGGCGCCAAAGGCAAGCCTGATGGCAAAGTTTGTTCAAATACATGTGCGTGTTGATCTGTTGGTGTTGGTCATGGATTCTTTTGAAAGAGTAGACATAAGTAAGTTTCTAGAAGAAATCGATCCTGATCTCCTTCAGTATTCTTCACATTTTCAAAAAAAAGGCTTTACTTCAAACAAAAGCATGAAGTACTGGAGAGAAAACGATTTTGATTCTTTCGAGATTGAAGTACCTGATGGAATTTGCGTGCCCAACTGTCCAACGAATCATTTTGAAACATAAACGTTCCAGTTGACTAACTTTTCAATGTTTCAGCAGCAAGCTAGAACATGTTTTAGTGTCTGTTGTTCACGCTTAGTTGCAAACGACTGTATATCCATGAAAAATCTCATACGAAATTGCACAAATTTGGACAAATTAGTAAATTGAGTAGACTGTAGACCTACAAAACCTTGCACTAATTTGTACAATTTTTGAGTTATCATTTTCACGTATATACTATGTTATGCACACTAACCGCAAATTATAGAATGCACCATTTCTGTAGCATAAACACTCTAAAATTCCATGAACCTTTGCTGGAATACATAAAACTAAGCTACACATAAATGGGGCTAATCCTGAGCAACAGAGAATTCAAAACTAGAGTATTTTTGAAGCAGTTCTTGTTGTGTTTTGTGTTTGAGTTAATGATAATAAAGTTTTAAGCTATTTGTATCTCATGCTGGTAATCCAAGTGCTTGCATGCTAACCATAACGTTTTTATGTAACATGATTTTAACCATAGAATGAAAAATATTATTCATCCAGGAAATAGTAGTAATGATACTTACCGTATTCATTTGTTCCACAATTTAGGGTCATAGAATTATAGAAAGATCGCCATCTTTCTTTAAAATGACTCTCGATTATGAATAAGTATCATTATTATTATGATTTTAACTGTTTTATTCTAGATTTTAATTGTCTCATTCATTATGTGTCATTGATTTACCTAACCTCTATTCATTTCTCCACAGGGTTGAAGATTCTTCGGTACATGTTCGCACAGTCAAAAATGACTATACTCCTGAAAGTGAGAAGGATATAGCTAAAAGAATCAATGAAGGTGAATAATTGATACCTTACCAGTTACACAACAGTTTTATGCAAACAACACCCAAATGTCTGGGTTTTTAGCCTCTGCAATCAAATCTTGAGTGAGTGAGCCTTTACGGTAATGCAAATCTCCAGAGACCGGAGCCCTGTATAGCATTAACAAACAATCATACAACTTGCTTGCATACCCCTCCTAGTTGTTGTTGACCTCTGTTCCTCAGCTTTCCTAAAAACATGTTGATCTTTTTCTCAAATTTGTTTATGCATCATAATTAATTGGGCGGGTGAAAAAAATTGTTGCAAAATTTAATGTAAACCAACTATTTAAATTTTAAATGACGAAAATTTAAAAGCCAATTTTTAGATTCATTGGCTTGATTGCTTTCAAAATGTTTGGTAGGGGCTTTCACTGACCCTTTCACTCTATCCTGAAGAAGATATAGACATATTTACTTAAAGGCAGCTAGTGTTGACTCTGATTATTTATTTATCTAAAGATCACCAATAACAAAGAATGTGAACTACTGTTTAAACCTATTTTTCTTTTATATTCTAGATGCCAGCGTAAGAGATGCTGTTGCCAGACAAACGGGCATGAATATTTTAAAGGCAAATCAAGACACACCTGTAAGTTAACAAAAAACTCATAATCAACCCATTTATGAATCCCATTTTCCAGCAATTTGGTAAAAATTGAAATAAAATCAGCTTTCTGAAAAGAATTAGGATTTCTTTTTGAAATTCAGTGATCATCAAGCATTTTTCATAGTGTTTCTTTCATAGCACCATTTCCCTCACTTGTTTAATATTGAAGATTTTGTTTACCATTTTGTGGAAAAAATATATGATTATGGGTAAAGTGATTATGGGTTAAGCTTGAGAAAGTGATTGAAGTAGACAGATCAATTCAAAAAGGTTTTTCAATATAACTTTGTAAAATCCCCCTCAAAAAATATTTTTTATGTATGTTTATATAATACATATGTTCTTACAAGTTGGTGACTTAAATTTTGATGACCAAAAATGGGTTTTCCAAGACCAATCTTGCCTTAATAATCTCACTAAATAAATATAGTTTTTAGCTTTTAAATTTGCCAATTGCCATTGTTCAGGAATAAATGGAAGGACGAAAAAGAGAACATTTTTCAGCTGTTTTATTCCTTTGTTAACAAAAAAAGTTATGAATATTTATAAGCCCATCCAGAATGTCAGGTGTTCATCGTCATGGCAATGTCAGACCATCAATTAGTTATGACATCATTTCCTTTGGCCTCTCTTTCTGAACAAAGACATGAATGATTAATAAGTTCCTCCTTTGAAGTTCAGTTTTTTAGTGGAATGTATCAACAAATTATCGATCGTACTTGACTAAAACTCAAGTTCATTCCTGCCCTAGAAAATACTGGTAAGGTAAAAAAAACTTTAGTATTTAAAACAATAGCTTCAATCCAGGAATTATGTTTTAAGAGGGAAAAGAAACTATATGTTTTGATTTTCTACACAGCAGTATAAATTTTTCTTGATCAACATGTAAATCAAATAATGATTTATTTTACTTTAGTTTGGTATTCTTTGAAGTCCAAGATGAGAGTGGTCAAGTAAAGAACCTCATTTATCAATTTCAAATCATAAAGCCTTGATACTTCATTTTATTTTACAACAAAAAAACTTATTTTTTTGTCATTGAAATTGCTCTCAGAAAAATGAATGGAAATGAATCATAAGTTATTTTTTATCTTTTCTTTGTGGTTTTATATGGGCTGATAGACTAGCATTTACGTTGAGTTAATTTAAACTCCACAAGTTCTACAATTCTTATATGTAATATAAAATATTTCATTTGTTGCTGTAGGCTTAGTTTTAAAAAAAACCAGTTCTATTTTTAAGACATTGCTGTGAAAGTTGAAGGTTTTATCTTCTATCCTTCTTTTCATTCAAACTGAGGATACGACTAAAATGAAAATATGACTATTGAAGAAATTGCAATAAATAAAAATTTCAAACTTCAAAGTTTGCCTAAAGCTAATGCTGGCCATCTTATATTGTCACTCTACTAAGTTTGAGTTCCTGAATATATAGACCTTTGTGTGAGGCTCCTGGACATGAGAATTTGTTCTTGATCTGTTAGTAATATCAGTGTAAAAGTCCATAGTTTTTCTTTCTTCTTTTATCTCTTTTGTTTTGTTTCACACTACTAGCCTTAGCTTTGTGAAGTGATATTTTGTTATCCATTAACAATATGTAACAGCATTTGAGATTTTAATTTTGTGTCAAAATTCTCATTTGCAATTCTTTAGATAAATAAATGTATTGATATTTTATAAGTTATAAGTTATATGTACAGCTATTTAAAGTCACATGTATTCCCATATTACCTATCTTTCTGCTTTGAACAAGTAATAGAAGAGATCAGACTTTTTTCTTTTAACAATAAGGATGCAACCTTTTAACTTATTTTTTGATTTTGAATGACCAAGGAAATAAACCTTTTCCAGGGAATAGCTTTTGCCCTGGAATAATCTCATTTTTTCAGCTCTCAAAAACTACTAAGGAATGTTTTGTACATTGGTGTACTGATTTTTGAACAATATGTTTTTTTGGTAATCATACTAAGCAAGTGTTTTGCTTTTTTGATACCCATTTCCTAACTTAGTATTTCGTGAGTAATGGAACCCAAAAACCTAGGGACCTATGGCAGTTCTTGTCACATTATTACAGATGTAATAAATATCAGTTATTAATATTGCTGTTTCTCTTATCTAGAGCAAGTTTGAAACCAAAACAAAGCACGTTGTTACCCAACAACCAAAATACTTCCTTACAACCCTGATAGTCGTTGGATGTGTTTCTGGGATCATCCTTTCTGCAGTAGCTGTCTATCTTATCATGAAAAGGTATGTATCTTTATCATTAAAATGACTTTATATAGAGATATGTTGAGAGTATCATTCAGACTTGGACCTTAATCACAAGGTAGCCGTGTTGGAGCATTTGATTTTTCTGGCACTGCTTCACATTGAGCATGAAGTTAAGTGTAGTACGTAACTGAGAATAAACATGGCCCTGTGTGATAGAGGTCCATTGGTCAATAAAGATTCATAAACGCCATCATTATAGTAGTTCCAACATCTTGTTTAATCAAAACCATGGATGGTATTGATGATCCTCACAGGAACAAAGCACCATGCTTACTTATCACAGAAGACTTGTGAGACTGCAATAGTGTAGTAATCTAGAATGTTTTGCAAGTTGTACATCTTTAGTAGTACAAAACCCATACTTTAATTAACCCCAATCCTTTTTGATATGGGAGTACATGTACACCCTCACCCTCCTTCCTCTCCCTCTCCCTCTCCCTCTCCCCCACCAAAAGCACTATATATTTTCTATAATATCACAGACTTGTGTGATTAGAATAATATGTAATTGATCTAGAAAGGTTTTTAAGTCATATACTATAAAAATATTTTCTTTTCTAGGTACAATGAAACTAAAAAATTTAAACCAGTCACTTTACCTGGACAAGAAGCTGCTGCTGATTATCAGGTTTGTCATTATCAACGGGGAAACAAGGATAGTGTACATGTAGGAGTAGTGGCTCTTGATTTGAAGGTTTTTCTCCAGGTTCTCTAGTTTTCCGTCTTACACAAAACCTAACAATGCTAAATTCCAATGTGATTTGTCAGCCATGGCCTGACTTTAATCAGCCCAGTGGTTGTTTCAGGGTATCAATAAAGGTTTGAACAATAACAACAACAGATAAATATTGAGATGTTCTTATTTATAACATTTGCTATTATTTCTAGGAACTATGTCGACAGTTCAGGGCAACCCAAGGATGGGAAGCTCCAACAAAGGCTGGTGGACATACAGAAAAAGACAAGTCTCTGTTAGGCTCTGCCAAACCACCAGCATATTCTTGGTTAGTGTGACACTCAATTAGACTTACTGTGATCAATTAATCACAATATTATGCAAACTCAGTAGTTGCAAGCTGCTCTTTGCAATTTCTTTTTTCACTGCCATCAGTCAAAAATATAACTAGTTAGTTTTGATTGACAGCAGTGAAAAGCCAATTTCACAACAAGTGGTTAAAATATCTGAGTTCACAAAATATTGAAAATTGCAGTAATTTAATTTTCTCCATTGGTGATGGGGAAGACAGTTGGGGAAGGGTAATGGAGTCCTGAGGGAGACAGAAAAAGGAGGAGAGCCTGTAAAAAAACTACAGGGCCAGTTTAAACCTTTTGAACCACAGTTTCCTTACAGATGTATTATTGGAGCTCCTAGCAGTAATTTTGTTGTTATTTTAGGAGTGAAGAACCGGTTGTACCCAACATGGATATATCAACTGGACATGTAGTCTTGGTAGGTTTCTTTCTTTATTGTGTATTGTTATAACTGCACATATCTTTTTAATACCTTCAAAGCTGTAATTGTTTTAACATTTTAACTAATTTATTATAAAAATATAATTCAACAGGCATACATGGAGGATCATCTCAAAAACAAAGATAGATTGAACAAGGAATGGGAGGTAAGTTATCCATGCTAAGTATCAGTGGTGGATCCAGGGGAGGGGTGCAGGGGGTGCGCACCCCTCCCTGGTTCGACTTGGTGCCCCTACTTCAATGATTTAACCAATACAAAATTTGTTTTTTCCCTTTCATTCTAAGGGATGCACCCCTCCCTGGGTTAACTATGTGCACTGCGCCCCTCCCTGAACAAATTGCTGGATCCGTCCTCGAGTATCATTAACCCATAGATTATAAACTGATTTTCCTCAGGCATTGTGCACGTATGAAGCTGAACCTAATGCTACAGAACTGGGTAAACAGGATAAGAATGTGAGGAAAAACAGATACAGTGATGTTCTACCATGTAAGTTATTTGCAGTCATGATTTTGAATTAGATTACAGAGACTCTTATTTCTCAAATTATGGTATCATTTTTGAAATCTGAAAAGGATTATGGCAAGAAAGAAGTTATGATTTGAAAAGTATCAGGCCAGATTTCTGAAGCCAAATTGAAATCTTTGTTCATCTTGATAGAATCATATATTCAAAAATTGTGATGTAAAACTTGCCAATTTTGGCATATTTGAGGAATAAAGTTATAATTAAACAATAGAAGATAATACATTGGATGGATAGGAATTCTGTACAGTCTGATAGGTTTGTTTGGTGTCACCAATTTTATACCATGACAGTGCCACACGTTATGAATTGTCCATTCATAACAGCATCTAATCTAAGTCTTGTTTTCAAGCCATGCCTTTACCTTGACCTGACCTTTTGTCTATACAGATGACCATAACAGAGTGGTGCTAAGAGAGACTGCCAATGCATCTGGTTCAGACTATGTCAATGCCAGCTTTATTGTAAGTTCATCAATCTACCTCAGTCTTTCATTAAAGCTCTCATTCCATTTGTCTCATTTTCAATTCCTAATAAACATTGAAAATTTATCATAAATTTTGTCTTGATTGTTAATTATAGACTGACCATGATCCAAGAAACCCAGCCTACATTGCTACACAAGGTCCACTTGCCCACACAGTGTCTGATTTCTGGCAGGTACGTTTACACTTTAGTAGCATGGTAAATTCAGTGTTAATAATAATTAGTGTACCTAAATAGAATTCCTTGATGAATGCAGGAAGTCCTAATTCCTCACTCACTTGCTTTTCCCTCCTCTCCTCCATATACTTCCCTGCCACCATGTTGAAATGTACCTAAGGGTCGGACCATTAAATTCCAAATTATGTCCAAAAAAAATTCCTGCACAGCCATGAGGCATAAAAAAAATCTACACAAAATAAATTGTCCGACCCCCCCCCCCCCCAAAAATCTTTCTCTGAAACTTTTCTTATGCACAATTTTTTTTCCACTCTTTAAAGCTGTGCTTGAATTTTTTTGGGGGGGGGTTTTTGCTCAAACCCCCCCCCCCCCCCCCCCATCAAAAATCTAATAGTCCATCCCTAAATGGTAAAATTGAACTATGAATGGAAGAACCTTCCCATAAATGGAAGAGTTTCCCATTTTCTCTCACATTCTCATTTCCCTCCTCTTCTCTATATCAATACCTGACACCATGTTTTAATGTACCTAAACAATAACTTTTCCCCATGAATGTAAGAAGTTCCCCATAAATGGGAAAATGTCCCAGTTTTTTTCCTATTCCCATTTCCCCCTTCTATCCCCTCTCCTGGCACCCTGTTTTTCTGGGAAATCATCAACTTGTCTTGTCAGAGGATTCACATTGATTCTATATTCATTTTTGCAGATGGTTTGGGAACAAGGAGTAATCGTTATTGTCAATCTTACAAGACTCTCTGATCTAGGACTGGTAATTACATTTGATTTCAAAAATACTTTAATATTTCTTATAACTTGTAGTGCACACACACAATGTTTGTTTGTTTTCCTTTGTTTGTTGACATCTTTCAACCGCCAGCTCTCATATTTCAAGGTTTAGAAGTACATATTGAGATGAAAACTAGAAGATAGAGCGCGACGCTTCATTGTCAATCAGACACCATAATCAAGCGAGTGATCAAAATCTTGGTCAAAAACACAAACTGAATTGCAATAAATTAGCATATTGGTTTCCTATTCCCTAAAGATGGACTAATTAGTCCAATAGCTAGGGACATAAATATGTGATTTTGGGTTAAAGAAATCATATGTTATTACTTTAATATCTTTTCCTAGATAAACATATTTTAAAATTTTACTCATGGAAAGTATAAAAAAATCATGGTGTTTTGAGTACTTATACATTTTGGCCTGTTTTTCAATTTTTAGCCTCAGTGTCACAGATATTGGCCAGAAGAAGGCCATGAAACATACCATATATATGAGGTAAGCTTTGATGGCTATATATCATAAAATATTACCCTCATAATTAATTTAAAGCTGGAAGATTGCATGCTTCTTGTACCACGCGAGATCATGGTAACTTGGAAAATAATTATGTGTTTATACATGAGGTTTTTTTCGGTTTGAAGCATGATGTGTTGAAAAAAGTTTGACATTTCGTCTACGCTGTGGTAGTCTTCATAAGAGTTATGCATTTAGTACAAAAAGTTTCAAAAACATGAATTTTAAAAACCTAGCTTTTTATTAAATATTATCCTGTCATGAGATCTTGAGGATTTGAGTTATGGGTCAGTAATTTTGTAGACAAAGATGTATTCTAAAGCTACAAATCAATCATTAATGGAAATATATGTTCTGTTTTTTTTTTAGGTTCATCTAGTGTCAGAGCATATATGGTGTGATGACTACCTTGTTAGAAGCTTTTACCTGAAAAATTTACAGGTAAGTTTATTGAGTTGGAATATTGCCATCCTGTAGGTTTGTGTTACCTTGCTCCAGTCCTCAACAGTTATAATATTGGGAGAAAATCACATAGCAAGAACAAGTCATACAAGCTTATTTATCATACTCTGAGGTTCTGCAACACATTTATGCATATCAAATGCATTTTTATCCACTATTTTACCTTTGACAACCTTTTTATTGACTTTACCTTTGGCAAGCAAGGCCCTACGTGCCTCATGGCACGAGGAGGATAGGTAGCAGGTAACCTTTGGCAAGTGAAATATATCTCACAAACATCTGTTACCCAGACCTTTGCTAGCTAGGGTGAAGGCATTTAACTCATGAAATAAAAAATCCTAGTCAACATGTAATTGTCAAATAGACACAAAAGAAGACAATAGAATTAAGGTCTACTAAAGTGTGTTAGTCTAATGTCTATTTCACGGGTTTAATGACTTCACTCTAGTCATTCAACTTCTAATACTGATAAAGCTAGCAAGCTCAATTAGTGCAAGCTTAGATTCTGTCAGTATTTTACATCTGATATGACATGCTTTGATAGCAAGTTCTTTAACATTTTTAACGTTAATATGCCAAGGTTATTTTAGTACTTCTAGTTTCTACTGATAGTGCTGTGTGTGTGTTGAGCTAGAAAAGAAAACTTTAATACTTTGCCATTTCATAAGAATCTTACAATATTATAACCATTTTATTTTCAGACCAGTGAAACTCGAACAGTCACTCAATTCCACTTCCTCTCCTGGCCAGACCTTAATGTTCCCACAAGTCCCAAACCTTTGCTTGAGTTTAGAAGGTACTGTGATCTAGTATTAGTATAGGAAAAAAGAACTTTCAAAACATTACGAGTGTCTAATAATTCCAAATTATACGAGAAGACTGTGCAATTTTTTGTTTATAGTGCACTCAACAAAATTTCAGTAAAATATGCAAAGCAACGCCGTTCATCTTTGTCCATTTGCAGCCGATTTTCAGTCCATAGCACAACTGAAATGCATAAAAAAGATTAGTTCTTACAGCTTTAAAATTTTATTTATATGTTTAGAAATGAATAGAAAATAATTGTTTTGACATTGTTTTGGCCGTGTTGCCATAAGGACTTAATTCGTTACTCCTACGGAGTACAATTAAAGCTATAATTGTACTCCTATCGACCAATCAGAGTCGAGTAATTTTGTTGAGTGTACTATAATGGATAATATAATCAACCTCAAAAGTACCATTTGTCATTATTTTGTTCTATTTTGGTTGTCATTATCAGGAAGGTGAACAAGTGTTTCCGTGGCCGTTCATGCCCGATAGTGGTTCACTGTAGTGGTGGGGTAGGCAGAACAGGCTGCTACGTCCTTATCGATATGGTCCTCAACAAGATGATGAGAGGTATGCTTGTAAATATTCTATCTGAAAAGGTTGAAAACTCCAGTATATGTCATTGAACAATCACTTTCTATTGACATCTACCATACTGATGCCAGAATGCTCTTTTGAGGCCCTTGGTATGCTTACATTCTATCTGAAAAGCTTGAAAATTCCAGCTCATGTTCACAATCATTTTCTATTGACATCTAACACACTCCTGCCAGAATACTCTTTTGTAGCTCTTCGTATGCTTACATTTTACCTGAAAAGCTTGAAAACTGCAATGCATGTATATTTTCTAATGTCATCTACCTAACTGACCAATAGATACCAGAATATTTTTCTACCTATATCACCCTTGAACCTTTATTCCTTTAACCCATTCACCCATTTTTCTTCAACTCCTATCATGTATTGTATTGTGCTTTTAAAAATTGGTAATAAATTTCCTATTGCTTGGGTTAAGGTGCAAAGGAAATTGACATTGCTGCCACAGTAGAACATCTAAGGGACCAAAGACCTCATATGGTGAAAACAAAGGTAAATTAAGTTCGATTTGACTCATTTCTTAAATGTGATATGGTGTTTCCCTGCGTGACTTAGATTCTACTTATTCGAAGAAAATAATTTGTTAGCAGGGTGTGCAGAGCACCCTAAAAAATGGGGGGGGGGGGGGCCTAAGATCGGAAAATATATGAGACTAGTATGAGAAAAAGTGAGGATGGGCCTAAGATTGGAAAATATCAGAGTCGTATGGGAAAAAGGGAAAAAGTGTGGTGGCTGTAGTTGCCAGCCTCCCCCCACTCCCCCTTCCCCCTCCCCTTCCCCCTGCAGTCCCTGGTTAGGGATGACTTCAGGCTTGTTGTGTACATTCACTTAACTTCCACTTCCATATTCTTACGTTTTTTAGGCTCAGTTTGAGTTTGCCCTTACAGCAGTGGCAGAAGAAGTCAATGCAATTCTACAAGCATTGGCCAAATAAATATACTATCAGCGGCACTGCAAGCAGCAATTCCAAAGAAATTCTCATGTCATTTCCAATATCATCATATATATGGCACTATAATTTAAATTCAGGGAACTTTAAAAGTTTTATTTAGGTAATTTTAGAAGTCAAAAATGGGCAAATTTTCAGTATTCACATCCTTCGATACATCGGTTCACAAGTCAAACACAAAACATTAAATATAGGCTACAAGATGGTTTGAAAGAATTATCCAAATTTGAACCTTGGTTGAATGCTTCCTTTTTTAACCAGTGAACCGATGTATGGAAAGTGGTGAATTGAGAGTTTAAAAAGTAAGAACTGGGAAATCGTGTTGTGATTGTGTGTTTTAAAGAGTATTTGAGTTTAGTCCCTCAAATTGTTCATTAGGTCGAATATGTTAGCATTTAAACGGTTTGCTAATCTCTCAAAGAGAGGTAATTTTGAAATTTAGTTTGATAATAGTTTTCAAATTTGTACATTAGTTTCGTGGTATGTTTGCCAGTTTGAAATGGAGAAGGTAAATTTATCAATACGACTTGATGTCGTCTACAAAATACACAAATAATAGAATATTTATTTATAAAACCAAAATATTCTGACTTACCACCATTTTTTTTATAATTACGCGACAAACATAGCTCAAAACATTGGGGTTTTTGGCTTCAGTCAATCAAAGATCAGTCAGTCAAAGATCAGTCAATCAAATAATTACAACCTGAGACTGATGGAAATTTGGTTGACGCAAGCCACCCCCAGATGACTTGAATTAAGTGGGGTATTGCCTATTTACCAGCTACGGTTGCTATATGGAAAATATGAAAATATCTAAGATTTTAATCCTTTCCATAGCAATCGTACTTGGTAAATAGGTAAGACCCCCCTTAAAGCTGGTTGTCTTGGTCGTATATTTATAAAAGTGTTTTAAGTTAGAAAGGTAGATAATGGAAAATTTAGCTTGCATAGCTGGTTCTTACTTACTAGCTACCCAGGCTAAAGAAGTTGATCAGGTACTTTCTGGCCAAAGGTCTTTAGGCAGGATAACGTACGTTACATTAATAATATAATGTAACATCGGTCTTTAAAAGGGGTAAACTATAGTTCACTATATGGTCTATAGATACATCTTAGTCGGGGGCCGTGGAGCTGAAGCATGTTGGTTGGGGCCTAAAGCCCTGTCTTGATGTTTTGTTGACCACACCCTCCAAGGTCTCTGCATCTTAGGAAATCCATCGTTAATTTGGGTCTATCGGTCTTAAGTAGCTCATGTTCAAATATTACAATTACATTTGGGAATCATACATTTAGTCAATGTGTCAGGAATTTGGACCAAGTGCCTACTTTATTTACAGGCATCCAGCAAAAGTGTCAGTGTCCACTCAGGGATATTAATCTATATTTTTTGTGAGGAAAATTGAATTCATCAGTGTGTTTGTGGATATATTTTCGTCATTTACTTAACAGAAAACGTATTTAGGGGAATACCACAGATAAAAGAGTCGGGAATTATTCAAGAGAATATGCAGATATATTTACAGCTATTCTATCACGTTCATGCCTTTTATTTCAACGCAGCTGTAATTATTTTTGTATTTTAAATTAATTTTACAGCATACAAATCCTAGACTCAATGGAGTCCTTGTTTATCTATTTCAACAAAGGGTCTCAAATTCAGGTTAAACTGAGTTCATTATGATATAAAAACAATCGAAATTTCTTTCACGGTCTCTATGTAAAATTCACTAGAACGGGAGTGCTTAACTGAATGAATAAAACAATAATAATTGGGGATATTTGTTTGTTTATAGTGCAGGTGTTCTCTATTCTAGAATAACATGCTATTGCTTGGGGAATTTTCATTATTTAGTTGGATTATAAGTGGGTTGGCCTAGGTCTCTACTCAGTCACTATACAAGTGAACCCTCAAATAGGCCCGGTTCAGACGTCGATCTTTTGCCGCGTCGAATCTAATTATTTGCATTAGTTAGTGCATGAGAAGAGCGACGTTTGAATCAATTGAGATCGACAGATTTAATTAAGGTCGACAAAGAATTAAAGTCGACTGCTCGAGTCGTGCGAAACGGCAAAAGATCGGCGTTGATTCAAACGTCGATCTTTTGTCTAGTCGAATCTAATGCATAAATTAAAAAGACTCAAGATTTCAGCGGTTTTTGGTTTTTGGTTTTTGGTTTTTGTCAATTGCGACCGGCAACATTAAAATCGACGTTTGAAACGGACGTCGAATATTAATGAATTTAACCGGGCGTTATGCATGGCAAATGCATTGACCATCGTTTTCGTCATGTGGAATTTTAAGAGATGTTCATTAATGTTAGCTATCGCCAAGAGAGCATTAATGCTTTAACATAGATTTCAATTTGATAATGTTTTTGTTACGGATCTTAGAACTATACTCATCTGGACTGTTGGAAGCTTTCAGCTATTGCTGTGTTTATAGTTTATCTTCCTGGAATCCTTGATCAGGATGTCCTGGGTCAATCAGATCCCTGCCCAACTACAAAAGCGGATAGTAAACCATCCGAGTGCAATCATGGAAAAGCAATGATTATTCGCAAATTTGATAATTTAGTCAATATAGATTCTAGAGAAAAAATACAATAAGAGTATAAAGCAAGCACAAGCATTCCTAACCTCTTGCAAACGCTCTTATAGTATGTATTTTAGCATAGCCTCAAAAAAACTGAACCCTCTCAATTGCAAACAGGGCAATTTGGATGTTTTGTCAGCCAAGTATAAATGAGCTCAAAAGTTTTTAAACTAAAACAATATCTCGGCAGAAAAAGACCTCTTTGTTAAAATTAAAAAAAAAAGAAAAACAAAAACAATTGCTTTACTTATTCATACTATTAAGAATGATAATTTTGAAAGTGGGGGTCGGGAAGGGGGCGATCGATCATCATGCGGGCTTTGTTATGGCGGGAAATTTTTGGCGGGATTTGACGCGGCCGCGCCTACTCGAAGTACATGAAGTCGATCCAAGCGTAATAGTCTGTCCGTCATTATCCTCTTGTATCTTCGCTTTTTTGCTTCTTTTCTTCATTCACTTGAACGTTTTAGATCTCAATACAACAAGCTACAAGCATCACGACATTTCCAGGAGAAAACTATAGCGTTCGGGCATAATAATATGGAGTGAAATGATGTTTTCTTCCAGTTCTTAGTTAGAGAGACTAAACATAAGCCAAATCTTGATTTGGTAAGTTAACGTTTAAAATTAGTTAAGCTTAATTGCTGTTATAGTTTTTCGACAATTTATTCAGGTGTTCCTATCATAAGCAAATCGTCTTAACTTTTTTGGTTACCAATTTAGGTCATTTTTTGTCTTTTTTGCCTTAAAAATCTCAGTGGTAAGCTATTCAATTTCAGCTTTAAGCTTTAGAACTGAACATGTTTAATCATTTATTTGTTAAATTGTAGTCCAAAACCAACATGTCAAAGTTCGATGAGAAGTTTAGAGGGTCTTTTGACGTTTCAAAAAATAACCAGGAAAGCGTTGCAAGTCAGTCAAGAAATCTAAAGCGCAGTCAAGATGAACTAAGCCTCTCTAGCTCTAGCGGTAGTGAAGTGCTGCAGCAATCCCAAACGCAGGACATAGCGAAAAAACCCAAACAAATGCAAGAATCTTGTGGTGTAAGTATAAACATAAAGTACATTCGATAGATTTTGGAAATAATATTGGCCATTTATCTGATGCACAGCACTTTTTGGAAAACTGCCTGAAAATGAAGTTCTTGTTTTGGTAAAAGCTGAGTAAAGGTATTATTTGTCTTGATACCTAAGTTTATTGTTGATACTAGTTCTATTAGTTAGCCACTTTAAAACCATGCGTCTTATCTAATATTTTTGTATTGACAGGAAATATGTGTTGGTTCTGAAGAGAAAAGTCCACCAGTGGTGGCAAAGTGCCACCAAAACAATCCAGGTAGCGATAATAATAATAATAGAAACATATGCATAGGGGGCTTCGTGGTTGACCCAAGAGGAGTTCCAGGTGGGTTAGGATCCTGTGGTAGGACACTGTGTGCTTTCATAAAAAATTATAGTATGGAGCACATCCCGCCACCTTTCCAAGTTCAGAATTTTTTTTGGACCCCATTACTTGATAAATTCTCTTAGGCATGCAGACATTCTTGAATAACATGTAGGTGTGTGAAAATGAGATCGAATCGCAGATTCAAAAACCACGAAAATCACAACAATTCATTGCTTATATTATTCCGAAACTGGATAGTCAAGTCCTTATCATTTTTTCCCCTTATCACTCAAGATTGCAAAATAAGTGTCAGGTGTCTATATGTCTCATATATACTTATATGCCGTCCGTCTCGCCTTTAGGTTTCAAAGGTCCTGAAATGAAAGGACCAAATCTACAAGCAGAAGGCGCTAGACTTGAAACTGTTCTTCGAGGTTTGTTTGATTTCAGTGGTTTATTTCTCTCTTATTTTTATTGACTTCAGCAACTAAGTAGAAATTCATGAGGGGTTCAGTAGTCCGCGTTTGCAGTCCGTAAGAAAGAAGGAGCAAAAGGCGTTTGGGGTGGGGATCAAATACTGATGCTCCTCTTTCCTAGAAAAAAGAAGTTATTGTAGAATACTCAATAGAATTCGTTCCTTGGTTGGACTAATCATATTTAACGATAGCTATGTTTTTTGAATTTACAATGTACAGACATCGGACAGGAAACGAAGATGCTTTTCTTAAAGTGGAGCCATCCATTTTCGTAAGGAAACCTATTGCTAAACATTTTTTCGTTGAACTTCATTGCTTTAAAAATGATAAAGATTCATCCCTTTCATTGATCTAAAAAAGATTTATGTTCCTTAGGGAAAGCGAAGCATTTGAAGCATTTTGCCCATCGAGATTAGACGAACTTCTCAGTGAAGCAAATCAGCTGGAATTGCACTTGAAGAAGCAAAAAGAACAACTGAAAAACAGACTCAGTGACCTCTCGAAAACTCTTAAATTGCAAATGAAATGATAAGTTGTTCTCCGTCAATTTGTCAGTATTGCCTTGTATCTGTTGTTCAAATATCTTTTAAGAAGGAACGTTCTTAGTATCAATTCTAAGTTTTCTATTTGTAAAGCCGTCAAAACCTGTCATCATTTTTACCATTCATTTTCAGTCGATTCCAATTTCATTTGCATATTACCTTGGTTTATCTTATTTAGTGTTAACGTTTGTTTGCATAGAGCGGCCGTATTAAAGATCTTATTATTTGTGAACAAACAACTTCAATTACCTTATTCAATGCGTTTTCAAGTCAAATCTTTATCGTAAATGGCGGACACAGTCATAGCTTCGTGGAAGCACTTTTAAGTTTGGGGCCATAGTTGTCGGCTTAAGAACAAGAGACACTCGGGTCAGATTTCGGTAAATGGACTTTGAAAACCATGCATTGATCTGTAAAAATGTTTATTTAGTTTTTAACTGCGAGAGATAAACTATTCTCAAGGTATCAGTTTGGCTCAGTCTAAGGCAGTCCTAACTCGGTTGTGAGTTTCACTGATTCCTTTGGATTTGGAAACTTGGGAATTTCTCTTGCACACACCCTAATCTATTAGGCAAACTGGGAAGAAATCCGGTTGAAACTACCATTTTGTTTTGGTATTTTCTCACATACATACGTACATTAATTTTAATCTTATATGTAAGTAACCAGACGCCCCCTTATACAATGATTTACATAGAGTATTTCAAGAATCATCATAAATCATGTTCCAAAGGACAAACATAAGGGTACTTGAATCTTACCGGAACCTTGTCAAGCCGCATTGGCTAACGTTCGCTCGTAAAGCTTTATTGTGTGTATTCAATCTTTTTATACCAGGTCTTTATGACTTGTGAATAGCAAATTTAGGTATATAGGGAAACTGAAAAAGAATCTAAGTAAGAAGTGCAACATTGCAAGGCACCGGGTTAAGGTAAAGAGATAGTGCTAGACCCAAAGTTGACATGTTTTCATTTTAGCAGATAAGAGTTCCCCTATAGAATCTAATATAACCTTTCATCTCTGATTTCGTGATTTTGATCTTTATCCGTGAATTTCTCCTTTTCTCTAATTTTTTAATTACTAAAATGGTATCCTTTACTTTTTCACGAATATTATTCTCTCTCTACTAATCAAACAATATTCAGTTTTTAACTAAAATTTCCCCTAAGATGATGTCACGAATCCTAGTGGTCGTAATTCAAACTCAAAGTATCACTTTTCATGGTTTTTACTTCAGATGCACAATCAATACATTTTTTGATATAAATTTTCCGTTCCTAAATCGACATTTGTTATATATTGTGTATTAATGTTTAATGACTTCCATTACACTTATGACTGACTACAATTGACCTTCCATCACCCATCAACTAAGAAAAAACGTTATGGCTATCAAATACTGACGAATCATGACAATCATGATGAATGAGAACCGAAACATAATCATTATTTGTCGAGTAGTTTCTTGAGCACTATAATGGTGACTATTGGTTCTCAATAGGCGTCTCCTTAGTTACAGCGTTATTGCTATATTGTAACTGAGAAACAGACTAGAAAAAACTCACGTACATAGACGTGATGCAATTCGTGTCAAGTTTTGAATCATCATACAATCACATATATATACTCAGTCCTATATTAGCAAACGAAGAATTGATTTTATTATATGCAGTAATACTGTTTCTTCTCAGTCTATATTTAACTAAAATTTCGCATATTTTTTGAATCTTCACTAATTAATAAAAACTACTAAAGACTTAATGGCTATTAAGTACGAAGAGGAAGCTGAGTGACAGTTCAGATTAGCCAACGCTACACAAAACATGGGTACTATAAAAGTTGCAAATTTAAAAGAAATGTCAAATATAACTATGGAAACTGAATGAAAACAAACGAGGGCAAAATACTAAAATGTTTTGCATTTCATTTCAAGGAGCAAACCAAACGTTGTTCTGCTATGTTCTGCTATCATTATGAATTCGCAAATTCAAGTATTACCGATTGTTTTAAATAAGATCAGACAGTAAATGGACAGTCGACGGGCAAGTGTTTTCGGACTTTGACGTTCAAAGTCTCTGGACCCCACAAAGTCTTCTTTTAAACCATTATTCAACGAATCTTAAAAATGTTATATGTAAATGTTTAAGCTGCAAACATATATAGAAAGCAACAGTGAGAATAATAGTAGTCACAGTTATCCAAACGTCAACGCTCGGCCGGCGATGGAAGCAGCGACTGCTCTCTTATCATAAGGTATGGACTCTATATAGGCGTTTTGATTAGAAGAGGACTTCATCCTTATCGGATACAAACTACCTACGCGTTAACCAGTTCACTGCAGGACATGAAATTTAACAAGGGCAAAAACATTTGAAAATTTTAACCGTAGCGTGAGTATCATTTTAATTAGGCTTAACCAGATTCACAAACTGAAGGACATATTTTTCCCTCACTACCCTCCTAGATTTGCCTCTGATTTAACACCGTAGAGTCTACGCTTATCTGCTCTCAAATGAAAGACAATAGACCAGATGTTGAACATCCCATTTCAGTTGATTCTAATCTTTACACTGATCAGGTAAATCATATATGAGCCTTACATTTGTAAATGTAACTAGGTGGGTCTTTCCTGTTGTGGTTTGGGTTAGTTTTAGGGGGACATCGAAAAAGGCCATGGACACCCCTGCATTGTCAGACAGACATATTGAATGTGTTTTCAGTCTTTGAAATCCATTTTACTTTCCGCCCAAAACAGGAAATACTAAGAAAATCAGAGCCTATTACATCAAGATCATTGTCGTCGAGACGCCTACCTACAATGTTTCGGAAATGTGAAACATAACTGTACTGAGAAGGGAATCGCCGTAAAAAATATATTAATGGTGATAAAATAGATCAAGCGAAAAAAACCTTGGTTTTTTTTAATGGATGGAAAAATGCGTGATTGCCATATTTTCTGTATGGTACTCGATTTTCCTTAAAGGTTGCGTAACACACCTACTTGTCAGTCGTTAAACTCATTTACACGTACAACAAATTTCTAGCGATACATTAAATGTTCGCGTTGTCAAGGACGCAACTGCCCTCCTTCAGGATATTTACGTGCGATATATATACTTCATATCAGGCCCACTTAGGTTTAGCACGTTGCAAAGCTGTAGAAAGAAATCAGGGCCCCAGCATATCATTCATACCATTAGTATTTGAGTGGGTTTTGCTCCATCTGCGGCAATTTTGATTTAATCAGTACTTAACAGCGAAGCTAGATAGCTTTATGGTGGAAAAAATGTTAGCTATAATTAAGATGCTTTCGAGTGGCGCATTACGAAATTGATTTTTTTAGCGTACACATCATCCTTTAAATTTTTAGTGAGTAATCCCGTGCATCAAAGTTTCAGTGCATGACGGGAAGAAAGAGGGGAATAACGACGAACAAGCAACTTCGGTTTTAATCATATTTAATTCCTACATGCAATCAGATTTGCTATATTTGCTGTGGTGTTAGTTCGAATTTTACTAAATCAACTTAGTTTACTAGCCTAGTAAACAATTTTTCATTCTGACCTTGGGAATAGTGCCTGGCATGAAGAAATGAAAGCGAGAACGTCTCATAACTTGGAGGGGGTTTCACGACAAATAGATTACAGTACTACACTCAATAAATGACGAAAATGCATTTTAACTTTTAACTTTAGGTCAAAACTTCAACTAAAGGAAGAACTCTGATTGGACGACGAAGACGTTTTCAGAAACTAATACCACCATGAAAGATAAGGTTTACCTCCCACACTCCGAGTGAGAAGGAAACCACTTTAACATTGCGAAACGAAAGGGTATTTGCGGGGCTTTATCTGTCAACTTTAGCTAGAATTTTCGCTTTTTGTGTCACTTTAGTACACACTCCGTTACAATTGTAATTGCAACTATGTACATTATGTACCAACTTTTTCAAATGATAATATTATACAAAACATTTTTCAAAGCCCGCCGTCATTTTCCTTCACATGTTGTTCGTGCCTGACCGAATTGTTTACATAAAGTCGATAAAATACATACTTTGCTGGAAATACCTTTATAACTGATAATATTTTTAATTTTTGCTCCTATGAGCTAACAAACACGTCATGTTACCATTGACGTCGATTGACGTCACCACCTTTGCGCCTTTAAAACTAGACTTGCGTATAAAAATATAAATTATGATTTGATGATGTTCAACGAAATATCATTTAGATAAACCTCAACCTCCGTGTTGAGGAGTATGAGTCTTTTACGCTTTTGCATCACTAAATACTCGTGTTTTCCTTTCTTTTTTGACTGAATTCATTATACAAATGTTTTTTTGGTGCTGTTTTTGAAGAACGATTCTAAATATAGCGTGAATAAATTGAATGGCTTATTTGCAAGGGTCGCTTCAGCGTAGGTTTGCCTTCGAGGTGTTCGTGATTGGCCAAAGGCTAGTCATGTGATCAAATCCCTTCCGAACTTTATGTTGTGCTCAAGACGCTGGTTTGTCATCTCCGTTGTGTTTTTATATCAGGTCTTGCCGTTCAAGGGAAAAACACTGCCATCTTAGAGCTTTATCAGGTACACTAGAAACATCACTAGCTCGTTACTTGGTTATTAATGCGAGTTGCTTCAAACATTTGTCTAAATAGACTGTTTGAGTTGAAATTTTTATTCATGTCATCAGTACAGTAGTCACTGCCGAATGAACCAAATCGAGCCGATTGACCGTATTGGTTATATTCTTCTTGTGTTATCGTCCATTTTGGTCGATGATGGATCCCTTTACTTCGTTTCATATTATTCGTTTTGTAATCGTGGTTTGTTTTTCTCTTTTCAGGATTGGAGATATCCATCCGTGAGCCGCAGTAGGCTTGGGAACATTCGAAGTTCGCTATATTTTTTCCGAAGAACTCGAGCGCTTCCACTCAACTGCAATGTGATGCTCAGTCATACATCTAATGGATGCTGGTGATTCAGGTAGGAATAAAGTTTTTTCCTCGTTCCTAACAATCTGTAGCTCGTATTTCGTGATAAGAGTTCCATTATGAGCAATCTGGGCGGGTGGTAGTTTATACTAATACAAACCGGCCATCGTATTTTTAGCAGTTACCGAGGTTTGTCTGACAAGACACCGCGAGCCCGGTCCAAACTGAACTTATCTCAGTTCGGATGTGGTTTGATTGCTACACTATGGCTGTCGTAACAGCCACAGTTAGAGTGCGGCAGGTCAGATTGACTGCGATTTTTCCCCAAATATCGAACACAAACGGGGGAGAATGCTCAAAGAAAACGCGGAGTTTGTAATGGTCGTACTCTTTGAAATTAGAACACCGATCAAGGCCAATACATAACATAATACCAAGCTTGTCAATTCAGTTTCTAGTGTATGTATTGCCTTTTGCTTTAGCGCTATTCTTTAACTTTTATCCTCGTGGCCAGCAATGTGGCATTTCTGATTCTAAATCAAGAATAGGCACGAAATCTTCAGATGCGAATCACCAGTCAAATCAGGCCAGGAATTTTCTTCTGTGACTCTCATCTGGGGATTTCGTGCTCTTCCTTCATTTAAGTCAAATCATCCATAATCCATCTATATATAAAAACGCAAAGGGCTAAAGATAGCACTATCGTGCATATTTAAACCATGAAACTGCAATGGTATTGTTGTCACATTTTGATAAAAATACTCGCGGTTCAGTACATAGGTCAGGATTAGCATAAGTTATATCAGAAGTGACTTTACCCGAAAACATGAGGGAAAAACATGGCTGCTGTATACATGTAACAAAACCAATTACAGACTGCAGTGTTCGTGATCGAGTGTTTTTCCAGCTTATATTCTATTTTTGTAAAGTAATCCTAGCAACGATATTCAAATAAGATTTATTTTTCTTCGAAACCATTTCGTTAGCAAACTACAATTGCTTGTCTTCTACAAACTGGTAACACAAATATATGCTGTTGTTCTATCCATTTCCCTTCTCGGAACACTTAGTTGATTGCTGTTGAGCGTCAGTGATCCAATGCACTACAAAATATATCCGTTCCTGACGTCACATCCAGTGTTGTTTATCCAAGTAGAAGCATACTTCTTCAAATTTGTGTCGAACGGTGGATCCTAATATGAGAGCAATACGTACAATAATGTACAATGTATCAACTGATTGCAAATAAAAGTCGAATAAAAGCTCCATTGCAATAACTTTAGGTCTATATTATATTGTAATACGATGTTTGTTTGAAAGTATTTGATATTTCATTTTAATGGTTTGTGATTGAGGTAGTTGTTAGGATTCACACCATCATCATGAGGTGTTAGATTTTAACATAAGAGACAATTCTCTGATATTGTTTGCTTTGTGTAAAATACATGGTTTCCAAACTTATTAAAATGGCACTTTCACCTTGCATTTCTTTTGGACATCCCCAAACCACTGTCAAGGATCTTTCCTAAGCAAATGTTGTAAATATTGAAGCAGTGCATTAGAAAGAACCAAACACTTTGTACTTGTTACTAAAAATAGATTATTGACTTAGGAGAGAAAAAGATTATACACATTAATTTAAGTAACGAAATGTTTCAGCTTTACATTACAAACAATCCTAAAAAGCAAAAAGAAATAACAACGGTATTTAGCTGCTTTTATAGGTAAAGCTGCTTAGTTTAGGGATGATCCCTTCAAACTCTCTGGTTGAATGTTGGTTATATATACATTATATCCTGCCTCTCGTTAAGGAATTTATCTTGAAAGATGTACATTAGTTTGAAAAATTGGTTTGGGTTGCATGAGTAGTAGTTGATACAGGTATTGTGTTCGCTGGCATTATGTTATTAAAAAGTAATTAGACTGCTCTTTGTCTCTCATTGAATGAAAATTTGTGTTTATCATATGATAAGAATATTCTTTTTAGAGCATTAATGTGATGTAAACAGAGTGGGTTTATTGTGTCTTCTTAGTTGGTGTGATATAATCTTATGTGGGATGGTAATATATATATTAAAAACAGGGCTATCAAGGACTAATATATTAGATTCAAGGTTATATACTGGGTTTTCATTAAGTTTTGAAATAACAGGAGATGAGCATGAACTGCCAGAGAGTCCTAAGGGACCAAAAGAACATTTTACAAATTACTAAGTAATTAATGGTAGTTTAAGCAGGAGAATTTTGCTCAGTTATCAGAGCGTTGTCCAATCCCCAACCCTAAATGAATACCCTAGCATGTCCATTAAGAAAGTACTTTTTTCCTTCAAACATTGCATATACTTTGCTTGCTTCGCTCGCAATAGAGGGATACACATTCCCTAAAATAGTTATAGTCTTATGTAATATTTTAGAATACTCTAACATTTTAATAGCTGTATTTTGATCATATAAATAGTTAATAGTCGCATAAATAATAGTTATTTTGTAGACTGGGTAGGTAATTGCAGTAAATGAAATAACTAGTTTTATATAGGTTCCAGCCATAAGATTTATTTATAAATTCAAAGATTTTTGAAAATTTTAAGCTTTTTGAACTCTTCAGCCAGCTGCTGTTAGAGCCTGTAGCCATATTTTCATTCGTTTATGAACATTACTTTATAAAGCTAACTTGAAAAAATTAGAAAATATTGAACTGCAGCTCCTTTAAGGGTATTATATGTTTGACCTTTTTCCTTGTCTTTGATCTCCTGCTTTAAGCTTGATCCAAATATTTGGACCCAACATGTTTATTATGTTGTCAGAATGTACATAGTCATTGTCTATGTAAACAAATTTGTATTATATTCTAACCTTACTTTTGACTTATACTCTAGTAATCTCATTCTGTTGTAGGTAATTCTATCTGATCATTATGAGATGACTAGATAGCTACTCAGTCCTGCCATTATGATGATACATTGTTATTACTATGTAGTTCTTATCTAATAGACTGTGTGATACTGGGCACCCTAACACATTCTTATGCATTTATTAATGTAAATTATGATATCTTGTCTTAAAGAATTTGACTAGACATAGAACTACATGTCACTTTATAGACACTTTCTTGTCATATCAAATGTCTGGTTCTGATATCTATATCTAGACATATCCTTCAGTGGGTACCCTTCAGTGATATACTACACAGTAAATAGAAAGGTATTTCTTATGTAACGTTATTGATGTTTGCAGTCTAGAATTGTTTGCCATATAGGCAAAAAATTAATATCTACTTAATGATTTATATCATCAGACTTTGTTGATACACCTTTTGACTTTTTAAAATATCTCCTTTTTCCAAGTCCCTTATTATTTGTTTTTGTTTAGTCTAATTTTTCTTTTGATAATAATTCACAGTCTAGGTTATTGCTTATCCTACATAAAAAGGTTTCCAGCTGTAACTTTGTTATTTTCAAATTATTATTAATTTCCAGACTATTTAAGTGAAAAAGCCCTTTGAGTGGTTAGTAATTATGTATTGAAAGTAGAATTTTTTTTTTACAGTAATAATCTTGCATTTTGTTTAAACATGAAATTCATATTTTTTAAAATCATTTAATGATAAATAACTCTTTGGAAAAAAAAATTTAAAGTATAAAGGCATTGTATTTATTTTCTTGCAAATACAAAAGTAGATATCAATTATTAAGAATATTGAAGATTTCTTAATAATATTTTGTAAAATGGAGATCTGTACCTTCCAAACACTTATGAATGCAAATTCAGTGATAAGATGAAAGCTGTGATTACCTAAAAAGGTAAAAGGTGAAGTGGCAAGCTTATTAATGTCAGTAATTACTTTTGCCAAAGTTCAGTTCTGTCAGTAGAAGCTGATAGTATTCCATGTCTCCCAGTACCCACTTCTTTATAAGTGCTGCTTCAAAAGACCAGCACTAATGAGATGGAGTTTTTTCATGAGGGTGGTATGAACAAATCCTTATTTTGATTGCTCTTGGTCTTGTCTTATTTTGTGTAATTTTTACATTCAATGAAAATTACTTGTAGACTAGCTTGTCGGGTATCTAACAGCATTGGGTCAGACCAAACTTCCGAAGACAGGTCATTGACTTTTGAATATGTTATGAAAGAAGTGTCTGAATGCACCTGCAGTCTGTGTCGGACCTTGGTCTTGTACCTCTACACACCTCTACTATTTATGCTAGAATGACAAAGCTAAGAAAAATTATCTCTGCATTTGACAGTAAGGCACTTTCAGACATTTTTTCACTTCAGGTTTGATTCAGCACTAATTAAAAAGGAACTTTTTCAAAGAAAAATACCATACTTACTATAATTGTTTATACCTTTTATAGCAATTTTTATGTAATTTATCATTTATATAATTTTGTACTTATTTTATCATTTATTTTATAAATTTTTTCCAGTCAAGACTTGATTTTTAAGTCTAATTTGTTTAAGATCTTAAAACACATTGGTAATGATTCTGTCAGTTAGAAAGAATAGCTTTCGCTTTTTTAATTCCTGTAATGGTAACTCTCTAGTTGAAAGGATTGAGAGTAAACACACATCTCATTATCAATACTTGGCTTAATTTTCCAAACTAAGTTTTGAATATGAGTAAAATTCCGTGTTGTTTTTTCCTGTTTTCTTAATTCCTCTCCAGAAATCAGCTTCTAGACTCCAATGGATTAGTGTCATAAACTTTATTATCATGTGCGTCTTTCTTGTATATCACAGTAGTACAGCTAATTGGGATACTGTTCCAAGAATTAGAGCTAGGGTACTATTTGAATCCATTAAGTCCTCATTATCAATTTGAATTCTTTATATTTAAGAGACTTTAGTATACAGCTTGCTTTAGTATAAGATGTTACACACATAGTTACTAAAAATTTATTTAATGCATAGTAATTTAATAAGTAAATAGAGTTTAAACAAATTTCTTACCACTGTTTTCATTGTTACTTGCTGATTGAGATAAAAGTTACGACTGGGAATTCAGTTAATAGACTACTGTCAATCAAATAAATTGTTCAGTACCTTTACATACTCTGATTGACAGCAGTGTTACCTGATTTCCCTGTTAGGACTGTTGTCTTGATCTGTGTGCAGTTATTAAAACAGTGGAAACATAAAATGTTCAATTGGATGAATTTATCATATGGTTTATAATTTGCAATGGTTTGCCTGAATTTAATTTTGAAAACCATTTTCTCGTCAAGATGCAAGTAAATAAAATGTACATTTAGTTGTAAGTATTAATCTTTTGCTTTGTAATCAAATTTTATTTTATTTTCTATTCCACTCCAAATTTGAATATAAAAGGGAAAAATTCTTTAAAACCAGTCATGACTGTCATTTATATGCCTGGAGACATAATTAAATTTTTTAAACCATATGAAATAAGACATTATTGAGAAATGATTACACTTATTCATATATTAAACCTTAAAATGTCAAGGTCATCATGAAAAAGGAGAAATAGCATTCTATTTATAACTCTAATGAATATTTATTTTCTATTATTTATGTCTTCCTGCTGAGTAATATAACTTAAAGAAGGCAATATTTATACCTGAATTAGTGAAATGTTCAATCTATTATCAAATTGGGACTCAGTATTGTTGCAGATTATTGTGAGAGAAAAAAACATATGAATAATTAGGACTGAATAATTATAGTTTAAACATTCTCATTCCATGAAATATTATTAATTCCACCCTAGCATTAATCCTTTTAGTCTGGAAATTCATATGTTTATTGTGTAGTTCCAAAAATTATCCATACCCCCCTCACAGAGGAATTTTTAAAGACACCCCCCTACTCCCCGGAAATTCCAATTTTCTTCCATACAAACTCTGTAATTTTGTTCTTCCTCTGACACCCCTACTCTTCGGAAATTCCAAATTCCTCTGTGGGGTGGGTATGGATGATTTCTGGAACTACACATTTTAAATTAAAGTGCATGTGACATGAAAAATGTTTTAGCTGATTTCGATTCCTTTATATTATATACATGTAGTAATTAACTCGCAAAAGAAATTATAATATTGCCCAAACTTTAAATCTCAAAATCGCTTGGAAGAAAGGTACAATTTTGTTCTATGAATCATTTTTTCACAAGTAAGTAAATTGCTTTAATCAAACATTAGCCATCTGTGGTGTTCTAAAAAATGTATATTAAGTGGCAGTAATTCAGTGTTAGAGCTAAAGAGTGAAAAGGTAACATAGTTACAGTCAAGTTTAAATATTATATTGAGAAAAATACAAAGAATTTTATCAATTAACTTAAACTAATCCTAAAGAAAGAAACTAGAAAATGTTTTTCTTGTTGTTTTAAATGGTAAGAATTTTTAAGAAAAATTATAAGGCAATTATATATTTTACCAATTTCTGAAATTTTCAATAATATTTTGGTTGAGCTATATTGCTATTATAATTATTATTCCTTACAAAAGAATGATGTATTAATGTACATTATCTTGATTTGTTGGATGTCACCCAACCTTATTTCCTCCTTATTTTTTTGGATTATTACTGTCTAGTGAACATCATTATTACAGGAAAATTAAAGTATGTCTGCAATGGAGAGTGAAATTTACAAGACCTTTGTTGTATGTCTTATATTTCATAATTAATTTTAGAAACAGAAAATGTTGTGATTTTGATGTGAAAATAGAATATAAATATTAAGTGTAAAATCCATAACGTGTTCAGTTGTAAGCAATCTAATCATCTTTTAATTCTTCACTGTAAAGTGCATTACCCTACAAGGCCAGATCTTAAGGGATAGATTAGGGGGCTAGCAAATCCCTCTGTGGAGTAAAAATAATTAATAAAGATCGAATAAGTTAATATATACTAAAAATATATATCAATCATAACTACTCCATTAAGTGCATCACCCTTATGAGGGGAGATTTAAATGGTATTTATCATTGCCACGCTCTTTGGAGTTTAAAAACCATAAGACTAAAGTAATAATATACAAATTACTATATTACTGTACATTGAGTGCATCTACAATTACCAGGGCAGATCCAGGATGGTCAATAATAAGGTGACTAACCACCCTCTTTAGAGTTTAAAAATGATAAAAAATCATAAAGAATAAGGTAAAATCTGAAGAGGCCACTAGAAGTGTGATGTCGGCCATTAATGACTTCCAGGTTCAAAATGAAAAGTAGTTTTTTAAGATTTTTCTTTTTTTGTTCATGACCTCAGTACGCATGGAAATATGTCACAATTTAACAGCGTTATATGATAAATTTCTAGGTGACAGTCACCCCCCTTGAAATCATATTGCATATATAAACCAGCCTTATGCTGTTTATTAAGAAATTATACCCCAATAATAACTATGCAATCTTATCTCACTTAATACTATATTGATATAAGATTGATGTTTGCTGTATTTAAACTTGACAGCACTGTTAAAATATTCATGTCAATGGCAGCATGACATCTTTTAAGTGAATAGTTATTTTACTTAGGGTTATAGCCTTTGTATTCTTTGAGTTTCGTTTCGTGCTAGAGACTTACAGTGCGCTATCTGAAGATATTATTACAGTATCTGTGAAATATAATCCAACAGTATGACAAGGTATATTTATTGTACATTACAGAGAGTGTGCATTAACTGTATATCTTAAAGTTGAGATATCATGTCATGCTTTAAATGATTATTTTGATGTCAGTTCTTTATCATCATATTGAAATAGTCAATCAATATGAAATTCTTCTTTATAACAAACCATTAGCTTGAACAAACACCCCAATTTTTGTTTTATTTAGAGTTCCAAAAAGCTTTTTAGTTGTGTATTGATGCATAGAATCACTTTGTTTGGTAAATATTTATTTATTTCTGGGAAAATTATAAGGAAAATTAACTTCAAGTAAATAATCAGATAATTATTCTTATAGAAACTTTGACCTAAGCTTTTTGCTATACATTGTTTAATATAGATTCTAATTTGTAAGGTTGGATATAGTTACTGATATAGTTATTAGATATAGTTACTGATAATGATCTGATGATAGTGTATTACATTATATGTGTTTTTGATGTCCTTACTCCTATACTCTTGTAGCTTTTTTATACTCTTGTGGGTATTTATTACTTCTAGAAGAAAAACAGAATTATAAAAGCATCAGCAGCGGCAATACATACAGCTCATTTAGAGTATTATTCTGTATTATTCAGACCTTATTGGGAATCATGTATAAGGTATTTTCCTATTTTTGTAGGTAATAGGACTAAAAAAATTCCAAGGACTGACAAAATTGGAAGAGGCTGATAGGCCAAGTACAATTTGGCAGTCAGAGGAACTTTTCTGAATTCAATTATTTCAAAATTGGACAGACATGTAGTCCTATTGCATATTGATTATATCATCCCAAACCATACTAGACTAGACTATACTAGACTAGACTGATTCTATAAGACATAGTTTTCCCTTGAAAGAATGTGAATGGAAACGATCCAAATTAATACTTAATTTGGACAGGAGAGACAATTTTAAAATAATAAGATAGTTGCTTATATGGGATTATAGCTGGTGATTTATTATTTGTTCCTATGCTAATTTGTACGTTCATTTGTTTGTTTGTTCTTTCGTTTGTTCATTGTTGGTTTATTTATTTATTTATTTATTCATTTATTTTACAGAAACCTCAGGTAGCAGAGCAGTCACAGGAAAAACACCTGTTATGCCAATACCTAGTCAGTACTTGAAGCAATATTATGCACAAGGTAAATAGCTGTCCATATGACTGTTCATTTGGTTTATCAGTTTGTTAACTCTATACAAAACTCTAAAAGAATCCACCCACGCACATCTGCAAATGCTTTTTCTGACATCTATCTACTTAAAGTGCCTATAAGCCTTTATAAAATAACTTCAAAATTGTTGGATAGTGAATAGTTGATTGTGGAAATATTTTGTCATTTTAGGGTCACGTCTTTAAGTTATGAAGGTTTATATTTCAAATATGTTTTAGATATGTTTCATTATTTAGACACCATTGCACCAGTTGTCAAATTATTGTTGTCATAACTAAGTCTGAGACTATTATCTCATTAGAGATGGTTGTTCATGGGTAATTTTATTATATAAATGTTATGTAAATATGTATCAGAAATCTGTTTCTAGCACAATTTTTCTTTTCTCTCTCTCTCTCTTTCTTCAAAATCTTTCTTGCCTTCTTTCTTTTTTTCCTCTCAAAATTAAATTTCTTTACTTTCATTATCATTTTGCATCAAAAACAGCATTTAAATTTGAATTCAAAATATTTAGCCAGGAATGGAGGGATCATGGTGCTAGTGGGGATAATTTTTGATTGATTCCATTGTTTTCTAATATAATTGCAGGTTTTTCCCAGAATACAGGGTTGTCAATAACATTTTTGGTAGGCGGTTATGAAATTAAAATAGGTGGTAAACCGGAAATCACTGGAACATGTAATTAAGGCATACTTGTCACCAGTCTCACTCTTCTCACAAAAATTCAAGATGGCGGACAACGATCGTCATAGTTGCATTGCAGTTTTTGTAGTACAGCAACAAAGATTGGGTTAAAATTTATTTTAACAAACTTTAAAGAACTTTAATCAAAATTTACAATTACATTGGGAAGTGGCTGAGTAGGCAGCAGAAATAGCAAGAGTAGACGGCAGAATCTACCGGTTGCCGGCTTCTATTGAAAACCCTGAGAATAGGGTTATGGTTTGCACTATATTTGGAAGCTATTTGTGGAATATTATTATCCCAAATTACTCAGTGATACCTTTAATACTAGTTGAGACTGCATTGTCATGTTGAATGTGAAGAGTTAAATAATAAGGAAACTTAAACAATGTGTAAGAACATTTTTTTTACTATACTGATGCTTCTATTAGTCCTTCATCAGATTATACCTCTAATATGTGATTGACACAAAACAACAACAATAATGATAACTATATTTCCTAAAATGTGCACTCCATTAATCTCACTTTACTAGGATAAAAAAACTAAATACAGATAAGAAACAATGATATGAAATTCAATTATAAAATTCAACATCATTATTAAATAAATATGTCATTAATTGTTTCTTGAAATAATTCACCAAAGGTAAAAGTCTGATGCTTACTGTAATGGAAGAGCATTCCATTGTTTTGGCTGGATGCCAAAATCATTACTATTATCATTATCATCAACAACAGCATCATCTTATTAAAGCATGATATATTTACCAATTGTTTGTTTATATTTGCAGCTATGGGTGATAATTACTCTCCTCCTCAGGAAGGCCCTAACATGCCATATATCTTAACACCTGCACAACAGCAGCTTGCAGGAATTTTACAGTTTAAACAACAGCAGCAGCAGCTTGAGCAACTGCATGGAGTGCACCAGCCACAATATTTACAACAACAGTTACTATACATACAGCAGCAACATTTGCTACAGCAGCAACAACAACAGCAACAGCAGCATGAACTCAACTACAGATTAGAGATGCAACAGCAGGCTTTGAATGGCCATCACCACAAACAAAAGAAATTTGAGAGAGACCACAACAATCAGTCCTCCATGGAGCATGACAAGCCAATACCTCCTAAACCAAAGATTAAGGTATTTACAAACACCTTGGTGTAGGTACAGTAGTAGCAGTACAGTCGATACAAAGTCGTTTAGCCAGCCAAGTGCTAATTTTGACTGAACATTGTCTCAGTGTTGACTGGTTGAATCTTGGGTAAAAATCTATTGTCCCAGTCAAGGCAGCTGCTTCATGAGAAAGGCGCATGGGAAAATAATCTTATAAAATTAAAGCTTTAAGTTAAGGTGTAATCCTCATGCTTGAGATCCCAAATGATGTGATATTATTGTTTCTTAATCCAAGGTTGAACCAGAAGATGAACCAGCCCAGAAAGAGGAGGAGGTACTGATGGACCAGGATGAAGATGCAGGGAACAGAATGTCAAAAGAAGACCATAACAAATCCTTATCACAGCCCAAACCACCCCACCTACCACCTGCGACCTCATCAGCTGCCTCACCATCTTCAGCATCATCCCAAACAGCACAAGAATGTAAGTCAAGACAAGATCTTTCTGCTCACTAGTTTGAGATCTATGTTGAGAATTATTAAAGTGTATATGACACGAAAAAATTTTAATGTTAAGAATGTGTAGTTTATTGGCATTAATAAGAATATCACGGTTAAATTTGTTCCAAAAAC